GTATTATCATTATTGTTACAAGTGTCAATGAAAAGAAAAAGTGAAGTAAAATCGGAAATTTTCGGTATATTATCCATTAATATATTAATGTCAATGTAACCTGAGTAAAAATAAATAGGCTCAAAAGAAGCCCAAAACAGGCCCGATTGAAGCCCAATCTTGACTTAGAGAAATTTTCAGTGCCCAAAACAAGCCCATTACAGGTCTAAATTTTGAAGGAGCCCAATTGGAACCCAATAATACTTTCTAGGCCCACAACACGCCCAATTCGGGCCCAAAAATATTTTGCAGGCCTAAAACGCGCCCAAATCAGGCCTAAAACTATTTTGCAGGTCTAAAACACGCCCAATTGAAGCCCAAAAATATTTTTGAAGCCCATAATGCGCCCAATCCAAGCCCAAAAATATTTTAAAAATCTAGAAAAGAAAAAAAAATTGTCATAAAAACTTATCATCAAATTAACTTTGGTGCTACAAATTTACATTTGTAATAATTTATTGTCATCATTGTCGAATATGATCTTAGAAAATGGGCTTGAATTGGGCGCGTTTTAAGCCTCGAAAATATTTTTGGGCTTCAATTGGGCGTGTTTTAGGCCTGCAAAATATTTTTGGGCCCGAATTGGGCGTGTTGTGGGCCTAGAAAGTATTATTGGGTTTCAATTGGGCGTGTTTTAGGCCTCGAGAATATTTTTGGGCTTCAATTAGGCGTGTTTTAGGCCTGCAAATTAGTTTTAGGTTTGATTTGGGCGCGTTGAGAACCTGAAAAATCATTTGGGCTCGAATTGGGTCTCCTTTAGGCGTGCCTAAAAACTGATCATTTTTACTCGGGAATATGTAAAGAAATTTGGATTTGGTATTAATTCCATGAGTAAATTGACTATTGTATTTATCATGAATAGAATTTGTAACAATAGTTTATGAATTTTTAACAATACAAACTTCAAAAATTTTCAAAATTGAATAATATAAATTTAATACGATACAGAATTATTTAATGTATTAAAAGTTTAATTTTTAATGACTGAGAAAGTTTTTTTCTTGAATCGTACAACTACTAATTGTTAAAAAATAAAAATAGAGATTTTTATAATAAAAAATTTTTTTTCCCTACTTTATGTTTATCATTTTAACATTCTGTACTTGTGAGAAATACAAAGAAAATTTTTATAGCTTTTGTAATGTTTGAGGGAAAAGGAGGCTCTTATTTTCAGACAATTGCTAAACAAATACGTGTATAACCAACACAATTCAACTTTTTTGAGTTGTTTTTAAATTTTAAATACCTCTATTTTTATTTTACTCTAAATATAAATTCTAAAAATCTAAAATAAATTGGAATTCCATTTTTGCCTAGCTCGTCTCCATGTTTATAGTGCGAAATATACATCGAATGTAATTTAAAATAAATTTCCAAGTTTTTTTCTAATACTTCAAACAAAAATATTTATTCAAAACAAGTTTTATTAAAATATTTCCTTAGTAAAAAGCATTTTATTTTTCTTACCAAAGTAATCTTACCTTCAATTTATAAATATATATACTACCGAAAAAATATCCAAGAATTACATTTAAATAATTGAATGCTAATGTTTGAATGTTTTTTAAGATAAATTATCTTTTTATGCCGCAGGCTTACTATTTAACATCCCTGTGTTCCCTTTTATTCGTTTTTTTTCTCTCACTTTCTCTCCCCCTATTGTCATCATGATTCACCAACTAAATCCCAAACTCCGTGTGGTATATTTCACTTCAAAGTCGCCACTATTGGATTTTAACTCATTGGCTGACACTCGGATGGAAACACAAGCTGCGGACAGAATCGAGGTTTGCGTTTGACGAGCAGACCGTAGCGCGTTGCCCTAGAATGGGTTCACGTTCGTTTTCGGTTAGTTGTTGTATCTACAACGCTACATGTTACCCATCAAATGTACAAGGGATCTTTGACGCCCGCTCCTTTCAACATTATATTTCACGGCAGTCCCACGTGTTCAAAGCACCATACTTTGATCGATAGTTTATCTTGTTATCCTCTGCTACATCAAAGAGGATGGAGTCCAATTTTATTAGCTGATAATTATAAAAATGAGAATGTTAAAAAGTGCTAGCTGTGATAAAACGTAGCTCTTGAGTCCCTGCTATATGAGTTATAATAAGATTATTCGACTTTTATGCTGCTTTTGCTCATTATCATCATAATAGTTGTACATCTTTTGTGATAATAAAACAAAATGTAAAAAACAATAAAAAATAAATCGATAGTAAAATAAAAATAGTATTCACCTTTTTTGATAAATTATTAAACTAAAAATAAAAAAAATGTTTTTTAGTCATTTTATTTCTTTGATTATATGAGATTATGAAAAGAAAATGTAAAACCAAATACAACTGCGCGTAACTTCTGGTACCAGGTATTTGTTTATAAATTTTGTCATATTTTGAACTGTATGCATTGAGTCGTGACAAATATGATGAAAATTTCTATGGTCTGTCCAGGGCAGACTTGTTTCTCTCATAGCTTTTCTATTTTCTATTCTTCTCATTTTCACTTGAGCAGCATCAGATCTCTTGTATAAAATCTACTTGAAATACAGCAGTTGGCGAATTACTGTGACGTTTTGCACTTGCAAATTTTCCAAGTTAGAAAGAGCATGAAAATTTTACAGTACACTGTGACAGCTTAAATTATAGCTTACCTAACACAAGTTTATCTTTCTTTAACAACGAGATCATTATTTATTCACACTATGCCAAGATCGTTTTAATTAATATTTTAATTATCACCTCTTTTATAATTTTCTATCAATTTTATGCTCAAATTCATTATTTATCTTCTTCCTATTTTCGTGATCACTGTATATCACCAATGATTATAATTAAAAGTGACTGTGATTACTCAGTGGCAATTAAAGTACAGGGAAAATATATTTACCGTGGTAGAAACTTTCTAGGATTAAATAGGAAAGGGATTGAGGGTTTGAGTAAATCAAGGCGTTGGTCAAGCCAGCATGAAATACGAAGCTCCGAGAGATCATTGATGTGATAGAGGAGTTTCCAAGCTACATAATTACCTATTGCTTCTGATTGGCATGATCATCTTGCTTGTAATCCGCCTGTATAACCTCACGGAAACATATAAGCTCCATAAACCATCTCCACTCTCTTCCCTACCTCCTTGTCTTATAAATATTACTTTTGCTGATGTATTTGTCAACCCAAACTTTTCTCCATTGGATAAATTTATCTACAAACTTTTACGTGAAATAAACCTCTCTAATTACTATTGACATTAAATTTATATCAACAAGTATTTAACTTGATGAGAAATTGCATCTGCTTGATAATTACGCAAGTATTGATAATATTGTTCATATGAATAGGCAACTGGTCTACTTACAAGCTGTATAGAGACATCAATTTGAATCCAAAGGTGTTACTGGTAACAACAGTTCAAGGTACAACCTGATATTATTGGGTGACAGCAATCATGGTAATTACTGTCCTACCGATCGATGGACCTCCTTACCCTATTCCTGTTTTGGTCTCTACTTGTCTATACATACTCCTCACTAATCTACAACTATTCATCAGTACTGCTCACTCTTGTGTGATAGTGTTGAAATGTTTCTCAATTCAATTACCGCACACTCCATTTCATTCTGAAACGTCAAGATTACAGAATATATATTGCAACAATACTCACAATGTTCTATTCTGTGTAGAAACTGTGTTACAGATAGATACAATTCTATTAAGAGGATAAATAAATAATATATGAGAATATAAGAAAAAAAAATACCTCAACAAGTCATTTTCGATTCCCAAGAAGAGTTTTTGGACTTCCTTCTTCTCGTCAAAACTGCATGAAAACTCTTTTTTGAGGATATAAGTTCCCGCTTGAGATGTTGAGGTAGACTTTTAGAGAACGACAGAAACGGAATGAACGAACAAGCGTCTAAATAAAAAAAAGGGGAAAGTTTGCCGTTCTTCGCTTCACCCGATCGTCAATTCATGCAAAGTCAAACTTGATATAAGTTATGTAGCAGCACGACTGACGACATCCGGAATTGGGTATATGTCGACGTCTAGACGTTGGGATGAGGTTGTCGCAAAATACGATTTTTGCATCTTTTCAACCGTAGTCGATATCTACGTGGACTCGAAGTACTTCAACTTTCTACAACACAGATCCGAAAAATAATTTTTTAGTTATTATAAAGTTTTTTCTCAAACTTTTTCAGACGATCGGTATCAATAAAAAGGTCCAAAGCTGGGAAAAAACTTGTTAAACTTACGCCAACTCATAAATCATATTAAAGAACATTATCTTATATTTATATATAACCGTAGAATTATTTTTTTTTTGTTTTTAATTATCATAAATAACCTCGGAATGTTTAAAGGTATTGTATAGAATTACTCACAGAACTTTTTATTTTCGAATGTATACTTGTATCATAGAATGAACCTATAAACTGCGTTGCTGAATATACAATAGAAATGAAAATTCTAATTGTATAAAAATATACAAAACTTATTCATGTAAAGAATAAAGTTAAGTAAAGCGCGATCAGGACTGTAACAAGTAATCCTAACAATTATAATATAGAAACAACAATTATTCGACATGTTGATCAAATAAAAAACAATAAAAAAATGTCATTATTACTGAACGTGAATCTTTTACTGCATGATTGGTAATGTAGAACTCTTATGATAATTTTCAACAGTTAAATAATGGATGTAATTAATATTGCTATCGATGAATAGATATTTGATTAAGGGTATTTTGTGATTAATCAATACATGAATTTTTTATTTATTATAAAAGAATGATGTTCAAAATTTGAATTGCAAATTCAAATTAGTATTGCCATCTATAAGGCAATTACAGCAATAGAATGGAAAATTTTCTACTTTACCGATGTTAAATAATTTACCTACAAGGCCATATTTTCTTTCTTCACAATATCTCTGTTTAGTTTAGTCAGAGATCAGTACTGGTCTCTGTTACAGGTGTAAAATAATGCTGACACCATTAAAACCAAAATCATAGCCTAAAGTATTCTTGAAAAAATAAAAAAAATGTAAATATAAAATAATTATTAAAAGGATTGTCTGCCTGTGAAGAGAAAAAGTAAGCATAAAGTTTATTTAATAAAAGGTAAGCACATTTTTTTAATTTTATACTTTAAATAACTGTCCATGTATTCCTGTAAATATTCATTATAAATTATTCATTTCAGGTTTGAATACAAACTCATGTTCAACATACACAATTCAAAAATACATTATTCTAACAACTTTGAAAAATATTGATATAAATTAAATAAATTCAATACAATGGCCAACTTTTTTCAATATGATCAATGCAATGATGATATTAAAGTGCAAGAGAATAAAAAAAGGTCTTCGGCTTTATCGAAGTTTGAAATGAACGAATGGACTTTCAGCGTATGCCTTTTTTTAATATCATCAGCAATAGTGCTCGGAAAAATCTACCTCCTCTATGGTAATAAAGTTTTAAAAAATCTTATCAACTAATTCTTACTTGACCATGACTATTATTCCAATTTATGTTTAGGACAGCCTCTAATAATCAAAAATAATTACATAATATCGAAAGAATTATATTTTTCTAATTTTCAAGATGTCTTCTTACTGCCAAATGATGTTATATCTCATACTAGAGATGTTTTCCAAAAAAATAAATGGTTTTTTAAAGCCCTCTGCAGTGGACTTGGAGTCACAGCATTCACTTGGTTCATTATTTATAAAGATAGTTATATTCCTGGAATTAATCCCCCATCGCCATTTAGCCCTTCTAAAAAAAAGTAAGTATTGTAATTCAAATGCATATGAGTACCATGAAATAAATGTTATTATACTAATTATAATTATATCTGTGTTATAGAATCAGACATTGTGATGAATCAAAAGTTCCCTTAAATTACTTAATGGGTATAGTAAATGGAGTTCTTATATTTATATACATGTGTCTTTGATATGACAGCACGAAAACAAATATTCATCATGACTTAAATTATTTACTTATTATTGTTATGCTTATTATTTTATTTAATATTCAATATTAATTATATATAATATATTCGTGTAATTGTGTACTCGATTTATACAAATTGAAATTTTTATTTCATTTCTTGTCAATATTCTAATATAAAGATGGAAATACTGGTTATTAATTATAAATGAAAAATTTACAAAGTCATACTTTCATATAGTTCATATGTATTAGTATATTTAATACTGCAAAAACTTGATCTTTTATGAAAAATAAAAAATATACATTGAAAAACTGTTTTTATGTTCGAGAATGTATTGTGTGTTATTGACCTGTAAAAACTTGAAGAAAATATTCTTTATAAAAATTTATGAAAGTATATTTCAGCAATATTGTCAATGTGATATTACAAACTGTTAATTTAATTAAAAATATTAATGACTAAAGTTCCTTTGAATGTGGTAATGGTAAATATTAGCATATAATAATGATGCATTTAACAACTTAACAATTGTCTCGAGTTTCTGGTTCAGGATCATATGCCACCATAATTTTCTCCATTATCTCCCAAAGCTTTTCTCTTGTAAGTTCTCTGCAGAATACCTAATAAAAAATGTAAATATTCTTAGGTTTATCACTCTTATATTATCAATATTTTTATAAACAAACTTAGTAAAATTTACATTAAACCATGGAAGCTGATCACATTCATCCATCAATGGTACAACAACACCATATATTTGTAGAGCTAAATTGATACAAGCTATAGCAATAAAGTTCGGTGGGTAGTCTAAAATCATTGGTGTATGATGAAAATCTTGTAGTAATGCTAAGCTTGTCTTTGCTACTGGATATTTAGACCATTCTTCTTCCCCAAACCAAGCTTGTAATGACCGTAAATAATGAAGTAAATACTGTAAAATTTAATAATAGAATTTTTAAAGAATAATTAAATCAACATCATAATAGTAGATATAATAACAATTACCTTATGAGGATGAACAAAAACCACTTGGAATTTAAGCATTCTCATAATTAAAAGTTCCGCTTGGACTATAGCATCACGAAAACTCCAATACTGATCACCAAGCTCTAAAGGTTGAGATCCTCTATGAAGTGTATTTGATGCAACATTCATGACATCTCTGATTTTTAAAACATCATCTTTTATTTTACCGGCAAGATACAAGCAAGTTGCCGCAATTAACTAAAAGAAAATTTTTATTAATAATTCCATTAATAAACAATGTATAAGATCATTCACAAACTAAAAGTAGTTAATTACATATAAGTCATAGCCTTGAGGTGTTGCTTCTCTGACAAATCTATGAAATAAGACAGCAGCAGTGGCAATCGTTAAGGGATGTGCATCTAACTTGATGCCTAGTAACCATCCAAAAAGGCCATTATTGATTTTATAATGTCTGATAATATGAATTATTGAATTATTTTACTGCTACTTACCACATTCAAATATAAACCTTGATACAGTAAAACTATCATTAGCAGCTGTGTAATCAATGGTAATACTTTTTTGTAAAGTATTCCTCTTTTCACGCTGCATTGCCAAAACATCTATAACATCTTTCATTTTTGAGCTGAAATCAAAAGTAATATAGGAATATTGATAACACCAACTGAATTACTTATATATCGCTATGTATACCGACTGTTACTAGATATGAATTACTACAATTATTATTCATCTGTTTTTATAATAATTATCAATATCACATAAGTGTATACACTTATATCTATATAGACTACCGCTAAAACTCCCTCCTTAAAACTTCTAAGATGACATTTTTGAATTACCTTAATCCTTCTGCACTCAATGGCTCAATAGGGTTCATAGTTATACTTAGACATAAATGATAATGTAAGATAATTTAAATATACACTATATTTTGAATTTAACGTTTCTCACGTTACGGTAAACAAGTCATTTAATATAACCTTCCAAATATCTTAAAGAAAAACCGGTGGAAAATCAACAAAGTGTTTTCGTACTAAAAACACGTGAGCATAGAAATAAAACTCCGAAATTTTAAGAATTCAAAAATATTAAATACGTAAATAAACTGTAGGTGGCGCAACAATATTACGGCACCAGTATTTAAATTTTTGAAAAAGAGTAAAATCACAAATTATTTATAACTTATTATATTAATCATTTCCAATAATCTTTGAACTTTTTATACATATTTATTTATTATTTACTTCATTAATATTATAACTTTAATTATAAATCGTGATTTTTATTATTTTATTAGCTTAATTTCACATTATTAATTACATAGACGTGATTAATCAATAAAAATATTATTGTGTTCAAATTATATTAAATAACATCTATGCTTACTTACCTATTCTATCTATCAATAGAAAATAGTCGCAATACAACAGAAAAATAATTTTTTTTAACAAAAAGTATGATCGGTTATTGGAAGAACTATATTTATAAAAGTACAACGTTAAAAAAAAAGTTAGTTATTGCTTTCATCTGAAAAATAAATTTAGATGTAAGCGTAATTATTAAACGCAAGAAATTATTCTTCGAAGTTTTTATTTTTAGTTAAGCTTTATATTTTATTATGGTTAGCTTTACAGTATGACAAAAAAGATGAAATATTCATCGAATTGGTCTATAGAATGAGTAAAAATGATACAGACAAAATGAAAAAACTTTAATTGCTTTCATCAACTATTTATATAGAAAGATGTACCCTATTATTATATGAGTTTACCTCGAACTTTGCACGTTCACTCTGATTCATTCGATTTGTGTCTTCAGAACAATTAAAACATGCAAGAAATACAATCACAAGTTCCGGTAAATAATTTTCTCAAAGAACTCAACAGAAGCATAATTTAACTTTATAATTATTGCTGCAAATATCGATAATATATAATAAAAACTTTGTTTTTAATTAAACTGTTGTGATATAAAATTATTTTTTGTAGAACCAGCAAGTGCTTGATGAAGTAGCTAAAGTGCTTACCTGGAATAAATGGCTATTATCAACACTCGGTCTATGGCCTCATAATCCTAACAGTTTTATTTTCCTTATGAATTTTAGTTATTTTGTCTATCATATGGCTATGGAATATTTAGATCTTTTCCTTTTTATAAACAATCTTGAACATGTAGTTGAAAATTTAACAGAAAATATGGCGTTTACTCAAATTCTCGTAAGAATGGCGATGCTTAAAAAATATAATTGTCAACTAGGAGAAGTGATTACAGAAGCTTTCAAAGATTATGATATAAAAGCCTTCAAAACTCCTACAGAAAGTAAAGTTTTTATAGATTACATGAATAGAGCCAAGTTATTCATCAAACTTCTATGCGCTTTTGTTACAATGACTGCAACTTCTTATTACGCTAAACCAATTACCAGTCCTCCTCCAGAAGGTAAGTACAAATCAAAAAGTTATTAGAGTAAATAAATTTGTAATTAATAATCTATATTAAAAAAAAATTGTTTATTCAATCGTTTGAATTTTTAGTTATTGAAAAATTAAATGAAGAAAATTCAACGATGCCATTTATTTTACCTTATCGTTTTCATCTTTTTTATGAAGTAACTGATTTCCGAATTTATGTATTGACTTATGCATCACATTTTCCATTTGTGTTCGTCAGCGGGTTTGGTCAAACAGCTGCTGATTGTTTAATGGTTACTTTAGTATTTCATGTTAGTGGAAAACTTGCTGTTTTGGCTCTTAGAATAGCTGCTATAAAAGCAGATTCAGAATCTTGCGAGAAAGAATTCAATGAAATCATCATTGAGCATGAGAGATTATTGAAGTAATGATTATAACTATCAACATTGTTATTAAATGAATTGCTTGTTAAATTTATTTTCAGAATGGGAAAAAGTATAGAAGAAGCATTCAGTGAAACATTATTAGTTCATTTAGTCGGTGCTACTGCACTTGTTTGCATTTTAGGATATCAACTGTTGAGTGTAAGTCAACATAAGAAAGTATTTGACCAAAAAAATAATTGATCGATTATCTATCAATAGAACTATGCAAAGGGTCAAAGTGCTGATCTTGTGACTTTTTTCGTCTTTATATTCTTAGTTTTTCTCATATTATATGCTCATTGTGTTGTTGGAGAAAGTCTTGTTACAGAGGTAATTGGATCTTCGTTAAATAATAGAGCAATATTTTCAGATATATTAATAATCTAAAGTATTTTTAAATAACAAATTATTATATTAATAAAAATACAGAGCCACAAAGTAAGTGAGGCTTACTATGATTGTTTATGGTATGAAATGCCTCAAGAAACTGCCAAGAATGTTATATTTTGCATGCTTCGATCTCAAAAACCTCTTGGATTGACTGCCGGAAAATTTGGAGCTTTTTGTTTAAGTACATTAACTGATGTTAGCATTTATCTTTAATTATAATACCTTACATTGAATTTTAAAACTTGTTATATGTTAATATAACATTGAAATAATTTACAGGTAGTTAAAACTGCAATGGGTTATCTGTCAGTACTTCGATCTTTTCTGACAATCGAATCCAATTGATAATATTGACAGTCTTTTTACTACATTGACAGTTGTTATTGAATATTTTATTAAATAGCAATATTTTTCTCGAAACAAAGTTATTTTCACAGTTAATTAGATTGAATTTATTGTATATTAAAGCTGCATCTCAAGCAAATCAATAAAAAAAAGTATTACTCATTTTTTTAAATTAATTTTATTATAAATTGTTCTTCTTATAATGGTTTTAAAAATTACTCTATTAAAACTGTAAAAATAATTACATATTATTTATCAAATGAATTGTATGAATATCTATCGTTTTGGAGCTCTGAAAACTATTTTTGTTCGATATAAAGTCGATACAAAAGTCGGTAAACACTACTGTAGTTATTGATTATTTTTTGTTACAATTCATTGTAACAATATCATATACGAATATACTCTACTGAATAATTTTTTACAATAATTTTATTATGTCATCGGTGATCAATACAATAATTAATGTTTACAAATGATTTTCATTAGCAGAACATAGATCACCAGCTGGCGCAGTTGGCTGTCTAGACTATCCTATAGAACATGCTTTTATTGTTGCCATTGGCAAATAACACTTCGACATTCCGGGAATGTTTTTCATCCGGAAAGTAAATAAAAATGTTATTTAATAAATGAATAATTTTTGTGAGTTATTAAATTATTATAGATGTTGTGTAATAAAAGGTTAAGAATCCGACGGTCAATTTATTTGTTTTGGACCGAGGATTAAATGGTTATAACCTCTCAAACCTTAAAATGCAATCTTTGAGGAATTTTGATGGTACTGACTATGTCAGCTTAAATATCAACGATAGTGGTATTAATACACGAATATCATCAAGAAGTTTGTGGAGGGTAAATCTCATATTTTTTAATTAATATGATTAATTTTATTTTTCTCAAAAGGAATGTACTCTCAGTGTAATTTTTGTTAATTGTTGTTTATGAATAACCTTTACAGCAATGGAACCAACTATCCCGATTTCAGAGAAATATATGTTACTTTGTAATTATAACGATTCTTCTCCTCATCTTTTATTTTTTACCGGGAGACAATCTAAACTCTATCTCTGACAATGAAATTGATTATGAAGGTGGCAATCTTGATAAAATTACTACAAAAACATTCAAGGTAAATAAGATAAACTATAATATATCTTAATTTCATCTGGTCCCAATTAAAATATTAATAGAATCATGTAACTAGATAAATCAATTAATTGATAGATCTCCAACTGCTGAATTTTTTTTTGTTCATTTAAGTTAAGTTTCCTCTTATTTTTATTCATGTGTTTTCAATTTCCATTGTTTTTCATAAAATAGTGGTACTGATATAATACTAATCATTTTATTACGTAAAAAGTCTTATATAATCAATTTTTTTTTATTTTTCTGTAAAAGAAAATTATTTAATTGCATTCAATACTTTATTTTTCTTTTAGATAATAGAAGAAACTCATATTGATCATAATGATCATGTAGATCAGAATGAAGGTGCTGCGGTAGGACAGGTAATTGAAGAACCTGAGTTCCCACCAGAAATAAATCAAGTAGACGACGATCAAATAGGTGAACCTCCTCAACCTAAACCCAACGTGCTCAAATTTAATGGGCCTCAGAATGAACGACAAAAAGCTATAGTAAAAGCGTTTAAACATTCGTGGAAAGGATACAAAAAATATGCTTGGGGTCGTGATAATGTTAAACCTATTTCGAGAGGTTATCATGAATGGTTCGGATTAGGACTTACAATAGTTGATTCGTTAGATACCATGTATATGATGGCTTTGAATGAAGGTAAATATTTGGTAACATTTAAAAATGATATATTGTATTTTATGTTGAATTAATTCAAATCGATCTATTTTTAGAGTATACAGACGCTCGTAATTGGGTTGAAAATAATCTAAAATTCGATCTCAACCGCGACGTGAATCTTTTCGAAGTAACAATACGAGTCCTTGGTGGATTATTATCAGCCTATCATCTCTCGGGTGACAAATTATTCTTAGACAAAGCTACAGATCTGGGCGATCGCATGATGCCTGCTTTTTCTACAACCTCTGGGGTGCCGTATTCTGATGTAAATTTAGGTACAAAGAGTGCTCATAGTCCTAAATGGGGTCCAGACAGTAGTACAAGTGAAGTTACATCTATTCAATTAGAATTTCGCGATCTTAGTCGCATTACCGGCCAACCGAGATTCGAAACAGCTGCTGCTAAAGTTTCGGAGCACATTCATGAACTTGAAAAATATGACGGATTAGTTCCCATTTTCATTAATGCCAATACTGGACTTTTTAGAAAACACGCAACAATTACATTAGGAGCTCGTGGAGATAGTTACTACGAGTACTTACTTAAACAATGGTTGCAAACTGGGAAAACCATTGATTACTTACGAGATGATTATCTTTTGGGAATTTATGGGACTGAAAAACATCTCGTCAGGCGCACTGCAAAAAATAAATACTTATTCATAGCAGAACTTATTGGTGTTTCAAGAGATATGAAACCAAAAATGGACCATTTAACATGTTACTTACCAGGAACATTAGCTCTAGGTGTTCACCATGGTTTACCCGATGAACACATGACTTTGGCTAAAGAACTCACGAATACCTGCTATCAAACTTATGCTATACAGCCAACTTTTTTAGCCCCAGAAATTACATATTTTAATGTTCAAGGAATTGAAGATGATAATCAGTTAGATATGTATGTCAAAAATACCGATGCTCATAATTTATTACGTCCGGAATTTATTGAAAGCCTTTTTTATATGTGGTACTTTACTGGAAATAAAACATACCAAGATTGGGGCTGGAAAATTTTTCAAGGTTTTGAAAATTACACAAAAGTTGAGAATGGCTACACAAGCATCGGTAATGTACGAAATCCTTTGAATACAAGACCTCGTGACATGACTGAAAGTTTCTGGTATGCAGAGACATTGAAGTACTTGTATTTATTGTTCGACGATACGAGGCAGTTGGTAGATCTTGATCGATGGGTATTCAATTCTGAGGGTCATCCTTTACCTATGTATGAAATTTAAAATAGCTTTTTTATTCTGTCTGAAATTAACGAAAGTCTTTGTGAAATTAAATACACGGAGTGCAAATGATTTTTATAGTAATATTTAACTAAGTATAAACTAATTACATAATTTAATTTAGATGAATGATTGAAGTTTTAAATGTTCATTCGTTCTTCCACGATAGTTCAAGTTATTAATTTGCAAAGACTTTTGATAATCGGAACTCTTAATAGAAAAATGACTTTAGGGAAAAATTTCATTATAGAACATAATTATATGCATATTTTCTACCAATTACTATTTTTATCGCGACTTAAAGTCTCTTAAGTTGATAGGAAAATATTGTTTTTAAATATACATTATTTTAAGATTAAAATCAATTGGTTATTGTTAAGTTGTAAGTTTAAAATTTTTCTATTTATAATTTTGTTATTAGAACTATACTTTTACTATAAACCAATTTTTTTTTTTGATAAAATCATGTAATTTGCGACATAAAAGGATTTTAAATGATAACGACTGGTAGAAAAAATGAGAAACAAGTAGAAACATCTAGTCTATTATTAATTTATGTAAACGTCAATTATGTTTGATAAATAATTCTACTATTAAACATTGATTTTTGTGATTAACTTTTTATACTGTAAGGTCCACTCGTAGTGGTTGCATTTTATAGAAATGATAAATAACATTCTTTGAAGTGTTTATAAATTTTAGAAACTGATAAGATATTTCTGATATCCCACGAACTATTTTCGTGAATGGCGAATAATTTTTTAATAGGCAAAATATATAAACTGTAATTTGTACATAAAATTATTAACAATAATGCAATAATAACGATGATAATAATGTAAAGAAATAACAAGTGCACGTTATTACGATGTTCAATGATTGATTGATCAACCAATCAATCAATTTGTTATTTATCTAATTTATTATATTGGTTGGATTAAATTGAATTTATCATATTGAATAAAGAATAATATTAAAATATTTTTATTCATAATTCTCATTTTAGGTTCATAATAATATAATAATAATTCTAATTTCAGTGCTCAAACTAAATAATAGGAATGAATAAAATTATATTAAAGAATCTAAAAATTCTATGAGAAAGTCTACTAATTTCAGTAATGATCAGATTGAATTGTAAATTATTTAATATATTCTTCTTGGTACTGGTAAATATCACAGTTGGAATTACACTTAATTATAAATACATATATAGATTTTATAATACATTAAATTAAAAAATGAAATGCATTTTATACATTTACAATTTCGTACGCTTTTGTAAGTAGTGGATTCACAATCCTAATAATTCTTTCTGAAGTTTTATCCAATCTAATGCCTTTTGTGAGATAGGTTTTGTTTGTTTTAGAGCCTCTACTGCCTGAATAAATTTGTCTTCATTTCTACGAATATACATTTGAGCATCTTGCTCTAATAGTGATATTTTTTCTGGTCTCAATTCATCCATATCAACCATTTCTGTTAAATAAGGATTGAATCTGTAGTATACGTGATCAGGTAATAACTCATTTAGCATTGTATGAACACCTTCAGTATCAGTAGCACTGGCTAATATTTTATAGAATTTTTCCTTCCAACTTGATGTTCCTGTTGTACCTGTTTGTTCTTCATTATGTGGACTATTGGGAGGAATTCTTCCAGTTCCGAATGAAACAACACATTGAATAGGAGTATTTGGCCAAATTCTTTTAGCTTCATGAATAGCAACTCCACAAGGATTATTTACTAAAATTCCACCATCAGAAAGCATATAATTTCCATGTTTAAATTCTTCAAAATAAGTTGGAGCTGCAGCAGATGCTCTCACTGATTCCCATAATTTATGTCTATGAGATCCAATATAATGACTTTGTACTTTTGGGGGTAAAGTGTAATTCCTGAAGATATATGCCATTACTTGGGTATTGTTGGAAACTGTAGCAATTGCTGAAAACTAAAATTATTGAACAATTAATAATTTATTCATTCTCAACTATTATCGAAAAATTTCTATTATTTAAATTACCTTTGGAGACGTTGGATCACGATTAGTTCTAATAAGTTCTTCATCTCCTAATTGCTCTATCAACATTTTTTCCCATAAAGTTGTGTCATAGTATGCATGACTCCACATTAAAGTGCTTGTACCAAGGATAGCACTTTGATTAAAGATTTTGTTACTTAATGCTTTGTATAAATCAGAAATTTCATCTAATGATTTTCTTCTGCTTGATCCTGTAAAGAATAAATATATTTTCAATTAAATACAACTGGTATTATTTCAATTAAAATAATTACAATTCATTTATAAAATTTAATAAAAAATGTACCATAAGTACTTCCATCCCATCTTGTAGCTGCATGCAATCATGATGTTTGAAAATGATTTAGTATTAAAAATGAATATTATATTAAATGAATGAAAAAATAATAATACATTAAATATATATATATATACCTAAATTGGCTAGAAGAATTGCTCCAGTACTAACTCCACACATGTAATCAAACATTTCATGTACTCTTTGACCAGTTAATTTTTCAAGTTTTTTCAGCATTTCAATCGCAACAAGACCTCGTATACCACCACCATCAATTGCCAGAATTCTAATTCCTCGTCGAGGAACTGGATCTGCGTATCCCACAACTGCGAGAGCTTCTCTTATAGATGCTAAAATAAAGTAAATAAAATTCATTTTAAAATTAATCAACTATTAAATAATAGATAAATATAAAAAATAAAAATATATTTTACCTTTCACGTTTTCATCTTTAGATTTTTCTCGGACTCTCAACAGTGTTTTAACTGCACCTTCTTTAATGGCATGATATCGAGCTTCAGGATACTGTTCAAGATGAGTTAATAAATCATCAACTCTCCTTAGTTGAGAAGCATTTGATTCTGCAGTGGTAATACTATTCAATACATGCTTAGTTCTTGCAATAATACTATTTTTGGTAACATTATTTGTAGCACATTTTTTCCATTTAGGAACAGTCATTAGAGGTGGAGAATCCTTGATTATTGGATTAAATTTCACAAAGAAATCACTCAATACTTGTGGTAAGGCTAAAATTTGATCTTTAGTGCTTTGTATGACTTGATCTGATGTAGTTGCAGCTGTTACTGAAGGTTCTTCTTTGTGAATGTTGCTATTGATTTGAGTATTATTATTATCGGGTACTTTATATGTTGACGACCTTTCAATGACTTCTTTAGGTAATTGGACTTTTACTACGGAAACATTACTTTTTTCTTTCAAAGTTTCACTATTTTCATTACTTTTTTGATCATCAATTGTTTTGTTATTTTTATTTGTAGTTCTTCCAATAACAGAAAGACTTCTTTTGTTCCCAAGAGTAGAATTTGCCAACTGTTGAGTAACGCTGATCCAATATTTGTAAACATTCCATTGAAGATGTTTATTAGCGTACTCGTATTTATTCAAGAAAGTTTTCAAGAACGCAAATGATTTCCAGTGATTTTGCATAATGACTTTTGATTTAGATAAAGTGTTCATGGAATTAGAAATCTTTTCTGCCATCCTTCTGAAAGAAGCTGGATCATCTTGACTAGTTGTACTGTTAGTAATTTTCCTGTGATTGAATTAAATTAATGTTAATACAATACTTACATCAGTTCTTAAAAAAATTATGAATTACGTCGTAGAGTAATTATAAACATGACACGTAATTTAACGTTAATAATATTCTCTAACCTATAACTTGATCATTGAAGTATTTTCGTCCAATTCGTTCTATATAAATTACACGCGAATCTCGAAAGTTCTTCATTGAAATCACGTGTTAACTAATAAGTCACACTATTAACTGGCCAATTTTAATATTCTTTCACATGTTTATGTTTATGTTTGCCTATCTTTTTAACATTTCTTTCCATACTGTATTTTTGACACGTAAATATTATCGAAGTGGCTCCAGCAACGACTGTCAAACTACACACCTGTCACCCGTTCGCTTTATGTTATAACTGTACTCTACAATCTTTAACATTCCTTATTAAATATTTGTTTCTTACCTGGTCAAGGAAATTCCTCTTCTATAGTGCTTTACATGTCTGCTTAAAACCATATTTTTATTTACGATAAAGTAAATAACTTTATTTGCACAGCTATTAATAATTATTGTTAATTGAATTCACCTTTTAATGCAATTTTAATAATTACTGTAATACTTTAAAATTTATTCAATAATTTTTTAAACTTATAATTAATTTAAAAAAATGAATAAACAATTCTTCAAAAATGAGAAATATCTATTATCGAACTTATTAAAGTTTTGATAACTGTCTTCTTCGGATAACACTAAAGATTTTTTACAATTATCACTTTAAATATAATAAGTTATAAGTTTGTAATCAACTTGTTATATTTATTTATTCACACTAGACTTATTATTATTTTAATTAATAATAAATTAAAATTAAAAAGAGTATGAACAGTTCAAAAGTTTGTAAAATGATCACAAGATCAATGTATTAAGGTTTTTTAAAAGAGCGTTGTTTTACTTGACTGAGTATCAAAACAAAATAAAGCCTCTTTTATAGTTTCATCTATATTGGTAAAGTATGCAGTTTTGGCTGATATGATTCGTAAATAGTATCGCGCGATATTGTGATGACGAACATTCTTGGCATGAGTTTGAATGGTTTCATACTCATATGCGTTCATTTCAATCGGTGAAAAACATTCTATTCTGCGAATCAATATTGTTAACTACTGCCTCCACTATTTGTTTATGTTATTTCAACTATTCAAATACCACGTGAGATTATATGCATATAATTTGCAAACATAAACAACAAATGCATTACGCATTTTATAATTTACTCAGTGATTGGACTTCACAATAAAAACATTAATGTTTCTAAACGTAAATAAGGTTGTTATTTACTTCAATCGAAATTCATTTTTGAGACTGCGTATTTTGTAAAAGTAATAAACATATGATTAAAAATAGATAATTATTAATCAATTTTAGATTAACAAAGAAATAAATGTATTAGTGCATTTATTTCGTAAATTGATTGGTTCAATTGAGATTAAATATTGGGTGCAACAGACTCATATCATCCTTTTCATGAAGCCAACGTTTCAGATAAGTTTCTATAATGTCTGATGTATCCTGTAAGATTTTTAAAAATTAATAATTTATTATTATCCTCAAGTAATTGTATAATTAATTTGTCATTGGTTTGATAAACTATCACTTACTTTTCTCGTTATATTTTCTGATTCTGACAGACTCAATTGATTAAAAAGTTGTAATGAATTCAACAACCATATCTGACTATTTAAATTAACAATCCAAACATTTTCTTTCAATTGTCCAATAACAGTTTTTTTATTTTTTTCAATATTTTGGGATTTTAAATAACAATACTCTCGAACTTTATTCATAGTGACATCCCATGGAATAATAGTTTTGGTGGTTTTATTTGAAGCTTCAGTTTTCTTTGCTTCACTATACTTTTTTCCATTCTCTATTAGTTGTAAAAGTCTGCTTTTATTTTTTTCACGAGTTAATGGCGAAACCGTTTTTTTCTTTGAGCTTTTATTTAAATCACTAGTTATTGATAGTGATAGATTCTCTTTTCTACCTAAATCTCGAAAGTACTGACGTTCTTCGGAGTCTAAATGCTTCCATTCTTTTGATATTTCTTTTGCTAATTCTACTGAATTCATTTTTGGATTTTTTTCTAAGACTACAATAATTTTATGAGTTTAAAAATAATTCATTGAAATAATGTATTGTAATACTTACGTCTTTCTCGAGTTATTTGACAAAATTTTGAAAACCCTATTGATTCAAGATTTTTCTTAGTTGGTGTAGTTTTATTTAGTTGTGATTTAGACTTTTTTGCTTTTTCGCCACTTGGACGACTGATACCAATAGTAGTTCCTCCCTTATACATTTACAAAAATTATACATATTAATAGATAATTTGAAAACGAAGATTAAAAAAGTAATAAATCAATTACCTGTAATTTTAAACAATGACCTTTACTCCATTGTTCCTCTGTTATTTTCTCTGGTGATTTAAATTCACTTTCATCTTTAGTATTTTCCTCCAAAGCTTGTGATAGTATTTCTGGAATATTATCTAACTCCATATTCACTTGTTCTTTATCTAAACTTGTAACTTTATCACTCTCTGTATCACGATTTATGTCTTTGTTCAATTTACTTAAAATCATTTTTCGCATGATATCATCAACTTCTAGTGAATTCAATTCTGGAATGTGTCTAATTTCTTGAGTACTAAAATCTTCACCTAAATCTACTTTAGGTAATTGACTGAGTGGTTCATTTGATGGTAGAGACGGTTCTTTGTTGGGGTCGGTATTAATTTCAGATATTTCAAGGTCATTATCAATATTGTTTTCTTTATTAGTATCATTATCTTTGGATTTGCGTTTTTTAGTTTTTGGTGCTTTATTCTCATTAGTGGATTTTCTTTTTTTGTTTGCAACTTCTTCATCTTCAGTAACACTATCATTTAAAGTATCAAAATAAGCTGGAGTTCCTGTAATTGAAGTATTATCATCTTTTTCACATTCTACTTCAAGAGTATAATAGTCGACCAACAACTTTGTTACTATATCTAATATCTCTGACTTATTTTTTAACAAAATCGCTGTTTTATTCGGTTCTAAATTAATATCTACATAAGAATATGGTACTTTCATTTTTAGAAAAAATAATGGTTTCTTCCTTTGTGATATTTTAGCATCAAAATGCTGAGATAATAATTTCATAATGAGATCTTTAAATTCTTTGAATTTAATTGGCCTGGCGTTGACAGAAATATGTGCAAAATTTAAATGAGAAATATGAGTTAAATCTGTTAAATCTTTTTTTGGAATCGCTAATTCAACAAAAATATTATCTTCTTCAAAGTTTAAAAATTCATAGTTGAAAATAACTTTTGCTCCATAAATTTCATTTAAACATTCTTTGTAAGTACTTTTAGGAAATTTGGAAAAAATGGATAAATTATCAACCACATAACTGAACCGTACTTCTGGACGACATATGCCATAGTCTTTAAGTAGTTCTTCAATATCTTTCATTTCTTGATTAATTTTTTTTGAATTACTAATTGATTGTCGTCTGACTGGATAATTTTTAAAAAGATTCTCCACTCGAACGGTTGTTCCTATAATTAAATGGATTGACATCATACATTTATACCCATATTAAGAAGGTAATAATTCATTAAATAATTATTGTTTTACCAATAGATCTATGTGAAAATTCAATTGTTTCAATTGTTCCATTAAGATCCAAGGTGTAGCTTCTTGCTGCATCATCTGAATTTGTCCTGGTGATTATTTTTACATTAGAAACTCTGCAAAGGGCACTGAGAGCTTCACCTCTGAATCCATAAGACTCTAATGAATCTGATAAGTAAAAATTTCTAAGTAAATATTGAGTTAAATGAAAATAATGTAATTGCTACATTACCTAAATCATCAAAGCTGATGAGCTTTGAAGTATAAGCTTGTAAACCCATAAATGGAGCATCAACTGGAGCAATACCTTTTCCATTATCCCTTACTTCAATATAAGACAATCCTTTTTCTTGCTATTAAAAGTATTTTCTTGTTAAAACATATAATAACTAAAATAAATTAAAACAAGATTGAAGTAAACATACCAAGATAACCTCAATGTGGTTGGCATCAGCATCTAGGGCATTTTCAACAAGTTCTTTTACAACACTATATATAGATGTTATTACTTGAGCAGTAGTTAACTTCTTCACGGTGAATTTATCAAGAGCTTTGATTGACATGATGATTAACTTTACATAATATTCATTTAAAGTTGTTTGTTTGGGCGATACAGGTGAGCGCCATGTTCCTTATGAAATCAGGACAATAATGGTTGGAATATGTATTGAAGATTTTACGTATGAATGAAAATTTTATAATTGAATATAATATTGATAACATTTGTTATTCTGAGATTTATTTCAATTTATACACCAATCAGAATATTTTTAAAAATTTTTACAAAGTGGATTTTATCATGCACTATATTTACAATTTATAAAATATACATTCCAAAAGTGCATGTTTAAATATAATTTTTCTAAAATAATATACTATATTAAGTGTACAACCATAAACAAATTAAATATGAATAATATTCACTTAAAATAATACAATTTTTAATATAAAAAAGAATATTGCATAAATTAATTTGTAGGTCGTTGAATTACCTGAAAAATTTTGTTAATAATTGCACACTTGATTCAGAGAAAAATTTATTCTTTGATAGTAATCATGATAATCAGAAAATGAAATTTACATAAATATATATGGTAAATTCAATCAATAATGGTTTTTAAAAAGATCTTAAAATTATTGCGACTAGTTTCTTTGACTTGATTCCAAGACCAATTGTCATTTGATAATGATTTTAAGCAAAAATTTTACACTAATAGTAATCATGGTCATGATAAAATAATTGAACAAATAAATCAACAATCTAAGAATACAAAAATAAAAATACATGAATAAAATTTAATTATAAAAACCGGCTATTTTTAGTACGTTATTTATGGAGAAATAGCGACGGTTTTTTTCAATTAGTGTTTTTTTTAACAATCTACTCATGATAGTATCACAAAAGAAGTAAATCAGTTAAATTAGCACGGGGTTGGGTCAATTTTTCAGGAAAAAATTTCATTAATTTATCAAAAAGCTCGGTACGACGTTGATGAAATTCTTTCATTAATATATCAGACTTATTTTGATCTGATGCATTACATTCTTCAGAATCTTTTAAATTACGCATTAATAAATCTTGTTCACAGAATAAAACAGACGTTAGTAATTGAAAATTTTTCGTTTGTTTAACATCATTATGATCAATTATTTCTGAAATATCTTTTTGTAAATATTCAAGAGCCTCGATGCTATTATTTAAAGCAAGCTCTTTAAATTTGTACTTTCTGATGAGAAGTTTACATCGTTTGAGTATTTGTTCTTGTGTAGGTTTACATAATTTAAGCTGCCAAAAATCATCAAGTCGTAATTTAGGAAGATAAGAACGTCCAGGGTTCCCACCGAAAAGATAATGAACTTTTTTGATATTATCATAAACTAATTGATGAGCGAAACGTGGACAAGGTTCGAAATCTTGCATCTTACTCCAGTATTTTTCTCCCATGTTCTCATTCCGATAAACACAAGTCCATGAATTCTTCTCTATTTTATAAACCCAAAATGAATTCTGAACATTTTCATCTCGTTTATCTTTATTTTTACTCAAGCTTGATAAAACGTACATTTCACTAAGCATCGAATCTATAGTAGCTCTTTGAGTATAACCTGCTGCAGGAATATGATTAGATTCTTCATTTCCAAAATCAGTCAAACTTATGTGCTCAATTTTATTGGTATCAACTTCATAAGTAAAGAAATCATTAAGATATTCTTTACTTCTCTGACCAGCAAAAATATACAACTTTCGGTCAAGAGGATAAAACAACATTGAATGTCCGACTCTCGATCGTATTGTTGGCACATTCATCGGACTCGGTCGTGCAATATCACAGGCTAAAAGTTTCCAAGTATTTGTGGGAATATGATAAGAATAAAGACCTGAAAAAACAGGTTCTACTGGACTTAGTGACATACCGTGTTCTTCAACACCACCAGAAGGTGCTATTATACGTCCGCCAAATACATAAATCATTCGTTCGGTGACATCTATACACATTTGATGATCAAAAATTAATTTTGGACCTCCTACAGCACTAGTGTCTTCAGATATTTGAGTCCATTTATTTGATTCAATATCATAAACATAGAAATCACTCTTTAGATTCTCGGGACAGCGATATTGAGTATCTAAGTATCTTCCCAATATGAACAATTGTCGTCGTTCAGGATCAAGGCACATTTTATGGCAAGACCGAGCACTTGGTCCTCCAACATCTTCAGAATCTTTGCATATTAAAGTCCATTTACCTGTGCTAATATTGTAAGACCAAAGATCTGATAAATCTTGATTACCATTCCATCCTCCAAAGAGATACAAAGTTTCTGCTGATGCATCTAAGACCATTTGATGACCTCCTCGCATTCCTGGTTTTGGATCTTCACACGTTACTTTAGTCCACACAGCTCGATAAGGTTGACTGTTTGTGTAGTCATCTAAAAGCCCGGATGATACTGCTTCCGTGATGAATTTCTCAACTTCTACATAATCTCCTTTATTCACTAAAATATCATACAAAACTGATAGCCGCTGATCTTCAAGTTTTACATTTGATACTTTTCGAAGCGTTTGAAAAATGTCAGGTTGCTTTATACGGCGAAAGTGCTTCATACACAGTCTTAATATCTCATTTTGGAGGTACTGATTTACCCATGTAATACAAGGTTTTATAATTGCAGGATCATCATTTCCAGTAAGACGCACATACCAAATGCTGAAGTTGAAGCTTGGACCCCATGATTGAATGGGCATTATTTTTATAAACCTTACGGGATAGTATATCGTTTGATCAACACCTATTTTATGTTTTATTTCAAATGTTTCTGGTATTGAATCATTTTTCAGTCCTCTAAAAAGCATGGATTGAATGATTAAATAATGTATTTAATTTCAATATTCAGCCAATAATTTCAACCAATTTCTTACCCTTTCAATAATTCCGTCATGTTATCACACTCCATTCCACCGAAAATGAGGAATTTTTTCATGTTACATACATGAGTTTTTTCAAATTTTCCAAATGTTATATATTTAACAATTGATGGACGTGGAAGTTTGAGGATCAAGTACTGAAAAAATGATATCAATTTTTTATAGTATACAGTTATATTTAAAACAATCTCCAAATTAGTATAAATAATTTACCTGTGGATAGTGATCATGATCTGGAGACCAGCGAGAAGATTGATCTTGAGGTTTATCAACGAGTATATTTCTGCAATAAGGGTAAGTTAAACAATATAATTTTAAAATCTGAAAATTTTTCGTATTGAATAAAAAATATTTTCCATCAATTAAACGTAATGCAAACATGTTGAACTGATTGTTAAATTATTGTAACAGAAAACATTAAGACAGTAGAACAACTGAGTTCATTGTATAATAAAATAAATAAAGAAGTGACAAGATTATTGAAGTGTGCGTATTATATTTCAAAAATGTATTACTCTGGTAAATAAGAAGGTGAATAGCTGGAACACTTGTATATTCTGTACTCCAAAGTTTTCCATTTAATTTCATCGTCAGGTATATAATCGGAAGACGCCATATTATACAAATGACATAACCATAACCGTTTAGAGCAAAATATTTATACTTGTTGTTGGTTGTAATAATATTATTTTTTTTGGCTCACAAGATGTTCGATGAGTTTTTTTTTTATTGACCTACAAAGTATATCAGTACGAAAACTCCAGTATTTTAAGAATTAAACTACTTGTTTATTAAAAATATATTATATTGGTTAAGTTAATCAGTTAAAGTAAAAAAATGGATATGGTTAACGTAATACTTGATATAAATTATATAAATAATGACTGATATTATAAATAATAAATATTCGCGAAAGTGAGAATAAAGAGATTTTTTCAGAACTGCCACTGAAGTGAAAATACCACAGTTTCTTCGAGTATTTCTCTGTCGATATTGTAAAATTCTAGATTACTTGCCTTTCAATTCAGACCATACAAAAATAGAGTTTAAAAATATAATTACTTATAAAATTGAATTTTGATCTATTTATTGTAAAAATTTGAATGGTTTCAAAGTTTTTTTCTAAAAGAAATAGAAAATTAATCAAATGTTGTTTATTCAAAAAATTTGGATTTTACTGCTTTTTAAAGAAGAATCAGATTAAAGTGCTCTCTATAATAGAAATATTTAAATCAAAGAATGCTGTCTTATAGCAGAGAAGAGAGACCAGCAACTATCGACTATATAATTCTATGAAATTCTCAAACTTTCGGGCTCTTGAACTCTTCGGAGTGCAATAAAATTTATTTAATACCTGGAACACTTAGGTGTCCAAAATGTAGAAACAATAAAATATTTAAAATTAATGATCGAGAGTAACACTGACAAGTCACTTCAACCTTAAAGAGTGCAATAAAATCTAAGATAGAATAAAGGCCGAAAATTAGGGTAATCAAGTACCTGAACTCTTTTAAATGAGGATTGAATTGAGAAAATCCTCTAAAAAATTTCAAAATCACGTAAAGGTACTCCAAAGTAGACAAAACTAGTTGTTTTCTTCAGAACGAAGATGTATAAATCTAATTTTAAAAAATGTAACAAACTAACAAATTGTATACTACAGACATCTTGTGGTCAGAGTGCCAACTAAAAATTCCAGGCGACACGGAAGAGCCATTTCTGGACTTCTACGTAAGACAGTATTCTTTGTTTAAACCAAAGAAAAAGGACTGAACCTCTACATATGTTATATACATGTCTGCCTATTCTCTTTGATTTTAAGGTTATGTTTATGATCGTGCATGCTAGGTGAAAATCAAAGTATTGTTTATTTTTGTTGTCAAATCAAAAAATGTAAATTATTCAATAAGATAATATTTGATGGCAATTAAAAATATGAATAATAATCAACATTATCTATTTACTGTTTTAGAAAAATGGATGAAATATTGAAAGATCCACGTTTCGCACATGTTCCAAAGGATCCAAAATTTAGAAAGATTCCTAAAAATGAAAGGAAAGTAAAAATAGATAAAAGATTTCAGTCTATGTTCAAAGATGAAAAGTTTACTGTAAAATATACAATAGATAAACGTGGAAGACCAATCAGTCAAACATCTACAGAAAATTTAAAAAAGTACTACGATTTATCAAGTAATGAAGATGATAGTGACGAAGATGAAATTAAACAAAATGAAAAAATAAGAACAAGCAAGAAAACTAAAAAAAATAAAATTACAAATTCATCAAAACAAAAAACTAAACCTAAAGATAAAAATATTACTGATGATGATGATAGTGATAGTGATGAGACAAATAAGAACATACATATTGGTGAGGATGATATTAGAAATGATTTGGATGAATCTCATACTTCAAGTGATTGTAAATCAATTTCTACCGCTCTTGAATTAAATGAAAATGAAAAGCAATTAAATTTACGACGAAAAAATGAACAAAGTACCATAAATCCTAACATAAAGAAAAAACTTAAAGACTTAACTATTGATTATGCAAGAGGAGAAGGAACATTATTCTCTGACAGTTCCTCTGATGAAGAATCATCAGAAGACGAGAATGATGAAGATATTGAACACAATTGGGGAGAACTGGATAAAGATGCTGACACAACCGAAGAAGTTACATCACGTTTAGCAGTTTGTAATATGGATTGGGATAGAATTCGTGCAGTAGATTTAATGGTTTTGCTGAATTCTTTTCTACCTCCAGGAGGTTTAATACACTCTGTTACAATTTATCCATCGGAATATGGTTTAAAACGAATGAAAGAAGAAGAAATTAAAGGTCCTATTGAATTAGTAGATAATAAAACAGAAGAAGAATCTGATAATGATACCCACAGTAATGATCATGATGAAAATAATAGTGAAAATGAAGAAGGATCACAGTTTCATAGAGAAAAAATGAGACAGTACCAACTAAATAGACTGAAGTATTACTATGCAGTTGTAGCTTTTGATTCTGAAGAAAGTGCAAATAAAGTATACACGGAGTGTGATGGGATAGAATATGAATCAACTGCTACCAAGTTAGATTTACGATTTATTCCTAACGATATGGAATTTGATCATGAACCTAAAGAGGTTTGTAGTAAATTACCTGAAGTTACTAAATATCAGCCAAGATCGTTTACAACAACTGCTCTGCAACAAGTTAAAGTTGAACTTACTTGGGATGAAACTAAACCAGAAAGAAAAGAAATAACTCAAAAATTAAATTCCGGAAAAATTGATGATGTTGACGATAGTGATATTCAAGCTTATCTTGCAAGTGGAACCAGTGATGAATCAGATGTTGATGAAATTGATGTTCACGAAAAAAGTGAGGCAAATTCTAATGTTCAAGTAAAAGAACATTCAGATCCTATTGAAAAATATAAATCTTTACTAAAATCAATCGAAGAAAAAGAGGAAGAAAAAAAGAAGAAAGAAGTTGAGTTAGAATTTACTTGGGGATTGGGAATAAAAGAAAAGACCGAAAAATTAGTTAAAGAAAGAATGAAAAAGAAAGAAAATTTAACACCTTTTGAACAATTTTTGGAGAAACGAAAAGAAAAGAAAAAAGCTAAATTGGAAGAAAAAAAGAAAACGAAACAATCCGATATAAATGGAGAGTCTTCTAATGAAGAAGAGTCTGATAGTGAAGATTCTATTCCTTCAGATGTAGACATGAATGATCCATACTTTGCAGAAGAAATGAAAAATATGAAGCAAAAAAATAAAAAAATTAAAAGTAAAAAGATCAATCATGATTCTGACGATGAAGAAAAGATACAGAAGAAATCAGAATTAGAGTTATTGATGTTGGATGAGGATGATGGGAAACATCATTTTGATATGAATAAGATTGAAGAAAATCAAATGCTTACAAAATCTAAAAAGAAAAGACTGAGTAAGAAAAAGAAAAAGCAAGTGAAAGAAGTAGTTGAAGATAACTTTGAAGTTAATGTGAATGATCCTAGATTTTCTGCACTTTTTTATTCACATTACTTCAACGTTGATCCTGCTGACCCTCATTATAGGAAAACTAAGGGAACCGAAGCTTTAATCAATGAAAAGTTTAAGAGACGAGCTAACCAAAATGAAGACAAGGTACACATATTATTTCATATTTTACTTAGATTGTTGAATGTTATTATATTGATTCAAATTATTTTTTAGGATTTACCCACAAAACAATTGAAAAAAGATGAAGCAACAAAGGATGATATTGCAGCCCTTGTAAAAATGGTGAAGAAAAATACTAAGAATATATTAAAACCTATAAAATAGTAATTTAATAATTAATCGATACATTTTGTATATAAAAATAATATTAAACGTTTTTTAAAAAAGTAGAAAATTTATTGAATACAAAAGAAAAATATTTAAAGGTAATACACCAAACAAATAAAAACCAACAGTTACATATTTTTTACAAATTGTTTCTCCGTTTAAATGCATAAATAAATTTATTCATTCGATATTAAAATAATATTTAAATCATCGCAATACAAAAATTTCTTAATTGATAAAAACAAATTAATCAAATTTTTTTTTTACATTTTATGTTTATGCAGTAAAATCATCAGAATCAAAATTCGTTTTAGGGAAACAAATAGATTGATCACGAATTTTTTTATATCTTTCCATAATATCACTTATAGAAAATCTTCGATTACTTCTGTCTTTCCGTTTTTTCGTATCATTTAAATCTTGTACGTCAATTTCGTCGATATTGTTAATTTCTTTATCTGTACATAATAGTTCTAAACCATTTAATTGTTCAACAGTTGTTTTTTCAGGCTCCTCCAAATTTATTGGCTCTTTAACAGGCTTGATTTCAGTTGTTGATTCAACAATAGTTTTCAAACTAGAGACTGTAGAATTGAATACTGGATTGCCGATACTTTTAATTCCCAATAAATTTTCAGATAAGGATAAATTGATTGATGAATTTTTTGGAGGTGTAGATAATTCTAAACTATTATTAACTGAATTTACAAACGAATTGTAAGGGCGTTGTTCATACATGCTGTAATTTTCACTAGCAAGAGAACTCGTTCTCCACTGGTTACCTAATAATTTGAGGCCTCCTCGTCGTCTTCTGACTAAATCAGCCATTTTCGACCCTATACGAGCTTCTATGGAATGTGGTGACTGTGTTAATACTGTACGTCGACTAATATTCATCGATTCTTCCCTGCTTGTTGATGGTAAAGTTTCGTCGAAATTTATTCGTGTAATTGTTAATTTGGAACGCTCTAGCATCAGATTAGAACGAATGTAGTCATTATACTTTGAATATTTTAAAAGCAATTCTTTTTGAGGATGTTCAACAGGTGTAAGCTGTAACCTTTCAAAAATATCATCCTTATTAGGTTCGTAATTTTTCAATTGAATTACTGGAGAAGATTTTAAAACATCACTATGGAAAATTTCATTATCTAAATGAAAATGAATTGAATTGTGTGAAGGTTGAAATAAAGTTATAACTTTCGCCAATTCGTTGGATAATTCTATTGTTTTGTTCTTCATTGTGTTGATAGTTGTAAACAGTAATTTCAAATCCTCTGTACTTGCTAAAACTTGATCATTAGCTATTGATAAATGTGGAGAATTGAGATGTTTAGCATTGATTCGATAATAATTTAATACAGAAGCTAATATAATGAACAGATTATTCAAGTGTAATTTTCCTCCTTGATATAAATTACTCAAAGCAACCTAGAATATGAAGTTACAATATTTAAACAATTAATGAGTAAAGTGAATTTTTATTGTTAGATCAAATGATAATTAATTTTAGTTACCTGAACATTTGGGTCTAATAATTTATCTATTAAACATGTAATATCTATTAGAGGTAAATCTTTGCCACTCAATATTCTCCTACAATTTGAGCATGAAGTTTCTACTAAATTTTTTATTTCTCCACTTCGTTTTTTTATTTTTTTTATTCGATTCACTTTTTGTGAGAATTCCTCCAGCATTTTATTTACATTGAAATTCCAATCTAAATGAAATATATAAAATAAGTAATGATGTTGAACATTAAAACAAATCCAAGCAATTTTATAATATCTACAATACTTGCCTTCTATTACTTCACTATCATTAGTTTGTGATAATTGTTTTTTAAAATCTTGACTATTTGAATTTACACTATTAATCGTTTGTAATAGATTTTGTCGTTCTTCCAATAAATTTTTTTGTGCTACTTCAATAGATTCTATAGCCTTTCTAAAGAAAAATAAAGTAATAAAACAAATCAAACGACCTATTTTTCTAATCGATTACATATGATAAATAAATCTAAATAAAGATTTGAAAAAATCTACAAGCATATTATTATTGCAAATTTAATAAAATAATGATTTTTTTCAAATTTTTAAATAATTATATTTACTCAGAAAATTCCTTCGCTTGAAGTTCGACTCGATTAACCACTGCAGCATAATCTTTCAGACAAACTGCATTTTTAGCAATTGTATTTTTCAATAATACATTTGCTACTGGATGTGAAGATTTAGGTTTCGCAAGAGGAACTATACCTTTAAAATTTTTTAAAGATTTATAATAAATTCTCAAATTGGCTTATCTCTCTAATGATAAATCAATTTTTTTGGTTACCTGACTTTCGTAAAAATTTTCTTAAAACAGCTTCCGATAATTTATACATTATATTAATGAATTTTCTTCCGCCAGCAGTTACTAAATGAGATGTTAATATTAAAGGAAACTCCAAATCTTTATTTTCATCAGACACGATGACCAAAAAGTCTTTGACATTATTGCGATATTTAACTTCTGTTTTTTTATCAAATAATGGCCATTCAACATTATTTTTAAAATGTTCTTCATCATATATATTTAACAAATAATAAGAAACATGAATAAATCCTACGGTATTTGGTTTGTCAAATATTCCTTCTTTGAAATGTTTTTCAAAATCTTTAGCTGGTGTTACGCCTTGTGTGAGAGTATATACGATCTTGTAAAATCTTTTACTTATAACTGAATCTGGAGTATTCATATTTTATTAATCTTAAAATAATAATACTAAAAAGCTTTTATTAATATTTCTTAGAATTACTGTCGATTAATTTTAACAGTTAAACTTATTTAAATGAATGTATACCATGAAGTACATTATGGAACTAACCAAAGAGTATTTCCTACCACTTCAATTACTTACTGCAACATGACACATACCGGCTTTTCATTACTAACTTCACGATAATACACACAGTCGGTATAAGATAATAATTGAATGTCTTATAATTAGTTTTATAATTTTCTAAAAAAATGCATATTTAGTGCATTTAGTTTTAAGTAATTCTTATAAAAATCATAAAGTTAACAATTCTGAAAAAAAACATAAAAAAAGTATTTAAATAAATTTTGGATAAATAATCTTTCCCGCCCGAAGTGTACTGCGCAAAGAACCAATTTTCAGTAAATGCGCATTACACATGTTCTGTTAACAGCTTTTGATTTTAGTGTTTACATTTTTTATCTGAAAAGTAATTCCAATTTCTTAATGATTCTTAGCGTATTGACAAATTAAATAACTGTTTAAAAATATTCAGTATACAGTAATTAATGTCTTTAAAATAATAGTGTTGTACAATAATTAATCTTTCCTTGTGACAATATAAAAGCATATTTGAACGCAAGACATCTGATAACAAATAACGACGATACATCTTTGTTTTACAGAATAAAGACGAATTTAGGGATTTAAGTAAGTAATATAACATTTTTTAAATATTATAATTTCAAATGTACTTTTAATTTTCTTTAAGTGTAAAAGTTCTTCTCTTCTATCAAAATTATCGTGTAATTATGTGTTAGTATCATGTATTCTCTTTCTTAGAATTAGTTATCAAAGTGTTTATATTTGATTCAACAATAATTTACTATACCATTCTCGTAATTTATTAATATATAGGACTGGGATTTATTCATCTTGGTTACACAGTTTGTTTGTATACACAAAAAAATTTTTATTTCTAAAACTGTTTTAATGTTAATACTTACTTTAACTGTTACTTACTTACTTACTTTAACTGTTTTAAATGATAATTATTTATTAGTAATATTTCAGGTATGGAAGAAGTATTACAAATAGCTTCATTAAAATTTCACAAAAATGAGACGCAGAAAGAAGCTATTTTAGATAATTTTATTCGCAAAAACGATACAGAAAAAATAAAATTTGCTGTAGAGTATTTGATTCAAAATTCAAGGTTTCCTAAAATCACTCATCAGTCGAAAGATGCTTTGAAAGCGAAAGATAAAATTAGTGAAGCAAATACTATGATGGCTAAAAATGTATCTTTCAAAAAAGTACTTGAAACTTATACTGAAGCTATTGCATTTGCACCAGTCGGTTCAAAAGAATTAGGTTTAGCCTATGCTAATCGATCTGCCTTACTGTGCAATGCCAAATATTATGAAGATTCTTTAAAAGATATCAATAGAACTCTTCAACTTAGATATCCCGATAAACTAAAAGCTGCACTATTCATACGCCGGGCAAAAAATTTACTAGGAATTGATCCATCAATGCGTCCAGAAGTTACTGAAGCTATACAAAATGCTCAGAACTATGTGGGTTTAGCAGATCCTATAAGTCGTCCAAGGCTTCAAGAGTCATTAGATTTATTAAGAATACTAAAAAAACCATTGGATCCTCCCGCGAAAAAATGGGATGATAGAAAATTTTTACCAAAAACGCCTTGTGGCAATTCCAAGATTTTACGAGTTTCAGATGGTATCGCTATAAAATACTCTGAAGAATTTGGTAGACACATTGTTGCTACACGAGATATAGACGCTGGCGAACCAATTATGGTTCATAAATCATATGTTGCTGTTCTGGCGACACAACATTTGTATTCTTACTGTTGGAATTGTTCAAAAAGAGCTTGGACTGCAGTACCTTGTGCCCATTGTGTGAATATTGTTTTTTGTAGCGAAGTTTGTCGAGACAAAGCTTGGCAAGATTATCATGATCTTGAATGTTCGATAGTAACTTCTCTTGCAGCTAATATTATTTTACCAGTTGATGTGATGGCTTTGAGAATAACAATTAAAGCTTTTAAAGAAATGAAATCAATTAATGGCCTCAAAACGAAAATTGGAATACTTGATGGATTAACGGGTGAAAATGATTATTATTTTTTATTTTTATTATTGATGTAAATATATTAATTTCACGGAAAAATTATTACATGAAAAATTACTATAGATTTGTAGTACTAGCGAACTATCTCCAAAGTTTTAATAAATTAAAAAAAAAAATTTAAAAGACACTTTGGTCATGATGAGCCAAATTTCTCATTGACCTGAGCCTGAAAGTATTATCCACTACAGTAAAAAGTCTTACAACAGAACACACTTTTCTTCATGCATTTTTATTTTTCTTAAAAATATTTTAAACGTGGATAAAACATTCATTATTAATTAAAAAAAAATAATCCATTTAAAAACTTATAATCAAATTCAAGTCCAAACTGGCCCAATATTAGACTTTTTACTGTAGTTTATAGTATTTTGAAGCTCAGGTCACTGGAAAATTTTTCCCTTGAGAGATTTTACTATAGGCCACAGTATAAAGGATTACAAGTTCAAACTGATTCGACATTACTACATCCCATAGTAAAATTTCATTAAAATCCGTAGAAAAAAATAATATAATATTCTTTCCGTATAAAAAAAATAACTTAAATATTCTAAATTAATTTTTTTATAATTTTTTACATAGATCCAATAACAAAATCTTTTAGTGAAGGAGTATTTAACGACACAAAATACGCAAGTGTTGGTACATTAATGAGAAGATCAGAAACTCAATATCAATTCGAACATACTTTGAGATGTGCATGTCTTCTGTACTATCTCGCGTCAGCAACAGAAATATTTGGGAGAAAAATCTATGATTTCAAAGCTCTTCTTCATAACCAATCGGCATTATTTATGGGTGGATTGATCTTTAGACATTTTGAAATCATATTAACAAATGCAACAGGAGTAAGTATATTTTGGAAAAATTTTTTGAGTCTTTACAATTTATTTGCTAATACAGTAATTTTTAAATAATTTTCTCGGTCGATTAATGTAACTTAATTTTTTTCATTGTAAAGATTTTTTCAAATGATGATGAAGGTAAAAATTTTGCTAAAGGAGGCCAATTAATATCTTTTCAAAGTCTCTTTAACCATAGTTGTGATCCTAATGGATATCTATATACATCCGGTGATATGAATGCAATTATTGCTTTTGATACGATAAAAGCAGGTCAACAAATTTTTTTAAATTATGGAATTGGATACACAGAATGGCCAACTTATGTAAGAAGAGAAAAACTTTTACGGACTCATAAATTTTTGTGTAATTGTGAAGCATGTAAAAATGATTGGGGTCCTGATTTTTATATGCTTCCAATCGGTGTAAGAATTTTTAAACTTTTACTTTAAATCCATATCATACTACGATTGTAAATATTATTAATTAATTAATTTTGATTGTTTGACAGGAATTACCTTTATCGCCTACAATTAAGAATCAACTGAACATCATAAAAAAAGAGAGTTACAACTACAGATTCCCATTATCATTTGATATGATAGATGATAAATCACCAAATAACATTGAAAATATTTTGTCAACATTATTTGAAATCTTAAATTCTTATAGGGTATTTTTAAATGAACCCTGCCAAGAAACCCACACATTAAAAATATCTTTAACTAAAATTTATAATGCTCTAAGTCGTTAATAATTACTATGCAAAGAATTATTATTACATATCATTTAATATTCGATGTAGATACAATCTTGCGAATGTTTTTCGATTAAAAAAAATACGTAGATTATTCAATTAAAAATAAAATAATTTTATTTTAGTTGTATGATTTCTCAGCAATCTGCGCTATAACGATCCTTTATTTATTTATGTTAATTACATTATATTTGATTAATTATACCATAGTTATAATGTTTTTCATTTGAAAAAAAATGAGAACGTTTAATATCATTGGGAAGTATTAAAACGTTTGTACAGTATTTGGATGGACAATTGAATTTAATAAAAATATATGTTTTTATAAAATATTTATTACTTCAGTAAAAACTTAGAGACCCAAATTTACATTATTAAAATTTTTTTACGTGCTGTACAATTCTCTATTAGCTTTTATTACAAAAAGCAAAATGCTTACGCTACCAAACTTTTCAAATGAGATGACTTCCAGAAATTTACTGCTATACCGACGTGACAACTTCATAGTTCACAGAAATACCGTAAAAATCATTAGTGACATTTCTGAACGTAAGTTTCGTTTCTATTCAATTTCGTTCATGTTTGTTATTCAAAAACGGTCCGTTGCAAGCATCAGATGTCAACAGTAAATCACCATCAAGTTGAAATTGATAATATAATTTTATAAATATTCCATTATTTCATGGCAGATTCGGTAAGTAAATACATCTTCATAATTTTTAAAACTGTATCTTAATTATTTTTTTATTAAATTCAATTTATTTTATTTTATAAAGATTTATTAATGATTAGCATCTTTTGATTTTTCTAGGGAAGTAGTTCTGCAGAATTTGTTCCAGCAAATATTGAAGACATTGAGAAGCTAGAAGTTTTAAAACAAGCTTATGAAGAGCTTAAGGAATTATATTGTCTACTTCGTTTAATGAAAATTGATTTAGAAAAAATGGTTGAAAATTTCTCATTAATCATTTGTAAGTTATTCAACTCATAAACAAATCATTTCAGAACATTTATTTCAACTTACTATAACATTTTTATTTTTAGGAGTTGATAATCATTTATTTTAAACTTTAAAACTATCTCGTTTTTAAAGAAATTATTTTATTGATTTACAAAGGACATTAAAATGGATAGGCGAAAGAGTCTTGGACATGTTCTTACAGAAAATGTAAGCAGTCCTTTACGACGTCGATCAAGTATTGGAATCAGACAACCAAATATTGACCTTAATGTTAATGATGATGAAGCAGAACGCGTACGACTTCGTTTGGAGTCAAAAGAACCAACACCAACTGTTCAATCATCAAATCGTCGGCATTCTTTAAATTTTGGAGTTGTAATGAACATGACAACTCCACAAATTGCAGAAGGAATAGCGGAATGTATTAAATTGAGTACACAAAACAAAATAAACACAAAAAATGCATTTAGTTTAAATATGATAGATTTTATGTCGTGGATGGTAAAAAATAAACAACAAGAGATGGGAAATTTACAAATGGCTGCTATGGGATTGGACATTAGTGCTAAAATCTATGCTTTAAGGGTTGAAGGTCTTCATCAAAAAATTTTAAACATGGCAGGGAACTTAGATCCTAATGATACTAAACCAGATAATACGAGTACAGAAGAAAATGTTTTAAATGGTGAGGAGGGATCAGATGTTTTAAGCCAGCAACAGAAAAAGAAGAAAAAGAAAAATGTAAATAAAGAAATGTTTACAACGATAGAAGCCTTGCAAGGTAAAAAAGATTCTGTTAGTTTAGATCCAATAATGTTTGGAGAAACTGATTGTCAAGTTTCTTCAATGTTGCATCAATTTATGCTTCCACAACATTCGACTCAAAGCTTATTTCTTCATGTTTATCATGATATTCTTATTGATGATTCTATTGTTGAAAAAAAGAATAAAGATTCAGAAGTTAGAATTACGTGGCCTCCAGTTCATCCTGATGCTAATAAAGAAATGAATCCTATTTTTTCTACTTTCGAATTTCTCGATTATTCATCTGATCAAGACAGCAATCCGACTCATTCTCAAGAACGAGCTTCAGATAACGAAAATTTAGCATTTGACTTAGACGCTAGCTTACCTCCAGATGCTGAACATGATGATGGCACGAATTACTTTGTAATGGATGACGATGGTGATGAACGCCAAGTGGCATGTGAATCAGAACCTGCAGGTCCTGTAATGGTAGCAACAATTGAAAATATTCTTGATAAAATTCCTGCTCAAGGTCTTGAATATTCAATGTTTGATCAATCGTTGAACATTCGATGGGTTGGACCGTCTCACTGGAAGATAAAAAACCTTGCAAAAAATTTTGGTTCAAGCAAAATTGGTGAAGCTTATACTCAAAATTCTAAAAAGAAAAAGAAAGACTTCACATTACAGTATTCAATTGAAGAAATTGAAAAACTTGGCAATAAGTTTAAGAAGGGTAATTCACAATTAAGATCATCTACTCTTAAATATTCGTGGCTCGAAGAAAAATTAATTCTTCAAAAAGAAACTTCTAATGATAAATTTACGGATATGTGTAAACTTTATTACAGACCAGATTATATTATTCGATTATTAGATAAAACAGATGCAAATGCTACCAATTTAGATGATGCTGCAGAGGGATATAATTATAATAATGTAAACGATATATCTAATTATTGTCCTAGCATTCATACTGATGATATTGCTGCTAATGATGATCAAACAGATGATTATAATCCTGAGACAAATAGTGGTTTTGTTGGTATGAATTTAATAGAAGCTCCAAAATTGACACAGAAAATTTTTATTCCTTACTCTCAGAGAGCCAAAAAACTTGATATGTTTAAATTGAAAAAGTGCATCTGGAAAAACTTAGAAACTATTGAGCAAAATAATGATGAAAATATTGATATTACAAATCAAGATAATCCTGGGGTAAAGGGAGAAAAAAGTTTTGCAAAAGTTTTTGAAAGTCTTCCAGATAAACTTAACAAAAATGATGCAGAAGAGTTGAGTTTTCCTATTGCCTTTGTATCTCTTCTACATCTTGCAAATGAAAAATGTTTGAAAATATTAGGAAATGATAACTATTCGGATTTAACAATACAACAAGATCAAATATAAAATATTAAATAATTAAGAATTACAATATATTTTAATTATACAAATTCATTTCTTTTGTGTAAAAAAAGAATTATATTAGTTAACTGTCATTTATAAATAAAATTTTTATAAAATATCTTCTATTAATTACATAAATCGCTTTATGCTTTGATTTTTTATTGAAAAATGCATATATTAAAATTAAATTATAATTAATTATATTTAATTAATTTATAGTGGCAGCACTGCAATAAATCGCAATTGTTTTATTCTTCGCTGCGCGAAATATATGCGCAGTAAATTTATACGCACACGGCTTCATGACTACATCACATAAAAATATGGTGATGATGTGAACTAATCTAACGTTAAAAATTCGTGTTTTGTCAATTATTTTTGGAATACTATTATTTAACTTCATCTGCATTCAATAAAAATGGAGATTATTCTTAATAAACTACTTTCAATAGATAATTCTGTAATTCAGCAAGTGAGTTTCATAAATCATGATCACATTTTGCAAATAATTATATGATAAACACGTGCTTATCCGGCATTCGAGATATTCGTTATTATTAGTTCAATATTTTCAGGGAACAGCAGAATTGAAAGAGGCTTTCCGAAAACCTGAAAGTACCGTAGCTCTAGGACAACTTATTGTTTCATCCCCAAATACACCTGTAAGATTCATAATTTTTTTTTATCATTATGTCAACTAAAATCGTAGTTTATCATCTTTTATTAACATTATCTGATATGATTCAATCAATAATACTTTATAAAAAACTTATAGATCAGACAATATGCTGCTGTACTTCTTCGAAAAAAATATAGTAGAGGAGACCATTGGTCAAAATTGCCACCAAATATTAAAATGGAACTGAAATCAATTTTACTTCAAGGACTAGTTAACGATCCAGAACAGATAGTTAAAAATGCAATAGCTCAATTGATTGGTATTATCGTAAAATATGAACTACCGAACAATTCCTGGCCAGAGATATTTCAAATAATTCAACAGCTTGCTTCAAGCTCAAATATGGTAGAAAAAGAATTAGCAATGTTTACTTTATCACGAATGACTGATGTGGCACCAAGTGTTTATCTAGCTCATGCACAAGCCTTAATTACTCTTCTGGATGAAACATACAGAAGTCTCCAAAGTCTAGGAAATCCTACAGCTTTTTATATCGTTAAAACAATGCAGAATCTTTCATGCTTGGTAGAAGGAAATCAAATGATGGTCAATGCTTACAATCACTTAATACCATTAGCAATAAATATAATTCAAGCTCTAGTACCAGTAGATGAAAGTAAAACTACAGAAGCAATGGAGTTATTTGATGAATTATGTGATCATGCTCCAAGCACTGTTTCTATTCACGCAAAGAACATTGTTTCTATGTGTTTACCAATTGCAAGGAATAAATTTTTAAGCGATGAATTAAAAATGAAAGCTATAGAATTAATCAATTCTACAATAAAAGTAAAGCCTCGAACTATTGTAGCGAATAAACTTGTTGAGCCGATTATTGATGCGTTGTTTGAGATCATGTCTGGTCCACCAGATAACGAAGCTGATGAGATTTATATTAGTGGAGATGATGTAGATAATACTACAATTGCTTGTGCAGTGGTGACCTTAGTAGAAATGGCCACACGGCTGAAACCAGAGAAATTGGTACCACTTTTGATACGTCATATAGAACCGAGTCTTCAAGGTTCAGACCCTTGTGCTAAAAAGGCAGCATTTTTAACTGCAGCTGCGTTATCAGAAGGATGTTCGGATTATGTCAGAACCAAATATCTAGATATATTTCTTAAATGTACCTGTGAAGGAATTAGGCACGAATCGCCGATAGTGCGTAATGCGGCTCTTTTTGCTTTAGGTCGATTTTCAGAATATCTTCAGCCTGAAATGAGTCAATATGCTAAGGAACTTTTACCTGTGCTTTTTGAATATCTTTCTCAAGTGTGTATACATTTAAAGAAAGAAAAAAGCGAACCACCTTCAATTGAAAGAATGTTCTATGCTTTAGAAACATTTTGTGAGAATTTAAATGATGGCATTTTACCGTATCTTCCAACACTTATGGAGAGATTATTTGAAATTTTGAATACCGAAGCACCAACTTCCGTTAAAGAATTAACAATCAGTGCTATTGGAGCAACAGCTAATGCAAGCCAAGAACATATATATCCTTACTTTGAAAGAATCATTGCAGTACTTGATTCATATTTCATGACAGAAATGAATGATGAAAATATGAGTATTCTACTTCAATCAGTTGATACACTTGGAGTGCTTGCTAGAACCGTTGGGGGCAAAAATTTTGCTCCTTTGGTTGGTAAGTCTCTAGACTTAGGGCTTAAGCTCGTTCGTGAAAATGATGATCCAGATGTTCGTAAGGCTGTTTATGGATTATTTGCTTCAATTGCGACGATAACAAAAAAGGAAATGGCTCCAGTTCTACCAAAAGTTTTAGAAGTTATTTTTCAGGGTATTCAAAATTCCGAAGGGATTATAACTCATTTAAAAGAAGATGAAGATTCAACATTTCTGTTTTATGAAGATTTAAGTGATGAATTAGATGAAGAGGACATAGAACATACAGATAATGAAGATGATGAAGACGATAATGTAGCGTGCTACACAGTATCTAATTCATTCATTGAGGAAAAAGAAGAAGCAATATTAGCATTACGTGAAATCGCTCTCCATACTGAAGAGTCTTTTCTTCCATACTTGGAAAAGGCTTTTGAAGAAACATTTAAATTATTGAATTATCCCCACGAAAATATTAAGAGAGTCTCTGTTGATGCTTTAACTCAGTTTTGTGTCAATTTTTCTAAAATAAATACAAATGAAGGACAACAAGCATCACTTAAAGCACTCGCCATTTTCGTGCCAAAATTATCGGAAATTATAAGGCTTGAAAATGAACCAACACTTGCTATTGCCGGGCTAGAAGCACTTGCGGAATTGCTAAAAGATGTTAAAGAAAGTGTTCTAGTCGGTCAAGGACATAAAGAAGCAATAATAAATTGTGTTACAGATATTTTGAGTGGTAAAGCTGAATGTCAAGATGTAGGTGAAACAGACGATGATGATGAGGCAGAACAGGATGAACTTTTAGTTGAGTGCGCTGGAGAAGTTTTCACAAATTTTGGTAAAATTTTAACTCCTGAAGAGTTTGCAATTTACTTTCAAACAATTTTGCCATATTTAAAAGAAAGATTGAAAGATAATAAGTCAGAATCTCAACAATCATTTGCCATTGGAACACTTGCAGAATGCTTATCAGGTTTAAAACATATGACTTCTACATTTGTTCCTTTGCTTTTTAATCTCTTCAAAAAAATGATTAGAGATTCTTGTCCTGAAGTTAGGAATAATGCTTATTATGGTCTTGGAGAATTAGCATTTTGGGGAAAAGATTCTATGTATCCATATTACAGTGAAATACTGCAACTACTTGCTGGTGCTTTGCACACTGAAGAGCATGCCGGGCCTAGAGATAATATGGTTGGAGTTATTGCAAGACTTATTATTACTAATTACTCATTAGCTGATGTAGATCGCGTGTTTCCAGTTTTTGTACAACAATTGCCACTCAAACAAGACTATGAAGAATACAAGTCTGTTTTCAAAAGTATTTTAACTCTTTATAAGCTTGGACATGAAGTTATAAAACCTCATATTTATAATTTATTAAAAATATCGATTAATATTCTTTATGAAAAACATGTTCCCGATGAAGGTACGTTATTAAGTTTTTATTATAATAATTCGTTGGAATTAATAATTAAAATTTTTTTTCATTGTAGAAACGAAAAATTTAATTACGGAATTTATTAATTCCGCTCAACAAGACTTTCCCAACGAATGGCATACTGTTTTTTCGGAATTAACACCAGAACTCCAGCACATTCTATCTTGTTAAAGATAATTGCGGATATTGTTTGATGCACATCTAATGAAATGCATTTCAATTTTCAAATATTTATAAAATAAATTAAAACATATTTTTTTAATCAAGAAAATTCAGATTAAAAATCACCATCTTCTTAAACACTAGATCAATGGTGTCGTGATATTGAAATTCAGTTATTGCTGTAAGTAATTGAAATATTTCATGAAGAAAAATTGTTTCATCCATATATAAAAATTTACACAGTGATTTTCTACAATTTTGTGCCTTTTTGAATATTATTTTTACATTTGCATATTTACACTAATCAAATAGTATGATAAACATTTTTAATAAAAATACTATATTGCATTAGAATAACTGAATGTTAGAACAATATAAAGTTTAATGTGAATATTATTTTCTACATTAGTCAAGATTCAGTACAGAGATGTCATCGCTTGAATTAGTAATAGTGCTATGATTGCAAAATAAATGAAAATTTGTTTTTTAAATATAATCTTTTTACATAAAATTCATTATGAAATATTAAATAACGTACAGTTAGTAGTTTCAATACCCACTGATGGATTATTACATAGGTTTACTATCATTATTAATCTTATAAGAAAACTTTTAATCGCTACTGAGAAAAAGTATTGTTAATAAACCAGATTAAGTGTCATATCATTTTTCCGGTTAAGGAACAGCAAAAAATACCCTCAGAGATATTGTTTTTTTTTTGTTTCAACCACTTAATCAAAACAAAGTTGTTCATATAAAATAGATAGAAAGCGATAAGAAATACCGTGGGATCCACTTATAATTTCCGTAACATATAGTCAGTATATAATATTTATGATATCGAGTGCTTTCGTGATATCACAAGTATTATCAAAGACACGATAGATAGGCCATAATGGTCAGTCTCTTTCAAATAAGTGTCTTTACGTGAGAGTGACTTGTGTATAGCATTGCATTTCGTTTCTATGTTATTAATAAGTAAAGTTTATGTGAGTTTTATGATTTCATATAATGTTTGGCTAAAGCTTTTTCGGTAATTAGTTTTTTGTGCTATTCTTATTATTGTTATTATTTGAAGAAATGTGCAAAATCAGTTATGTGCTAAGAATGATTAAAAGATCATATCATTTCAGATTCATTGAACATCAATCGCTCATACCTATTTAAGGAATTTAAAAGTGAATAACAATCAATCGGCATTTATAGGTTGGATCGATGATGTTATATATTAAGTATTTAGCAGATTGGTATTCTTTTATACTCAAAATTTCTTAGTACTCTCTTTCGATTAAAAAATAATCGAATTCAAAGAATTTATCGATAAAAGCGATCCCTAAAACGAAAGAAAAAGTAGAAGGAGTTTCAGACAGTCACATTTTGACTTTGCTCGAAAGTGAACGAACTTGTGTTGAATTAACTTCTCGAATTATTATCATTTGTTACTAACTTAAGTTATTTATTTAATGAACTTTTGTGCAATCTTTTGTGAACTAATAATCCATCACAGCCGATATATGAAGACGGAAGTCGTAAAAGCAATCGGTAATTGTTTGTGTGAGAATACATAAATAAATGCATGACAACGTCCTTGACGATAAATTGTGACTTGAATGAAGAAGTATTGAATGTAAAGTCATTGGTTGACCGCAGAAGTGATGATTAAAAAATGCAATTATAGAATGTTATTCTCACAAATGTTATAAAAAATATTCAGGAACAATTAGCTATAAATCACTGTCATGAATAGATGTAATGAGAAATCAACATGCTAAAGGATAAAAAAATTCTTAATTTCTAAATGTAAATTGGAATTATAATGAGTGCAATGACTGTCATACAATGTCTAAGGTTCAAAAGAATGAATCAAATTCTCATTCAGTTGCAGTAAATATCCTTGATAAGTATGTGTCAACAAGCCACCAACACCAAAGTAGTTCATCTTTCATATGTCAATAAGCTAGTCACGTGGAATCTTGTGAGGATTTTAAATATTTGAACTCTTTTATATCTATTTCTTTTTAAATAACTATAAATGAATTTCGATATTTATTTAACTAGATAACAAAAAGCTATTGAAAAGAATGCAACAGATATCGTGGCCATGCGGGAGAAAGTTGAACTTGTTGCCGAAACATCAGAACTCATTGCATTCACCTGTCAATCGTCCTTCGCTTGAAAAATCAAATACATTATTCTGTCTTCACTTACAAGTCTGATCCCTCACAGACCCTTACGCATATTGTTTGAGTCTAGACAGTTCATGAGTGATATAGAAATTCAATTAAATAACTGTATTTATTTTTAAGTAAACCACGTTTTTTTTATAAAAAATTCCATTTTTTGTGGGAATATTTAACGGAGTTATTTTTATCTTACTTTTTTATTAAGTGAAAAATATATACGTGTGGCTTCCGGTTACATGTCAAGTGGCCCATTTTCATTATCTTGATAAAGTCCTCTGGACTTACATCGTTAGATCGTGGTTTCTGTCAGTTCTGTTAAGTGAAAAATGCACGTTAGTGAAACAAGAATAAATTCAAAGCTATCAAAAAATAAAATTCTGAATAAAAAAATTAAAACAATACTTTATAATTATTAGATTTAACAATTGAATTTAACCAATGTTAATAATGAATGATTTATAAGATCACATGGAAAAAGATGAATAGATTGAATTTAAAAAAAAAAAAATTAAATGTAAGACTATTGAAAGTGATAAATAGTGATAATTAACCAATTAGCAAGTAAATATTCTATGAAAAATTTGAAAACATGGATGTGGAATTAGTCACCAGAACATCTCTTAGTTCACTTTCTAAAGTAGATGATGGAAGAATTGTCTCACCAAATAGTCTTGATGAGTGGACATGGTCAAGTCTTAGGGTGAGTGAAAAAAAAAAAAAATTATTTATCATTATTTTTTTCCATATTCAACAGCGTTATTTTCACCAAGTAAGTATATTTTTAGATAGAAACATCAGAAAAAAAATAACAAACGGTTATTCTACGAAATCAACAGCAAAGAAAAAAGCAATAAATTTATTTAAATTAATAATTAATTTTCATTGACTGTATTTTCAAGTTGACAAGATAAGATTGAAGGAATAAACAGAAATTATAATAATAAAACATTATTTAGTAATCATACTAAGTAGATTAAGATATTTATTGAGAAATGTGTTCTACTAAAGGAAAGAGAAATGTAGTTCATGATAAAAATCATTACCGGAAATATTAGATCTATTTATGGTAAGACATAAATAAGTGACAGATAATCAATTTAATTATATAAAAGAAATGATGCTAAGTGTTGTTTTTGCAATAAGTTATAATCCAATATGTTGTTATTAATAACATACGGGCTCACTAATAAGCGTCTATAATTAATCGCAAAAATCGAATGATAAGAGCGAAAAGTAGTGGAAAAAACCAAAACAATAGGGGATAAGAATAGACTTAAAAAAAAAACATATGAGAAAATTAAATATCTGCAGGTGCGGCAGGTCAGGAAAGTAATAAATTCGGTGTAAATTCATGATCGATAACATGATAGGTTGCAAACAGTGAAACTGAGCATCTGGGAATAAAAAAAAAGTAATCAAACTTGGTAATGTTTTGCATCAACATGAAAAGATAATAATGTAAATGACATCTTGGATTTTTATTAACAGCCAATCCAGCTGTTTTAATACATAATCTTAAAGAGATGTGTTTCACCCCTCCAAAAATATTTCTATTCTCTCCCTCATAGCCCGGGGCGTCTGCGCGTGATTATCGTAATGGCCCTGGGCCAGCTCGATGTAGCCCGCCTTACTATAACCATGGATGCACACACGAACCTATACAATCGTTTGCGTATGCATACATAACTGCGCGCCCTCACCACAAAAGTAGCTTTAAATCCAACACTTGTCTGTCACTCGTGTGCGTTCTTGAATCACGAATACGGTGTCGAGTACCTACTGTCCAAGTTCACACTTTTTTTCTGTCAATTGTTCACCAACAAGAGTCATAGCAGTGCAATCACACGGGAAACCATTCTAGTTCTTATTCTGAATCTCATCTGTTGGTTAATGACGTTTGAAGGAGGATTATTGTTGTTTGTGATTATCGTTAAAATGATGAAAAACCGGCCGGAGAAAGTATCTTTGATGCTACGACGACGAATTATTGAATCGAAAACTGCTCCCACCTTTTGTAAGTATAAATTAATCATCAAAAATCTTCAACTCTTGCTCTTTGTGTGCCTGTCACCTGCTTTGATGCTATCCAGTTGCTAGCAATCTGTACAACGCGAAAATAGATTAAAATACAGAGCAATTCTGTTTCTTCCTCAATTATTCTTTGGTTTATATATTAAACGGATGTTTTTGTATTTTATCAGAATAGCTGTGTTGGTTATTTGGATATCGACGATTCTATTCAAGTTAGTAACATTGAATGTTAAGATTGAGAAATGTTAAAAATAAATATAGTACATACTTGAAATATAGAATATGAATAATTTTTTTACTTTGATGACTTATCATTACACTACTCGTGATCAAAATAATCCAGTCATTCAAAATATTTATATTACACCTCGAGACTCTCATTAGCATCTAAGTACTAATAAGATTAACTTATGATACTAGAGTATATTATAGGAGGAAAAAAAGAGAGAACGTAAAAGTGACAAAGAACAATATATTGGAGTAGCAAAGTTATTTATTACATTTGTAAATCAGGAATACGAATCAATGATTTGATGCAAACTACTTCCGGTTGCATTCAATTACACTAGTTAATTTATTCTTCTTTCATAGACATCTATGATAGTATTTTAAATTAGGTAGAAATTCATGCAAAATTACACCAACATTATTTTCATAGAATGTAATTCAGTTAACAAAACTTGAAAGATAATTGATCAAATTATTTTTTTTTCAACTGTAATATTTACTTATATGTTCTAATGAATACACTTCATTTGTAGAAACAATTCGAGTACAAAAATCTTGAAAAATTATATACAATCTATCAAAGAAGGCTCCAAAATGGCTACTTGTCCCTCTTTGTTTTGGTGCAACTGGTGCTGGGGATTACCCACTGTACTATTTTAATAATGACGGTGAGTTGCATATCCACCGGCTTCCAAATTTAAAAAATAAAAAATACTCATTATAGTAAAATATGGCTTTTTCATTAGCTTGAAAACTATTAACTTTTATCATTTTTCAAGGTCGAGATAACGGCGTCCCTGCCAGACGTGATGGCTTGGGGCATCATGGGTGCACTCCTTAGTCCAGTAATAGCTCTATCCTTCAGATCTAAACTCATCACTAGAGAAACATATCTTCCAGTACTATTGTCCTGCATAATTGTTGTCCTTCTTGTCCTTGGTGACTTAGCCGTGCCCTTCTGGTACACTCTCAACTATACCGAGGACATGAGAACGATAAGGTGAGTAAAAAGGCAAAAGAAATGATAAGAAGAGTAAAACATGGGGGAGTCTTTTAATTGTAGGTTTCACTAAGATATGTGTCGATTATCAAACAAGGTCTTAGAGTTAGAAAAAAGTTAAGTTAGATTTATTCCAAGTGAATTTATCAAACTCTGAGTCATTTTCATTCACATGAAAAGAATAAAACCCGCATTACATGTTTTCCTTTGCTCTTTAATTTAATATTTTTTTCTAATTTTTGAATTTATTAATTTCAGACCCGCATATTCTACTCATGTTCTGCTTGCTTGCTACGTTTTTCTTCCACTTACAGAAAATCTTCATGCATTCATTCTTGGAATCACAGCAACCCTTTGCTACTTGTTGAGTCTTTCTTTAATAACTTACAGGAATCAACCAGATTTCGCTGGAAAAGTAAAGATGATATATATTATTTATCTTGTATTGCTAAATGTATCTAATTACATGTAAAATATACTTACAATAGCAATACTTATCACATTATTATTTTTTTAGATCATCGGTGATACTATTTATTTTGCTTGTGTCAACAGTCTTGGACTTTACTTTAGATTCATGAATGAAGTTGTCATTCGAAGATCTTTTCTAGACAGAAGAAAATGTGTTGAATCAACATTGCGGCTTAATTATGAAAAAGATCAAGAAGTTTGTATTATATATATTATTATGATAATTTATTGATAAATTTTGGTCATATTAATCAAATTTTTTATTTAGGAGCAACTTACAAGGAGTATTCTACCTCAACATTTCGCAGCAAAAATTAAAAAAGATTTTCGAGATATTTTTAAATTTATTGAAGAACACAAAAAACCACCTCCTAAAGGTCGACGTAGAAAGTGAGTATCATTCAATTAGAAACTATTTAAAATTCTTCGATAATAATGAGTTATTTTTATTGGTTACAATGAAAAAGTTTAGTGATTGATATAAAATGAATTTCCCAATAAGTACTGGATAATTATTTTTTTTTTAATTACATTATAATTGATTTTACTTTGGGCTAAATTTCATACATAAGTAATAATCAACAGCAATAAATTGAAATAATGGCATTTTGATTTGATTAATTATTATTTTGTATTTATTGATAAATATTATGTATTTTTGAATTTATTGAATGTTATTTTTTCAGTGATTTATATGTGGAAACTCATGATAATGTCAGCATATTATATGCCGACGTTGTAAATTTCTCTGGCCTTACGGTAACTTTGCCAGTTAAAAAACTTGTGGAAACCCTAAATGATCTCTTTGGAAGCTTTGACGAAGCTTCTGAGCGTCACAATGTTTTGAGAATAAAATTCCTTGGTGACTGTTATTACTGTGTAAGCGGAGTTCCTACACCAAACGCTCAACATGCAAAAAGTTGTGTTGATCTTGGTAAGAATGTTTTATATCTTATTACACTCAGTTTGCATAAAATAATCAAAAAATACTGTTTGCTTTCTGTTTAAATTAGTATGATTATTTTATTTGAGATATTAATCAAAACATATACATTTATTAAATACGAAAATATTACTTTTGTTGTTTTATGATGATATGATATTAAAAAGTGATTTATTCATCTATTAATTAGATTTAACTTGTCATTTAAAATGTTCATAAGATATAGATTTAATTTTTAATAAAAAAAAATTTCAACTGATGATTTTAGGTCTAGACATGATAAAAATAATCAAAGAAATTCGTGCGAGAGTTCGAAGAGAGAGTGGAGTAGATATAAACATGAGGATAGGAGTTCATTCCGGCAAGATAATATCTGGAATTTTGGGAGCAAATAAATGGCAATATGATGTATGGTCTAGAGATGTAGTTATAGCAAATAAAATGGAACAAACAGGTCAACCAGGAAAAGTACATGTAACACAACAGACATTAAATCTTCTTAACATAAGTCAATATGATTGTGCGCCAGTTGAAACCTTAAATGATGAAACTTTACAAAAGTATAACATTAAAAGCTATTTAATCACACCATCTTTACCTGATACCCCAGTACGGCAGGTGTGTTGAATACTTCTTTAAAATATTTTTATTTTCAAATTTTTTCATCAATTTGTGTCCAAGTCAGTTGATAAGCAAGCCTTGTTGCAGAACAGCGAGAACAATTTGACAGTCACTACGTCAGGCATTCCACCTCCTCCAACCAAGCACTATGTCCGTTGGTACAGCGGTAGACCAAGTACAAATGTAAGATCTTCAAGAAATTCTAGAAGATTGACATCAACAATGAATAATCATGCTGATGTATTTGCTGGTACATTCAGACGTAGAACTCATTTTATGGATTCCTGCTTAAAAGATTATCATTTAATGTTAAAGGCAGCTGATGCCGAAATGGAAAAAGCAATTAAACAAATGCCTCTTAGCAAGTGGGAGTAAGTCTATTACTTCATTAGAAAATCTATTAAAAGAAAATATTTCAAGTTTACCTCAATAGTTTTTTTCATTCGTTTTTTAGACAATGGTCCAAGTGGGAGCCGATAAATCCACTTTTTCTTACCTTTTCAAGACTCAATTGGGAAATCCCTTTTCTCCGTGAACCAGACCCACTTTTTAAATTCTTTGTGGGATGTGCCACTGTCGTTTTATTGTTCATGGGCAGCATGTTTCTTGTACCGGCTATAATATATTCAGAGTAAGGAATGAATATGAAGAAATAACTGTAATAATATTTAATAGTCTATAAAAAAATTAATTGATTTTTAGGTGGCATGTGAGCACAACTATAGGATATCTTTCAGCAATGCTCTTCTTCATTGCTCTTTTACCACTTACTTGGATGCATTTTGTTTGGAATCGATGTAAAGACCCCCATGATGAACAAGAAGGACATGTTCTTCAACCGCGAAATAAATTGCTTCATTTTATGTACCAAACTAGTATCAAAGTTGTTTGGAGTGCGGTTCTCAGAACTGCTCTTTATCTTGTCATCACCATTATGCTTGCTCTCTGTGCTATGTTTGACATGCTCGTGAGTAATATTTTTCATAAAATTAGCTGTATTCTATGCAGTATGCTGTTAAAAATAGAATCATAAATCGATGTAATTTATTTTTAATTTTAGTTTGAATGTAAAAATACTGACCGTCTAGAAAATAATGCAACATCAAGTTTTACTGTCGATGGTGCTTCCGATTTAAAATGTAGAATTTCTCCACCTTGGGTAAGATCATTTTGTAGGTACATGTTGTTGATTATAAAATCCTGAGAAACAGATGTGTATTTTAGTATAAATGTTCTTCTTGAAATTTTTTAGCACATGTCTGAAACATGTTCATTGGCAATTTTAACCAGTTTTCTGTTTCTACGAGTTCATTATCTTTTAAAACTAATAATTGGTATTAGTATTGTTGGATTTTATACATGGAATATTACTGAATATCGTTCAGCTATTTTTCAAAGTGGAGATACATGGCATCCTGATTTAAAACCACAGCTTGCTCATATTCTCAATGTGGCTTTCCTTACTTTTTCTCTTCATCTCATCGATCGTCAGGTAAATTAATATTAAGTAATATTTTATTTAATCAATTTATCTGGAATTTTTCTGATAGTGTATTAAAGATAGCGAGAATGTAGGTCAATAGGTTTGAAGTTACTGAAGAAAAAAGACTTTCTCAAATTTATTTCTCAATATTATTTATTAAAAAATATTTAATGTAAAAAAATTTCAGTTTTGAACCTCTTAAAGTTATTCTAATTGATTTATATTTATCCAGGCAGAGTACCTGAGTAGACTAGACTATCAATGGAAACGACAATTAACTCAGGAACAAGATGAAGCATTTCACACTAGAAATGCAAATAAATTATTACTTCGTAATATTTTACCAGAGCATGTTGCAGACTTTTATTTAAATATGAACAGATCTGAAGAGAATGAATTATATCATGAAGCTCACGATCAAGTAGCAGTTATTTTTGCCTCTTTAACTGATTTATCAATTGACGAAAGTAATATTTTAGTCGATCTCAATGAAATAATATGTGAGTTTGATAAGCTGCTGTTTGAGCCGGGATTTATGTGTCGAATTGAAAAGATAAAAATTGCCGGTACTACATACATGGCAGCATGTGGATTAGAAGCAGGTCGACGAAGTTCAACAGAGAGTGCTTATGACAATAATGTACATGTGGTCAGAGTAATGGCTGAATTTGCTGTAAGAATGATGGCAATATTAGATCGTTTAAATGCTGAAACATTTGCCCATGCAGCTAAACCTTATAAATTAAGGATTGGAATATCTCATGGTGAAGTAACAGCTGGTGTTGTTGGTGCGCAAAAACCATTGTATGACATTTGGGGTGATGCTGTTAATATGGCATCTCGAATGGACACTACAGGAGTGCCTGGAAAGATTCAAGTGACATCAGAAACTGCTGCAGTCCTAGAACAAAATGGAATTAAATGTTATCTTCGAGGTGAAACGTGGGTTAAACCTAAGGGATTAGTTACGACATATTTTATTGCTGTTGATGAAAACAGACGACTTATTAGCACAGATTCTGTTGAGGAGACGAATCTTTAATCTTTACATGGTTGGATTTTTATTGCCTCAAGCGCTAAAAAATTACTTAGAAGACGATAGTAAATTGAAAGCATAATTTACATCAATCATAATTCTAACAGAATTAAACAAAAAATTACTAAAGTGTAAAATATTTTTTTATTCTTCTATTAAAAAGATAATCAATGATTATTTAAAGAAAGTGGTACAACATTCGAAATATCATTAACCTTTAAAAATACATCATATAAATAATAATTTAATAGAAAACAAAAAAACAAATCAACTTGAAATTTTACTCTATAAACAATTGTTTAATAAGTAATAAATTGAATGCCATCTATTCAATAAATCAAAGAGAACAATTACTTGATTTTCTGTTTTTCAAAGATAGTTTTTGGTACTCGAGGCATTTTTATAAATGACAGATATTAGTTATTTTATGAAGATATAAAATAGATAGAAACTTTTTTTAATCAACCAAAGATAAAAATAGATATCCAGAAACATAAGGATGATCTTCCATCTTTGAACTCAGAGGAATTGCACGAATGCTTTTGCACAAAGTAATTATTTAGTACTAAATTAAAGCCAGTATCAAGAACTAATAAAATTACCCTAATTTTTATATTAATGTAAATAATTTCGTTGAATATTAAATATTTAAAACCCAACGAAAAAATTATATAGATGGGTTTATTTAAAAAAAATATAGATGTCAATTCTAAATGCAAAAATAATCCCAATACAGCTTCATTAACAAATTGAATTTTGGAAAGTAAATGAGGGTAAAAAATTCGTCTCTTGTGCAAGACAAACGACCAATTTTTTAATTAATTAGCTAAATTTACAAGGATATTTATCTATTTACGATTTTAATTTATAATGAAATTTTGTTTGATGGATATTACATATAATCATAGCATATTTCTATGTAGAGCAAAAGAATTGTAAATGATCTTCCGAGTGAATGTTAGAAAATAAAAAATTTATAGGTATTTTCTATACGCGAGAAAGCTCGTTTTCACCATGATTGTATACAAATTAAATGTTTCGGGTGTCTCGCATTTATTTGTAAATATTCTGTACAAATATTTTGGATATTCTCGGAAATCCATACAATTAAGTTTAATGATAAAATAAGTACGTAAATAAAGTATTCATCACTCTAAATTAATCAATAAAAATTTAAGAAATTCTTTTCATAAACATTTGGTCTTTTTATTTTTAGTTTATCTTTATATTTAACTCCTAATATAATAGCTGAATTTATTTATTTTTTGCACCAAAGAAACTTTATAACCCTGAATTTATATTTTACAATATAATATAACATGTTATTTAATAAAAATTTTTGCCCAAATATTTGTTTTGTTTATTACAAAGGAATCAATTTAAAATAAGAAATCAATAATAAATAATCAATAAATCAGTAATTAATGGATGATTGGAGAAGGTCAGCAATGATTGTAAAAAATTTTTTATTTCAAAAATATAAATTTACTTTAACAAAACTTCTCTATAATATATACTTTTCATGTATCTGTACAAAACATTACATGGTTCAATATAAAATAATATGGACGATTCTCATATTGTATAGCATATATATACGTATATATATAATCGCATTACTCATAATTTAATTTTCACAAACGTTCCTCATTCATAGAAGAATTCATATCTATAAAAAATATTTAGTATTAACAAGATGATTATATCCATACCATAAATATAGCAACAAATCCCACGTGGAAAAAACATTGATTTTTAAATGTAAAATACTGATAGCTTCGCGTCTTTGTATAAAAAAAAGATTTAAGAAGAAAATACCAATTTGTGCTTAAAAAATTCCACTACCAGTAGTTCTTGTATGGAAAATTACTGACAAGGTATTTCCGTCAATGAACTGCATAAGATTAGGTAAGGTCTTTGCACTCACCTTATCTTTTTTGCGTAGCAATGATCTAAAGTCCATTTTGAATCTGAATTTGGTTTGTTCGGTAACGTTGGTTGGTATTTTGTCAATGTTGTTGGTATGACAATTGTGGTAATATGTTGACGTGTCGGACGTTGCAGTTCTTCTAATTTCTTGGATTGAGTGACATATTTATTTTTTAAATTTCTAAATGCTGGAATGTATTTTTGATATTTTGTTCTCAATGATTTTTCTTTTTCTAGTCTTGCCTTCAATAAGTTATTTTCTTTCCGTAAATATTTAATTTCATTTGCTTGCCTAATAGTTCCATTTTCATTGGAATAATATGTTGTTTTGACGGCTCCATCGGTATTTTCTTCTGTTTGAGTAGTTTTATTTACAGTAAGAAGAGAAAACTGGTAGTGATTATAATCGATAATTGTTTCTGAAAAATAAATAAGAGTTATCCTTAGTAGTGACATAAGATTATATTGAATTCATATATGACTTACCATCAACTAAAGTCTCCTGAAATGACAAAAGTGGAGGAGGTTCACTTTCTTTCTTTATATTTCCCTCAATAACAATTTTTTCTTCTTTGCAAAAAATTGTAGGTATAGCATTTGGTTTAAGTTTTCGCCATCCATCTTGTCGAGCATTTTCAAATTGAGAATCATCAAAATGATACTATAATTAAAATTCAATATAGCATTTGTTTAATTATTAATGCATTAAAAATAATAACAGTCCTCTAACATAAATACAAATAAATTTTCTAATTGTTTTTCATAACAAATATAAATGAATCTTGAATGAGTTTTGCCTAGTAACAGTTTTTTATTCATCCTGATTGAAGTTATTATTTACTAAAAATTATTTCCGTTCAATAATTATTATTTATTTATATTAAATAACATGTTAAATACCTCACATAACCTCGAATGCTCTTTTGGACGTTTACCACATTGCCTGCTCCATATTTCTTTACGTAATTCATCACTAGGAAATTTAAAAAGACGAAAACCTTGTTCAGCACGATTGTGACAGTTTTTGGCGCAACAACCTGTCATGATCAATTATTTTCTTCTTTCACTATTTATATTTGTTTATTTTCGGCGATACGATTTTACCACAAATTCTAAAACCAGAAGCTGTCAATATTACGAATGGAATCGGACCGAAACTTGTATTTTTTACATGTGTACACATCCAAAGAAAATTCGATTCCATGATTCCACAGTGGTGATCATCATATAGTTTCAGTTCAGTTCCATAGATACATGAACTGTTCGTTGTTAAGAATGAGTTAATTAATTTATGATTAATTAATTTATGAGAAAATTCTACTAATCGGCATAATAATTACGAAAACTTATATTCTATTTTAGTTTTAATAAAAACTCAATTTTTGACAAATATTATAATTAAATTAGTGATTGAATTGTTTGAAAATGTCGATAAAAATGTCCTTATCCGGAGAAAAAAATCAAAACAATTCATTGGTAAAACGTGTCAATAAACTTCTTGAAACAAGACCTGAAAATGATAAGGTAAATACTAATATTAATTTTTTTGTAATTATCATTATTATACAATATTGTTACATTTTTGCAGGAAACTCTTGAAGCTTTGACAGAGTTATCTACCTTTTTCACAGAAAATACCTCAAACACTAGAAGAGATTTACGGAGCAAAATAGAAAAAAGAAGTTTAGCAATCAATGATGAGTTTTTATCAGCATTCAGAGAAGTTAAATCAACATTAGATGCTATTCATGAAGATGTTTTATCTATGAACAATTCTATACAAACAATGACTAATAATTTGCAAGCTACCAAAACACAAACATTAACTCTTTTAGATAGAACCACTAAGTTACAAAATGAAAGTAAAAAATTATCAATGCAGCATGAAATAGCAAAAGCTTTCATATCAACATTTGAATTAACAAAACATGAAATAGGAATAATACATGGACAAACTAAAGAAGAATCAATAACAGAAGAGTTTTTCACTGTAATAAATCGTCTGCAAACAATTCACAGCAGTTGTCGAATATTAATGCAGTCAGGATATCAAACTTTAGGATTGGACGTAATGCAAAGAATGACTTTGCTCCAAGAATCTGCTCTTGAAAGATTATACAGGTGGACTCAGAACCAATGTAGACACATAGAGAATGAACATATAGCTCCATTACTAATTAAAGCAATGAGCAAACTGCAAGATAGACCAGTTCTTTTTAAATATATAATTGATGAATACTGTACAGCAAGACGAGCGATTGTTGTTGGTGCTTTTATTGATGCCTTGACAATTGGTAATACCACAGAAAGTACTCCTAATCCGATTGAATTACGAGCTGATGATCCTACTCGTTATATTGGTGATATGTTAGCTTGGTTACATCAAGTAATACCTGTTGAAAAAGAAAATCTTACAATTCTGTTAAAATCGTGTGATAAAGCAAGTTCGTTCGAAAAAAATTTTTATTTAATTAACTTAACTTTTAATATTTCAATTATAAAATAAATATTTAAAAATTTTGTAGGTGTAGCTGATTTAGTAAAACATGCTCTTGGAAATATCACAGAAGGTCTTTGTCATCCATTGAAATCTCGAATAGAACATATACTTGATGTTGAAGCTCCTGCTACTGTTTTGTATTCAATAATGTCACTGATAAGATATTATCTAGAAATATTTAAAGATATTGTTCCCGACAGTGTTTTAGTCAAAGACTTGAATGAACTATTAGAGTTAAATGAGAAGAGTTTCAACGCGAGATTACAAAAGGAAACAAAATTAACTCTAGGAGAAAGACCAGAACCTCCTGGACAAGATTTAGTGCCTGCTGCTTCAGTATCACGACTACTTGCTCTTCTAAATGATGTTTTGTCAGTTGCTTTAATTGTCAGTGGAGAAGAACGTGAAAAAGACATCAATCGAGTGAGTTATTGATTTAAATAAAGTATTTCTATAATATTGTTGTTAGAAAGAAAATATTTTTTTATTATTAAATGTTTTTTTTTAGATTGTATCATGTATCATTGATCCATTACTTCAAGAAATTGATAAAACTGCTGCGAGATTACCAATTGTAGACATGGCTGTGTATGTTTTAAATTGTCTTCATCAAATTCATTCCACTTTGTCACTTTACGAATACATGGATCAGAGACTGGAACGGTTGCAAGCTCAGTCCGATGCACAAATAGATACTTTAACCTCTGAATTAGCTAGTTCCCTTGTTGCCAATTTAAATCTAGGTCCGATTTATACGATATTACAGGGTAAAGTACATGGCCCTTTATCTGCTATTCCCGGTATGGACCCCTTGAGTGTCAGAGAATTCACTGTAAGTTTTTATTTTTTGAAATTTACACTTTTATTATCATTTGTAAAAAAATTTTAAATCATATTTATTTTTTTTCAGAATAAATTAGAATCTTTTTTAATTACCTTCGATTCTTTTCTTCTGCCACAAATTGGTTTACTTCAAAACACTAATCATCGATCTATGACGTTAAAACGATCTTTCCAAGTAATTGGTGCAATTTATAAACAGCTTTATGATGCATGTCATGATCCAGAAAATTTATATGAAAACTTGGATAAGTTGTTCATTAGAACACCAAATGAACTTATAGAAAAATTGATATCGTCAGTATAAAAATGATTATAATTAAAGAGAATACAAAATTTATTAATTAGTTATAGAACAATTTTATGATAAAAACGTTTGTAATTAAAAATTAATAACAATTTTATATGAAATTACTGTCTAAGAGTTTTTATCAAGTTGGTGATAATTTATTCAAATATTTAAATAATTTATTCATATAAAAAATAGGGGCTAATTGTTACTAATTAAAAATGGAAAAAAAAACATTTTTTTGTTGTTTAAATGTATGCGCTAGTAAAATTAAAAAATGATGGAAGATTCTAAAGATGTGATTGGTCAAAAAGTCACGTGGCCATATCATTACTAAATGTTTTCGCTGATTGGTTAGAAAATAAACCTCTATTAACCAGTGTACTCCAAGCACAACCAGTATTCCATCGGGTGTGATGGAATGTAATTGATTGTGTTTAAATTTATCCATACTAATTATTGAGTTAATGTTGTTCACATTTACGCATGGAATATTTTTTATAATTTTTCAGCAATTGAATTTTTCATGCCGAATTGCGTAAAGGAGATAATAGAGTTGAAAGTAATTGTGTGAGCGTGGGAGACGTGAGAAAAAGATAGCAAGTGTTCAGTGATACGTGGGACACACCTGGTGAAAAGAAGAAATTTAAAAAAGCAAAAAATAAAATTCAATTTAAAAGATTTCTATTTGTTTCTTAGAAATGAATAAAGAACAAGGAATCCTTAATAAGTTTTGTCAGATAAGATGAGTGATTCGACAAGAAATTATACAAAGATCAGATAGAATCATCGGCATAGTTAGATCAGTGACCAAGATGGCGGAGTCGAGTTATTATCAGGTGAGTTTGTGATTAAATAATTTTTTCCAGGCTCCACAGGTGTATGAGTGTGCTTTAATTGCGAAATAATTAAGTAAAGAGTTGATATCATTGATTAGTCAGCTTGAAAATATTGTGAGTGCAATTGGACAAATTTGACGGATCTCTTCCTCCCCCTCCATTTGTTCCATCATTAGACTCCTCGTTTCCTCTGTCGTAGTATCTATTCCTCCGCCTCTCTTCTCCTCTTAATTCTTCCTCCTGGTTACCATCGAGATTTATATAGTTTCGAATTCGCGGTCGAATGGATGGTGAGGTACGGATGAAGAGAGGGCAGGAATGTGCGAGAGTGAAAATAAATGCTTCAACGTGGGGCAAGGTATAAAGAATAGTTTTGGAGCATATTTTTTGAATTTCGAATGATGCAAAACACTAAAAAAAATAAAATGATTCATCAACAAAATAAATTGGGTAAATCCCAATGTTAAATAAACAGTATCAGCAATTTATTTCTTTTGCAGAATGACTATTCAAGACAACCAGTCATCGCTGAATTGTCTCATAAATATGGAATTGCGGGTAGTGATCAAGTGCCTCTTCCAGCACGTCTTGACGAGCTGCGAGAACACATTCGTAGAGAAATTCGAAAGGTATAAAAAACATTTTGTGTGACTACAAGAGAAAAAATAATCTTGTGTATACTAAAAATAATTATTCTTGTAGGAGTTGAAAATTAAAGCCGGAGCAGAAAAGCTCCGAGAAGTTGCATCAGGTCGAAAGGCTCTTTCAGATGTTGCAATGATTGTAAAGAAAGCAAATAATAAATTAAACGAGCTTCACGCTGAACTCCAGCAGCTTGAAAGTCAAATTATTTTAACTCAAGGTGAGCCTCAGTCACCGCAAAGAGATTATTCTAATGGTCAGGATACACCTTTATCGCCTATGGACTCATCATCACCCAGTCAAGAGGGTCTTATTACAGATCTTCGACTCTTATCTTTAGAGAAGCAGCTAAATATTGAATTAAAAGTAAAACAAGGTGCTGAAAATATGATCCAAAGTTTAACTAGTGGACATAGAGACAAGAAATTGCTACAAGAAGCTCAACAAATGTTGGATGATTCAAGAGCTAAAATTGAATTTCTTAGGATGAGAATTATGAAAGTAAGACAAGCGAGACAGCAAAAAAATACTCGAAATGATGCGCCACTTTCCAATGGTGAAGCTACATGTAATAAGGATAAATATGAGCCTAGCTTAGAATTGGCTCTTGAAGAAAGAGTAGAGGAACTTCGACATAGATTAAGGATTGAAGCTGCGGTTGTAGAAGGAGCTAAAAATGTTATTCGTCTCCTTCAAAGTGCTAAAGTAGCTGATAAAAAAGCTCTGACCGAAGCTCAAGCAAGTTTAAGCGAGTCTAGCAGAAAATTAGATCTCTTGAGAATGTCTTTAGATCTCAGAAGACAAGAATTACCTTCTGATAGTGCAACGGCTGCACAATTAAAACGAGAATTAGCTAGTGTTCAGTCTGCGAGTCCTGTACCAGTGACCTATACTTCTTTACAGCCATTTCATGGACCTCTCGAAGGGCGAGCAACTGTTCCAGTTTTAGTTTCTCGATGTGCAGCTGTCACAGGAACATTAGAAGTTAGATTGATGGGTTGCCAAGATCTTGCTGAAGAAGTACCCGGTAGAACCAGACGAGATCATCATCCTGCAAGTCCGGATCTACGTAGTTTTGTTAAAGGAGTTACTGGTCGTAGTTCAAGCAAGTCTTATAACGTTAAAGATGAAACAAGTAATGACATCATGGCCGTCATTAAATTGGATAATCAAACTGTTGCGCAGACAAGCTGGAGACCATGTTCACAACAAGCTTGGGACCAAAGGTTTTCAATTGAACTAGACAAATCCCGAGAACTTGAGATTGGAATTTATTGGAAAGATTGGCGGTCATTGTGTGCAGTAAAGTTTCTTCGTCTTGAAGAGTTCATTGATGACGTACGACATGGCATGGCTCTTCAACTTGAACCTCAAGGATTGTTATTTGCTGAGATACGGTTCCTTAATCCCATGATTTCGAGGAAACCAAGACTTCAGAGACAAAGAAAAATATTTAAACAACAAGCGAAAAATTTCCCACGTGCTAATCAAATGAATATAAACGTTGCTACTTGGGGAAGACTACTCAAACGATCTGCTCCTTCGTTGCACAGTAGTAGAAACTCTGAAAGTCCCCCATCAGGTAAATGATTTCTTTCAATCAAATAATTTATATTTATATTGATAAATTTTACAAAATAATTTAGGCCCACAACCTCTTCAACTTGTCTTCGATTCTTCACTTGAAGATAAACCTGAAACTCCTGGTGAATTACCAGATCCAGAAAAAGGAGGACTTGGTGGTGCACGTCCACTTGGAGTTTCAACATCTAGTACTAGTTTATCAACTCAAAGCCATCCACCATCTCCTCCTTCTGTTCCACCACCACCTCCACCAACATCTTCACTGTCTAAAAAACCATCTGCTGCTCAGGCGATACCTCCACCACCTCCTAAACGAGATCAAGATGTGAGTAAAGTTCAACAGTCGAGTTATTCTATTATTTATATATTTTTTAAATTATTTAGATATTTTTTAATGTTATCGAATTTTTGAATATAATTATTAAAATTTAGGATATAAAATAATTTGATCATTAGCTGAATATGGTTTTAGGATAATTTAATAATGGCAATAATATTTAAATCCGGTGATGGTGTTAATGGTGATGGAGTATTTCTTAAAAATATTTGAAAGTATTAATTATACTAGCTAATTGACTCTTTAACATCCTGTTTTAATTTAATAGAAATTAAATGTTCAGCCACCGAACAGTTAAGATTACATTGTGTTGAAAAAAAAAATTAAAAGGGTTAATTGTAGAATGAAGTAGAGGAAATTCAAAGGATTTTGTATGGTGCACGATACACAGCTCGAGATAAGAACGTAGCATTGGTAATGTAGTTACAGAGTGCACTTAAGGAGTTTGATTTTCTACACGACGAGGATAAAATGGGTGCAAGTTTAAGGCCTCTTGTCACGGAACCTCGTCCTGTTCTGATAGCACCACTTTCGCCGCGCACTCCCTCGCCTCAACCTGTTGTGGAGTTTCCCGAGGACGAGGTGAACAAAACAGTCAAACTGTCGCGAAAGTATAAAGAGTGTTTAATAATAATAACAACGCTACTGATTGTATTTACTTTATGTTGATCAATGATTCCCTCTTTACATTAACACAGTAGCTTTTCAACCTTTAACATTTTATTATTTATTGAGCTAACAAAATTAACTACATTTTCTTTTAACACCTAGCAGCTATAGAATTTCATTGTTTGTAGTTTCAAGGATGATGAGAACTGGGTTGATTAAAAGGCTTGTTTGAAGAAGTATATGTGACATTTTAGTAGAGTATTGAAATTTCGCAATACATTCTTGGTTGATAAATACTCGAAGTATTAAAAAAAATAAATCAATAAATCATTATTAATATTATTGACATATCGATGGTATAAAAATAAATTTGACTATTTATATAATATTTCGATTTTTAAAATGAATCATAAAGCAATGTAATAAGATACAAAGTCGATTAAATAAGATTAGCCATTTTAATTCATTGAATTTGTTTTGCTGACGTCAAAAAAAGAGAAGTCTCTCAATTCAATTAGTATTTAACTTGTTTGTCTGAGTGTAACTTTTGAATGAATACACCGATTGAGAGGAAACCTTTGCAATTAATAAATGATGTTTTTATCGTAATCTCAATGCCATTTTAAAGCGGTTTATTTATTTTTTGAACAGCTATCTTATTATAACATTTAAATATAAATATTATCTTAATAGAATTTTTAATACTTGAAAATAATAAAAAAATTTTAAATAATTTCAAAAAAAAAAAAATTATAAAGAAAAATACATTAGTCATAAGTGATTATAAAAAAATCCTTTTTTATTTGTGACTAAAATGTTTATGATTAAAAATTGATAACCATATGATTGAAATGCTTGGTTTTCTAACTATGTGATTAAAAGAAAAATAATTAACAATTATGTGAATAATATATCAAAGGCATGAATTATTTTTCTCAGATAGCAAGCCTTAAATAGTTTTTGATAATTATTTTTTTAATTTAGGTTGTCTATGAGATGCCAGTTCGACCACTGCAATACCGAGATAGTGCTTATGAATCACGAAGGCAATCAACGATGACTGGAATAACTTTGGATAACTTCAGGTTGCTTTCTGTCCTTGGTCGAGGTCATTTTGGTAAAGTGATTCTGTCTCAATATAGAAATACAGGCGAGTACTTTGCAATCAAGGCTCTAAAGAAAGGAGACATTATTGCCAGAGATGAAGTGGAGTCTTTGTTGTCTGAAAAGAGAATTTTTGAGATTGCTAATGCTACACGACATCCATTTCTCGTTAACTTGTTTGCTTGTTTCCAAACTGAGGTAAATAATGTTATATATAAATTCGATTTTTTAATTAAGAGTATGAATTTATTGTAAAAAAATTATTTATCTCTTTTATCAGGCGCATGTGTGTTTTGTTATGGAATATGCCGCTGGTGGTGATCTGATGATGCACATACATGCTGATGTTTTTGGAGAACCTCGAGCAGTCTTTTATTCAGCTTGTGTGGTTCTAGGTCTGCAATATTTACATGAAAGTCGTATTATATACAGGTAAATATGTTTCAATACTTTTATGAATTGTGATGCAGAAGAGAACGATTAGAGAATTGATTTTTTTCTATTTTTTAGAGATTTGAAACTAGATAATCTTTTATTGGACACTGAAGGATACGTAAAAATAGCTGATTTTGGTTTATGTAAAGAAGGAATGGGCTTTGGTGATCGAACGGGTACTTTTTGTGGCACTCCTGAATTTTTAGCTCCAGAAGTTCTTACTGAAACTTCATATACGCGTGCAGTTGACTGGTGGGGACTTGGAGTTTTGATATTTGAAATGCTTGTTGGAGAGGTAATTATTTTTTTCGCTAAAATAAGTAAACAGAATTATTATTAGAAGAAAAATATTTATTTTTTTTATACCTAGTCTCCATTCCCTGGTGATGATGAAGAAGAAGTTTTTGATTCAATTGTGAATGATGAAGTCCGTTATCCTCGTTTCTTATCATTAGAAGCCATTGCTATCATGCGGAGGGTAATATTTATATTCAATTTTTTAGTATTGTTAAATTTCTGTATAAATAAAGTTAATTGGGTATATATATATCTTTCTATACAGTTGCTTAGAAAGAATCCTGATCGAAGACTCGGTAGCAGCGAAAGAGATGCTGAAGATGTTAAAAAACAGTCATTTTTCAGACACATTGTATGGGAAGATCTCCTTTTAAGGCGCGTGAAACCACCATTCGTACCAGTTATTGTAAGACTATTTTAATTTTATTTTACATCTTTACTATTTATAGATTGCATCGATTTTAACATAAACTGGTTGTTTTTATTATAGAATTCTGGAGAAGATGTCAGTAACTTTGATGAAGAATTCACTTCAGAAAAACCTCAATTAACACCACCCAAAGATCCACGTCCGCTAAGTGACTTAGAACAAAGTCTTTTCCGCGATTTCACGTACATGGCTGACTGGTGTTAATATGCGCGTAATTAAATTGTCTATAGAAGTAATGAAAAAACAAAAATTTTTAATAGCATTTTGAAACATGCGATATATCAGTAAAATGAACAAACTACGAGAATGGAACTCGATTTAGTTTTATATTTTTTTAAATCACTTTTCGACTACTTCTCAAACTGATAAATTGAGAACATTATTAATCGAAGCCTTCTTACAGCAAGATATATGCTGTGAACATATGATAAAATTATCGATTTTATAATGTTGCTATATATTCATAACCATGTATTTTTTACCAGTTACTTTTTCTGGTGATTTGGAAATGAATTCAGAGATTTCTGAGTATGTGGAGTCTCTTTAAACTTTTTTCGGAAAAAATTTTTTCTACTGGTCTCTATTTAATTAATTGATCGAAAATATTTTTAATCATGTATATTTATTTTCACACATTTTCCATACACTAAATTCATTTTGTAATTGTTGAGATTTTGATTCTGCCCAATTCGTAGGCTATAAACTGAACGAAAACCGGTAGTATTTATTCATTGCACTTACTGTAATTTTGTAAGTCATTCACTCTTGTTTATGTTTTTTGTTCGTCCAATGTTAGGTTTCATAATAGCATAAAAAATATCTCATATGGGGATACAAATTTTAGAGGTACTAATTTTATTGGATTTTATTTTAAATCGTTTTAGAAATTATTAACTGTGAGTGGTTCTAATCTATACAAACATATCCACTTTCAGTTATTTGTTCGTACGCATAATAATAATATACAAATTTTTTGAACTATATCCCAAACGTAATAAGAGTAAAGTGATTTGAAGAATTAATAAATAAGTTTATCAAAAAAAGCCTTGAAAAGATTGAACCACTTGTGATATAGAAATTTTGCAGCTCATCAAGACTCTTAGTATCTTGATTTTGTTAATCAATTCATATCTAACTCGATATTAACCTGCACTTAGGGAAAAAATTATTTTTTTAAAGAAGGAGATATTTTCTTACATGAAGAAATTATTTCTTTAAATATTTTCAGTAGAATTTTTCATTAGATTTAAGGAGTTTTTATCGTAGCAATAAATATATATATTTATAATTAGTATTAAAAGAATATTTTCTTGTTTTAAAACAACTTAAGTTTACAGTAAATAAATACACATTTATGCTGAAAAAAATTCTATTTATTTTCATTTATATTATCAACAATATAAGTGTCTGTAAAAAAGGATTTAGTCTTAGATGAGTGTATTAACATTTATAGGCTGTTTTAAGTTCAATCCCATTTATAATAATATTTACTGTCAAGTATTCACTAAAATACTGGTCATGTTAAAAAAGCTTTTGGCGTATATATAAGTATAATTGATTCAAAAAAATCTCATAAATTTCAAATATGATTCGCAATATAGCAATATAGATTACATATATACATATATTATATTTATATATTATAAGAAACATAATTTATTGTGATATAGTAACAATAAAAAAAATACTATTTTGATTTTTCTGCGTCACTTTGTGACTTTGCTAATTCATATAAATTACGGCTATTTTTATTTATCTTTCTAGCCAATTTCATTCTCTTTATGTTTGCTTGTTTCTTTTCAATGCTCATCTGCGGTGTTGGTGGTTTCATTAAACCTTGACTAACTCTGTAAAGCAGACTGATAGTCTCACCACTCTTAATTACAATCATTAAACTAATAAATAAAATTATTATCCATTAATATAGAACATTATTAGTCGCTCCAAAAAAGGTGAAATTCTATTTTTACTAACCTTTTATTATTTAACTTTTCTTGAATTTTTTGAAGCTCTCTAAGCTTCATATCATTTTTTGAAGACCACGGAACATAAATTTCATCTTCTCCATGTTGTGTTACTTTTGCGATAAAATAGATTAAATCCAACTCAGGTTCGTATTTGTATACAACATTATAAAATTTTCGTTCTGGAATAGTAGATAATAATAAATTCCATAGAATTATAATAAAATATAAAATCCAATAGCTAACCACAAGTATAAGTACATACGTTCACATAACTCAATATAAACATGAAATGCCGTTGTGATTTTCAATTTGTCTTTGCAGCCAAGTTGTTCAATAGCATAATACTGAAACAATTTTCAATTGTTATTAATAATAAATTTATTTAGAATATAAAAAAAAATAGTAATTAGAGATAATGTTGATAAACACATTGTTTAGGTTAGGTATCAAATTTGATTCGAAAACGGTATTGATTCAAGTTAAAACAATTAATTTATTATTGTATAAAATAGTTTTTGTTAAAACAAATACTCACACTTGGATGACAAATGTCATACATATTCATAAAGTTTTTCTTCAACTTTTTACAAACTAGTAAACAATACACGAGTGTGCATTCAACAGTTCATCAAACATAACATACACAGTATACACGTTCAATTTCACAAAATTCATTTTGTATCATTTTTATTGTCTTAATACTTAAGGGAATATGCCAAACATAACGACTGTAGTGAGTACTGTATGTCAGTAATCAAACGATAAATTTATTAAAGAGCGCGTTATGCTCTCTATATTTAAAAATCAAGATTGATCATTGTAATCACTAAAACGATTTTGAGTGGAAATGAAACATGACAAGCCGCTGATATATAGTAGATATATATATATATATATGTATATATATAGTTTATTACGTTTGTTCAAAACAATAACATTAGTTAATCAAAATATATTACATGCGATTATACATAAATCTTTTAAATACAACTAATAATAAAGCTTAGTTTCTTTCGAAAAATGAGTCTTTTTAAAAGATGAAAGAGAACGATAAATATTGTAATTGTATATTTTAGTGATATTATGAAGGAATGATTAAAGAAATTTTATTTCTATCAGAATGACAATATCTATTTTTTAATGAATAAAAAATGAAAGAAATGAAAATATCAATCGGCATGATACATTAGTTTTCATATACTTCCTATATGCATTTAACTGGACTGTTATCATTTTAATGAGTCATATTTCTTATAAATAGAATATCATGTACTAAGTACATGGTGGTATTATTTACGTTCCATTTAATTTACTTTATAATTATAAATTATGATAAACATGGTTTGTAGAATTAAAAATTATTTACCATGATATAAATGATTAATCTTCCAAACAGACTCAAACAAATGATTTCCGATTATTTGTTGTAATTCTTTACTCCGCATAAATATTCAACGAAATATAATAAATTTTTATCCCATAAATTGGTAAAAAAATTTTGGACATTCGTGTGAAAAAGATAGAATGTTGATTCATACGCATAAAAAATCCAGAACATCCGAATCTAAAGTTATTTTTAAGAAGTTTGCCAGACAATTATACCAATTAATATAGAGAGCACTACTGCACCAATTATAACTAATATACACTTCTTTTTTCGTATTTTATTTTGGTAAGTCGCAGCTGTCCTCAGTTGTTGAGCTCCTTCATTAACAAATACTTCTGTTCGTTCTACTGATGCTTCAATAGAGTCGATTACTTCACCTTGATCATGTACTAAAGCTCCCAAATCTTTGAATATTTGATTTACATCACTAATATCGTTCTGAAAAAAATTTTCAATATTATTAATATTGTTCATATGAAATAATCTTGAGGAGTTTAGACTACAATAGATATTTTTTTTTAAGAAACTGTGAACTTAATGTGACATCAAATGAAATCCTACAAGCACAGGATAGATGCATAAAATTAAATTATCAGATTTTTATTTGTTTTGAAAAAGTCATTTATGATTACCATAATAAGCCAAATTAATATACTTTATCGATTGCAACTTACTTCTAATTGACGTATACTGGCCTCCTGTTCTTCCAACATTCGCAAATTTTGTTCATCAATCATTTGCTGTTGTTGTATCTGTTTTTGTGTTCTACTATCTTGCAGTTCAATAAGTGTTTCTTGTTTTTTTTCACCGAAAGCTCCCACACCAACACTTGCTTTAGCTTTTCTAACCATTTCTTTCTCTTTTGATGCTGCAGATCTCTGAACACTTTGAAAACTATTTAAAGCTGTCATGAATTCATCCTGAAGTCTTTCCGTTTGCATTCGCATTTTCCTTCGAGTCTGTTCACCTGGACTACTTGAAGATGAATTACTGACGATTGCAGCCAAATCTCTGAGATGAACATTGGTATCTTTCGCTAATTGTTGAGTATAATGTTGAATTTGATGACTAAAAATGAATAATAAAACATATTTATGTAAAGCTCTCCGACTACCCAATCATATTCGATTATTAACTTACAGTTGATTTCTGAGCTCTTGAGAATCTGTTGATCCTCCCAGCTGATTAACCATCTTTTGCATTGATGATACTGTAATTAATATATAAAAATATAGTTAATATTTTTTAATAATCAAATGTTGAAATGTTTTGTTTTAATTGGACAGTTATATTACCATTTTGAGATATTTTAAGTATTGATGTTCCAACCGTTTGCGAAAGTCTTTCAAAATCTTGTTCTCTAACTGGACCACCATTGTGATAAGAAGAAAATCCAATATCCATTGTATTTATTTTTATGTATTAAATAGTTTAAATGTGAAAATCTAAAAAATGAAAAAATATTTTCAGGAATTGGAATTGTATAGTACAATATATAGTTAAAGTAATTTTTCATAAGAAATCAATAGAATGGTATCATGATTTATTTGTCAAAGCTGATTAAATGCTTCAGCGAATATCTTATTTCATTTCATTAATATCCTTCAATAACAGTTATCAAAGCAATTAGAGTAATATCATTCAAATAGGATCAATCTTATCATATCTGTGGAATTTTTTAAGACATGCACTAAAAACCTTGTGACAATTTGCAAATTGATCTTTTAAAATTTTTGTAGAATTAAGGATGTCTTTATTGCTCAGTATTTATCGTAAAAAAGCTGTCATGAAGTACTTGTCAAAAAAGTTCGTAAACTTGTCAATCGGATATGAGATGATTCACACTACTTTACTCGTAATTAATAGCTATAATACCTTGCAATGTGTTCACTACTTATTTATATAACAATTTATATTGGATTCATTTACAAAGAAGCACTCGAAAAATAAAATTAAAATCAATAAATTATTTTCTGGAATTCCTGATTGGAATCGTTAAAATTTTTCGTCGCAGAGAGGAAACTGAAGAGGGTCAACTGACATTGCTGAGAGTTGATGGAAACTCCCTCTAAATCAAGTGCAACTTTGGAAGCTACAATCAAAAATGATGTCTGGTCTGTATCTTCTGAGCCTAGTTATCCGATGAGCAATTACCGACCGCGGATACGTGAGCGTCTGGTGTCTATTGTTGGCTCGTTTACGTATGATGCACACTTTGTGCAATATTATGACATCTTGGGATTCGTTTTTCTATGTTTAATTATATTTTTTAGTTTAACAAACTTTCATTCACTTTATTAAAAAATTAATTAATTTTTAAACAATTTTATCGATCATTTAACAATTATTGTTTATTTATTGAACCAGTAATGAGTTAATAAATTTGTTAAACATATAATTTTGGACAAAAAATAGGTAAATAATTACTATCCATATTTTCATTGTAAGTAAACTTTTATTGTTAATTTACAAAATTATTAAATTCACAATTATGATTTCATGTTTCTCATCTTATTTTTCATATTTTTATTAACTTTTTGGTTCATTCTGTATAAATTATTTTAAGAAACACAAATATTTCATGTCCTACGCGTTAATTTGAAAAATATTTGAACGATTACGAAAGTTAAATTGTTATGTATACAATTCATAGTTATCTTAAAAAGTGTGTCAGAAAAAAATACATATACAATAAGGTGATTAGAAATATTTAAATGTTTTAATTCTGGAAAAAAGATTTGTTTATTAAATATGAGCAGTTTTGTTTCATATTGTGTGATTTCTGTGTTAAGAAAATTAATAAAAAAAATAATATTTGATAATAGCATCATCTTCTTTAACTCTTACCAATTATTTCTAATAAATTCCCTCACTGTCCATAACATTTTGTTTTTACGGAATATGATTATGATTTGAAACTTTTAATTTCTGTCTATTGACAATCAACCTTTTTTACTATGCCGTATTCATATTTTCATTATAAAGTTTGAAGTGTATATTTAAAAGCTACCTATTGTCTGTTCGAAAAGCATAGACTACTTGAAGAGTTCATACTTTATGAATGTAAAACTTAATAACGATTTGATAAATCGTTTTAATCTAAAAGATTTTTATAATTAAAAAATTTATATTTTGGTTACAAATTTTGATTAAATGAAAAATATTAATCTTGGAGATTAGTGTAAAGAAGGTATATTAAATCAAAAATTATTTCATCGATATTGATCTTTCTTCGCGTGAAATTTTATATGAAACTTATTGTTTATTGTTTGCAAATTAATCCGTAACATGTCTTCAATACAAAAGTGAATGTTTAGAGATAATTTGACGTAACTTTTATGATCATTCTTTATTATTATATATTGATTTATAACGTAATTGATCACGGAAATGATTTATTATTATTGCGGTTTAAGATAAATTTTTATAAAAATTCTTGCTAATAAATATTACATTTACATATTTTTATCATTTACAGGAGATGATACAATTATTAATCCACAACATTATATTGATGACTAAAAGACAAAAACTACTATTTACTCGGAAACAGTTCTTTAATGATGAAAAAGCAATAACTAAGACGTTGATAATTTAATGGTAACGAATGCATTTGGAGCTGCAAGTATATGCATTTTAAACAATCTTATGTCTTCCATTTCTATATGTATATTTATATAATTATATATATTAATTATTTTTGAATATAAAATATAATAAATGAATGTACAAAAAATGTCTGACTCTACGACACCAGAGCAGTCAACGAATGATACTACAATAGCAGCTAGTGATGATGAAAATCGGTCACAGGCATGCATAGATGAGAGTTTCCATAGTTCAAACTCTGATTTATCAGGTCATTCTCAGTTATATAATGCTCAATGTTTTGAAAATAATAAACAACCATATAACACACTAGATATAAATTCGACAATTGATAAAATTGGTGATTTGAGAATACCAATTGTTGGTTATGAGGTGATGGAAGAGAGAGCAAGGTTTACAGTGAGTGAATATTTATTTTTTTATAATTACACTCAAAAAATGGTTAATGATCGCACATTTCATAAATTTTTTAGGTTTATAAACTTCGTATAGAACATAAAGACGGAGGAAGTTGGTTTATTTTTAGAAGATATACAGATTTTGTGCGTTTATTAACACAGTTGCGTAGACAAAAATTACCAATATCGCATTTGTCATTGCCAGGGAAAAAATGGATTGGAGATAATTTTGCTCCAAGTTTTCTTGAAGATCGAATTAGAAGACTTCAGAAATTCGTAGATGCAATATTGAGTACACCAACACTAATAGAAAATACAAGTGTTCGTGAATTTTTTTGTTTAGATGAACCTCCCGCACTTTCTGATACTGCAGATGAAGCTAGAGTAATTTCTATAACAACTTATCAAATTAATTTGATTCAATCTGTTTAGCCGGATTGAAATTCCAAACTAATCAGATTGTATTCATAAAAGTTTTTCATAGTCATTAATGAACTGTTCTTTTTAAATATTCAGGCAATTGTTGAATCTTTAGAGGACAATATATATCATCTAAAACAACAACTATATGATCGTGAAATTGCACTAGCAGCAGCCAATTCTGTTTGCAATGAACTTCGAACAAAACTACACCAAATAATGTACGTAAATATCTTTAATTTATTAAAATCATCTCTTACTAAAAATGAATTAATGATGGAATAAAGAAATTGGTGTATAAACATATATACATTTATATATATTCCTATATAATTTCAGTGAGCGAAGAGTATGTCCAAGGTGTGGCGAATTTATTGATTTTTCTGAAATATATCAATGACAAGAACTCCAAAGTGAATTAATATTATGGTAGCATAATAATAAGGATAAATTTATAATACATATTATTATTTCAATGCCTTTGTGCCTTCAAAAAAACATTGTTAAAAATTTCATTCAATATATTTATATGTTTATAGATTTAAAAAAATTATAGACCGAGAGTCAAAAACTTTATATATTAATAAAATCTTTGTTTTTGTTAATATAAAGTATTTTCCAGAATTATTACCTTTGTTATTTATTTTTTAAAAGACAAAGTACCTAGTAGTCTTCAAATTATTTTAATTATCTAAGTAATATAATAGTACCTGGACGAAAGATAATTCGATTAAAAAAATTACTTACAATCTATACTCATCGCACCCGATAAAGTTATGAAAAGACACAACAAGTACATAGTTTATGAATTAAAATTTTGCCATTATTTAATAAAGGTGTTAACTAAATGTGTTTGACATTGATATAGATTTATATATTTTATTTTAATTTTTTATTAGAATTACAGTACAAAATATGATAAAGATATTTAATAATTTAAAGAGAATATAAAACTTTTTATTTTTCATGATCACTGAGTATTAAAATAACTTATTAAATACTATAAAAAATTAAGAAAATTTTAAATAGAAAAATTAATAAATAATTTCATTGAAGGTCATAAAAGTAATTGTTCTTCAAAAGTAATATTAATAAAAATACATACATTAAAAACAATTAAGCTAATGTAAATGACACCTATTTAATCGAGTTCATCTATGAGATCGTCATTTTGTCCGTAATCATCGTATTGTTCTTTCAAATCATCATCTTCATCTTTATCAGCAGGACAGTGAAGACACCTAGATTCGTTTATACCATAATTGATGCAAGTATCTCCAATACATTCACAACATCCATCATGAAACCACCGATAACTAGTTGCTCCCATACTTTGACAAGATGCTCGACATTTGTTCCATGAATTACATTGAGCCATGTATGCTACTGTGCAGTTAACTGTCATTATATTGGGTTTGAGAGGATTGTGTAATTCTTCTTCCACGGTTTCTAAAACATAATAAAAGATGCTCCATTACAAAAATATATCCATGTTATGAAAAGAATAATTTCATAGAGTTCTAAGTTTCTACGAAAAATTAATCCTATCGTAAAGTAGTACAGAGGTACAGAATAAGTGGATACAATATAACTTTTCCGGAGCAGCTTAAGTAAATAAATACAACTTTCCCAAATTTGAAATAGATGAAAGTTTTAACAAACTAATGCAACAGATTAAAAGGTTAACTTTATAATAGCAAAAATTGTGACAAGAGAAACTGTAAATCCCATTAAACTGGTGTTGAGCAGATCTGAAAATTACCCGGGCTCTTCAGGTATACGCTTTACCTGATTCACAAACTTTTGCCGGTTACTCTGTTGAAATCAGGTATCATCTATAATCCCATTGAAATTTTAAATGGAAAGCAAATAATTTTCGGTCATATTTAACTAATGGTAGGATAATAACTATGACTCCAATTGCTGGTACCTTCATTTTAAAATTTAAAGTTTTAATAATCCTATTGTTAGTAATTTAGCAGGTATGATTGTGCAAACTGAATCAAATTTAATCCGATACTAAGGTCATAAAGTTAGAAGAAAATAACTTTTATATACCCTTAAACCAAACATGGGCTATATTTTTAAATTAAAATCCCAATAAGATCTACAACGAAAATTATCTTAAGTAATCCAGGTACTTAACCACAGGGTTTTCGAAAAGTCCCGATAGTTCATGCCTGCCTTAAACTAAATAGTCATGGTCTTTCAAAATATTACTGCTAAACTAGATGAATTCCAAGTTTTCTGTACTGAAATTCTCGATGATAATTTTATTACTCAGACTTAAAGCTTGCCCTATTCTTGGTTTGCGCAGAATTTCTATCTGTCTTTCTTTTCTTGCTCCGAAAAAGTCAAAGTTTGGTAAGACTTATTTTAAATAAAAATAAAATCTTGTTTCAATGAAAAACTTACGCATATGATAATTTATTTCTTTTTCTGATTTTGGTTGAAATAACGTGACATCAAAATCCACTGGATAAGTAAATGTAATCCATCTCTCAAGAGGATCAGGTTCAGCAGTCAAAGCTTGGAATAACCCTGGCACGGGTTCAGTAAAATCTTCAACATGAGACTTTTTACTTAAAGGATTATCTGTTATGTTTGGTTTAGGACATAAGTCTGAAAAAGATATGAGCATACTTTAGAATTTATGCAAGAATTTTTACATTTTTCTATCATAAATAAATCTTTAAGCGGACTTACCAACACATGAACAGCATTCATCATAAAGGTAAGATAAACATGAAAAACATTCTTTGCAACAAGTACAAGTGACAAGGTCACACTTACAGCTTTGTGTAAGCATACATTTACTCACTACGCTAGCACAAATAGCTTCATTACAAGCTGTGGTGTAATTTATTGTGATTGCAAGGGCAATAAATGTCACACTCCCTATCAAAACTGTCTTTGAAGTTAGCCCCGACATTTTTCCTGGAAAAAATACAAATTGTGAAAAAAGATGTTTTTCTTCAATGAGATCTAACGATCAACAACTTTAGATATGTTATTGAACAAGTAAACACTTAAAAAAGTTGTATCACTTTTACATTAACTCATGCGTCACTAATTATGATTAAAATTATACATAAAGTATTACAGAAAATTCTGTATATACCATAATGAAATTTTATTTAAAGCTGTCAATAAAACTCTTATTTTCATTCTTACAATATGGTTTATAATATTAAGTACATCAATTTATGGTAAAAAAATCAATTTTACTAAGGATAATATTTTTATTACTCTCACTTTCTAATCGATTCTGGATTTGCGATTTCTAATAATACACTCAGAAATATACAACGCAGTAGTAATGTATATTTAAATTACCATCGCTAATATTATTATTTTTATTACTTTTCATCGATATTATACTTCAAATTTTCCTTGAATATACTATTTAATTCATCTATATATATACAAACAACAGATATATTTATATAGTTACAAGGCAAAGAATATAATGGTCCTGAATAAAAGATTTTTGTAATTGAATTCTTTCTTCTCATTTTGAATTAACGGAAAATTTTGAAAATTTATGTTCTCGGAAACCATCGAGTATTACAATAAAAAATGCACATATCATAATCTTGATGAATAAAAACAATTTAAATTTTGAAGCATTAATGCAATTATAAATCAAATTTCAAAAGATACATAAATAATTATAATAACTTTAATTATCGGAGAGAATGTTAGTAAATTGTTTATTATTATCATAAAACATGATGAATAAATTTAGCGAATGATATGAAAGTAACTTTAAACTTTAAATTTTCAACATAACTTGTTTATTATTACTTAATAATAACATTTTGAGCTGATTGTTTTTTCAAATATAAGTTTACTCAATAAAATAAAAATGATTTTTCTTATTTTATATCATAATAAAATAAAACTTGTATACATTTACATATATGAATATATCAGTGTTCAAATATATCACGTGTATGAAACATCTTTTTAATTAACTATAAAAATAAATATCATTAGTATATTTTACCTTAACTTTTTACGTATTATTATTACGTATTGTAGTTGTTTAAATTTCAATCTTCCCTTTCGTAATCCAGTCTTTACCTACGCTGGAGAAACTATTTTGAGAATATGCAACCGGTTCGCGCTACCACTCCAACCACCAAACATATTTCACTATTTCTTTTAATAAACTCTCAATTTTTCAATTATTTTTTAACATAAATCACAATTTCAATTTTAATTTGAAATTTTTTTCAATCACAATAATATATTAATATATTAAGACTATTCACAATACTATCGATGTCAATATTTATTAAAAATCTAAGTTAAAACTTGAAGTTCAATAATTTTGAAGAGTGCAACTTGTTCGTGACGAGTTGGAGAACGTTTCTCATATGTCTGGAGATCAAGGAACAGACCTAAAGGAGCGAATGGCAGAAATGTAAAAGAGAGGGAGTAGGGAAAATGGAGGAGGTAGTAAGAGAAAAAGAGGGGGCGAGGTTTACTGAGTGATCAAGCGGAGCTCAAGAGGCAAGGAGGCGGTGAAGTTGAAGGAAATATGATGGTGTTTGAAGAAAAGAGACAGAGAGCTCCATTCCAAGGGTCTGATCAGTGAGCGAGAGACTGGTTTTTGTCTTGTTTTGATTTTTTTATTTATTCTACCTGATGAAACTCTATCTTCTTTTTTTATACTAAGCTAGAGAGCAAAGTATACATAATTAATTGCTAAGCTAAAGTCAGAGAAAATTAAACATTAATTTAGCAAATTAATTCATTTTTTTTCATACTTATTGACATATTTTACAAATTTCCCTCCTGTATAGATATACAGAAATATGTTAAGATTAAAAAGAAATAATTTACTCAAAATGAATTCTATTGGAGAAAAATATTTCACCAATGATTAGTTGTGAATAAAAGTAGAAATATTTTATTTAACATCAAATTTTATGAACGTATAATGTTTTCGAAAACGGTGCTTTTTATAATAAAAAGTTTTAAATTAAAGGAAATAAAATAACGACAAATTAAGTTCAAAGTCTTAAATTTACCTCCTACTACAATCAACTTTACGTTAACAACACATTAAAGTATTTAAGCATTTAGTTTCTTCCGCTATATATTGCATTAGTAGTGTTTTAATATGAATTAATGGAGCATGTGTAAAAATACTTAACATTTATTAAAATGTTAAAATTAAATTAATAATACGTCATAAGTTCAAGAATGTCAGGTAACGTAAAAACTTTCAGGTATATAATGATTGTTAGTAGTGATAATAAAAATTAGCCGAAAAAAAAGAAAGCTGATCGGTTAGTCAGATATGAGGATGACCGCCACTTTGCTTGAGTCCTTAGTAACTAAGATGAACTATTTGAATCTAAAGGTGAAGTTACTAATGGTACAAATATTCCGAAATCTGCTAGTGTAACTACCAGATACATTCTTTTGTATGTGACGGCAACTAAAATTCTGTGATGAAAGTAAGACCTTTATTGGACTGTTGTACAACTCATTTAATATGAGTATTATTAATTTAATCTTCAAAAGTACTTACAGTGAAAAAAAGTAAATTAATAATTTAAAATTTTTCGAATGCTCCATTCTGATAGAAACACCATGAAAAGAAGACAGAGATGATCTTCCAAGAATTCACATAAAGGACCAGACTAAAATGCAGTATGAATAAAAAACATACTTAAATAACGCATTCATTTGAGATTTGATGAATTAATGATTTAGCTATAAACGATTAAGAGGATTACATTTTAGTTGAAATTACGAAAATAGTGTGCTTCTATTTAACTTAAGAAATAATAATGAGACAAAACTATTCACATATATTTTTATTTTTCAATTCTATATCAATGTATAAAGCAATTATTCTTACGAGTCAATCAGTACGTTGGTCAATTATCATTATTATTCAATGTAAGAAATAATTCGTCGTAACTGATTGATATTAATCAAATAAATATGTATATATAAATTAATAATCACATAACTACTATGGTACACAATTACTATAAAACAATCATACCTTAATATCTGTGTTATTTGACAATTTAATTTTTTTCCTTGTTTTTTTTTTTTTAATTCATCTGTTGCCTTTTTTGTATAAATTGAGCACAATTAAATTACGATAAAAATTAATAAAAAAAATTAACAGTTACAAATTATAAGACAATTATTCAAGACAATAATAAGTTTATCACAGGGTTAAAAAAATTGATTTAATGTTAAATTTCAGCCAAATTTATAATCTAATATTAATTGCATTATTTTCTTTAAATTTAATCGATTTTCTGTATATCATTGTTGCACGGAATTTAGGCAGTGTTAAGAATGTTGATAAAATAACCGTAATAATAATATAACAGCATCTTATTCGCCATTCTATTCAGTCATCGCAGATGATTATATTTTTATGTAAATAAATGTTTATGAAAAAAGCTTCAATAATAATATCAATAATATTAGAAAATTATTTGTATTAATTATAATAAGTAATAATAAACAATGTACAGCATTTTATAAATACGTTTCAAAAAGTTTTCTCTGAGGAAGAACATTTTTTGACTGTTTTTTCATCGTCAGTTTAAAAAAGCGTAGTATAATACTCATGAATTTGACTATAATCAAATCTCATTTTTTTCTATCATTTGTTAGTTTAATTCATTGTAGGCGCACATTTTTGTAATAGTTCTCATTAATATCAGTAACATTAATCGTTTGTTTTATACAAATACAAAACTGTTTATATTGTCCCCCAGTATATTTGAAGTTGTTTTTTCATTGATTCTTTTTATGTTTTATTAGCAGCTTTGTTTTTTCTATATTTATATCTAATACTACTGCAATATTATTAGTATACTAAGCATTTTATCGTGAATGACAGTTACGCATTCGAAAATTATACGCGGAATTGTGATGCGATGTGAATAATTATTATGACATATTTCATCAGAAAAATTGATTACTTTAGTATTGCCAGTAAAATGTTAAAAAATAATATTAGCTTATTGGTTTTTTTATGTTTGCTCTTTTTGATCACGATATTTCTTTTTTTTAAGATAGCTTATGTATAAGATATTCCATACTAATATAAACAATTATTTGATGTCAGATATTTTTTATATTTTGCCTAATATATAAAAAAATTTTGCACCATCTAGAAGATAAATTTATGTATTCTAAACAGACCTCAAGTTGAGTTTGTCATGGTATCATAAAAATTAAAGCAAAAATTGATAAACATCGTTAAAAAATATCTATTATTTATTTAAATAATTAGTATGCTATATCTTAGACATAAATAACTTTAATAATTAAAACTCTAAAAAATTTGTAATATCCTTTTTTTAATAACTTATTTTATACTGAGTAGACATTAAAATTCCATAAGTGATATTTTTTTCCTTAATGCAAATAGTTTAATACACCCAATAAGTGAAAAATTAATTTTTCTTAATAGCAATGGCTTATAGGTGAATATTTTCAATGATATAAGACAACAATGATTCCATTCTTTAAAAATTTTTCTTGGAACCAATCAGAAGAAAATAACGTTCTTCTAGTTGTCTACTAATGACTTAGATATAATTATTTATCCTAAATTAATTATTCGGTACGGCCTTCAGTAAATAAGAATATTACTTCACTTTCATATTATAATAAAAGTTGTTTTAAAAAAAATTTTTTTTTGATTACATTGTTTTTATGGCTTATCCTTTTTATCTTTGTATCATATTCACTACGTCCTTTATTGTATTATGAAGCTCACTAAGTAGTCTTGTATTCTCTGTGATATTTCGAGTGCCTGCAGCTCTCAATTGTCCTGCTTGTGATTCTAAACGCGATAATAAATCTCGAAATTGGAGTTTTGCATGAGATGTAGTTGCTGCAACTTCACTCGAATCGATTTCTTGAAGACGACCGTGAAGTATACCGAATCTATCAGATAACTGATGCCAGCTTGCCATCACAATAACAGGAGTACCTTTAAGATTTGTTATAATAACTTCAATAGCATTGGATAATTCTAAAACGTCATGTTTAGTTACTTTAGTCTCTTGTTTCCCATGAAGATTAGAGTCTTCGTCATAAGATTTGTCACAATTCGGCGTAGCATAAATTGAAGAACCAAAATATTTTCCGGTAGGTCCCAGTGTTTTAGTTGCCAAGGGTTTTACTGGTACCAACGGTTTTTCTGGTTCTCCAAAATTATTAGTTGTATGACTATTGCGAGAATCACTTTTACTCGTTAAAGAACTTCTCGTTGATGCTCCACTATGGTCTTCTGGACTTTCTTCCCCAGTATCAACACCATCTATTTTACTAATCCCTTTAGTACCTAACTTAGGACTTAGAGGTTGATTTTCCCACGTAGATTCTTTATTTTCCCATAATTTCTTCAAACTACTTATACTACCAGTACTTTTGCGCTTATCATCACTATCATCTGGTTCTGACATATCTGTATTAGTGTCTTCATTTTTCTTAGTTTTTTCTTCAGCTTTTTCTGAATTATCCTTCTCAACTTTCCTCAATCTTGCTTTGAAATCGATTATTTGACTTTCAACAGTTTCTTCTTTTTGCGGATTTATTTTTTTATCGACTTTCTTAAGTTTAAAACCAACATTTCCTGAATTAAGAGTATTTTCAACTAATGATGACGGCGACTTAACATCTTTGTTGTGGCTTGATGACTTTTCTAAAACAGTTGAAGAGTTTATTGATGATTCATGTGGTGAATCTACTTCTTTTAAATTCAAAGCTGCATACTCTCCCTGAATTGGCGATTTATTTGCTTGTTCAATATTTAAATTAGCACAAAGTTCCGATAATAATTGAGAAGCTGGATCCATGTGTTGAGGAACAGTATTATTTAAAGTATTTAATTTCTTGGACGTTCCACTACGTTTCATATCTGCATTCTGTTTAATTTCATTAATTAATTTCAACTCAAGCATTTCTTTCATACCTGGTTTAGCTATAAATACATCATCCGTATCATTACCAGAAGGTGGTGGTGGTGGCGGAGGAGGTGGAGGAGCTTCTATAGGAGGAGAAAGAATATTCCCAGCAGCTTCATTCTTTCCAAATAATTCTTTTCCTCGTAGAACACTTTTTTTCTCTTCTTCTAACTTTTTTGTAGTTGTTCCACCGTCACTAGATACTTCCCGTCGTCTTAAATTTACTCCAAACCTTGAGCTTGCTTCTTTAACTGACGGTTGCACAGTTCTTACATCATTATTTTTATCATCTTCTTCAATAATTTCATCTCTTGATCGTCGTTCATTTTTAGTTTTTCTTGTACAAATCGGAGAGCTAGAGGATTTATTAGGAGCATTACCAGCATTCATAGATGCTTGAAATTCAGACAAATCTCCAATACTAAGTTCACTTGGAGGTGGTGGAAGATCAAGAGGAGGCGGAGGAAATTCTAAATCAGCTAACGTTGGTTGAATGGATCTGGATGGACTAGCAGTTCTAAATGTGGACGTATTGGAACAACGAAATGTTCTTAAACCAATATTTTCAGAATTATTTTTGCGACTGGGAATTCGACATCTTGGTGAATTAGGTGGTTGATAAGTATTAACTACTCCACTCGATGAATTGCTACGGGTCATTTGTGGTTGATTTCTTAAATTATTTTGTCGTGGAGAAAGTGATCGATGTTGAGATACTTCTATTGCATTTATAGCTTCATGATGTAATTGTTGTTGCAACTGAGATTGATGATCGGAAGATAAATTTTCTTGGGCAGTAGGCATTCCACTTTGGCGTAATGATTCTAAATAGGCGCCTATCCTCGCTCCTTTTGGTAATGTTCCATACCGATTAATAGCACGCTTAACATTTTGTACTTCTAGGGCAGCCACGTGGACTACCTGCAAATCACAATCATTAATAAAACATTTTTAAATAATTACTTTCCATCAATTTAAAAGCAAATAATTATTCAAGCAGTGCTAGATGCATTTACCAGAGCTTTTTGGATTATTTTGTTAAAAAAATCATGACAAATCATACGGGACATATTGCAAAAATAATCACGTTATTGAGACTACCACCTTCATCAAGCGTCGCCAATTAAAAAAAAAATGTTCATGTTTTTTATATGAATACCTTCTGTGGTAGTACTTCCTTAGAAGAATACTGTCTTGTTTTAATTTGTTTCTGATTGCACGCTTTGTTGAGTACCGGCTCGGGCGAAGCCGACGGTTGCGGGGGAAAATTCGGCTCCGCCGTCCCCTGGGATCCGTCGCCATCATCATCCAAGTCACAGCCTCCTGACGGTATTGATTGTGTCACCATTGTCACAAGATCTCGCGTGATACCTGAGTTTTTATTTTATAAATAAACAAAAAAATAAACTAAATAAACTAAATGTGTATGTTTTTGCGTTTTTATATTAACAACGATTAAGAATTATTTTTTAATTAATTACATCTTTTCTTATACTTTCATTGTATTCTTTAGTGAGTATATTTTGTTAAAGCATATTGATATATTGGTGGTAAGCGCTGATAAAGCACGAAATGAAGTATTTTTGTTTTGCTCAGGTCATTCTCCATGAATCAGATGTTGATAACTATGGGATCTAAATGTTTTAAAATTTTTCAAGCATTTATGAGTGAATGAATAAATAAATGTATAATGGATGGATAAAAATATTAAAAAATAAAATAAATAAACTTATCAAATAATTTGTGTATGATATAATTAATTGAATACTTTAATGAATAAATAAAAGATAATTTATGATTTAATTCAATAATTTGATTATTAAAAGTGTATCTATAATTATATTGTCTGATAACAATAAAGGTTTGTCGATATGAAAGACTGATTATTTTTGTTACTTTTTCAAGAAATATTTTTCATGTAAACTCACGTAACACTGCTTGAACATGAATAAATGGTTTTTTAATAGATTGAAAAATAAAAAATATTTATTTTTCAAATGCTTATATTGAAGTAAAAATTATGTACCATTATTATAATGACTTATTAATAAAATAATGATTATGAATGACATGAATGAAGACTACTATATGCATCTACTTGGATGCCATGCAATAATAAATAAAAAAATAACTATATGTAATTATTTTTTTTTATGTACAATAAAAAATTGGGATAATCTATTGATGAAACTAATGGAACAACTTACTTTTGATATTTCACAGGAATCTTTATGGTATAATAAAGATTGTTTGAAACAACGTTCTAAAAGATTCCAGGAGAATGACCCACGTGCTGATTTTCAAGTAAATTCTTATGCACAATGCAAATCATTTGAAAATGAATAAAATTAAATTATAGTTCAATTATATATGTATATAAATAATTCAGTAAAGGCAATTAATAAGCAATACGTGCATTTTTCATTAATATTTTTTAATGAGTAAGCAATAAAAAATACCTTCGAAATTGTTATCAATACCATTTAGATCTGTCCCATCATCTAGTGTTGCAGCTCCTACTGAATCAATATTATGTTGATCTTGTTCCTGATATGCGGAGTCACGAAACGAGCTACATGACGACAGTAGGCTGTTTAAAAACGCAAGAAAACATAATATAATGCTTATAATAAATATTTAAACTTTTAAAATAAGGTTTAAAATCGATATGAGTAAAAAAAAAACATACACACATACATTTATAAAATGCTTTCACAGTATGATGCATTTTATTAAAAATTTAAAAGATAATGTAAAAAAACTACCTAGTGCGTTTGGGTGGGGCTGGAGCCTGTTTTCCCCTTTTATTTGTTGAGCGACGCATCTGTACCATATTGTTGGAACTTTTGTTAGTATGTCCACCCACAAAGGTGCTAAGTTTAGTGACACTACTAGGACCATCTTGTGTTAATCCTGAGGTAGATAATTGATCAGACACGAGAACAAGACCATGAATATTTCCTGTACTTCCTGTTTGTGATTTTTTGTGATTGTAAGAGAACATTGGAGTTTCAACAGTACCTTGAAGCTGCTTTTCTACCTCTATAATCAATGTTTAAATTATTTTTCCTTATTCACAATAATTATGTCCTATCGGTTTATAATTATTTTTTACCTTCTGTAATACTGGACTCTTGAAACATCGTTTCTAATGAATGATGAATATCTTTAAACGTAGGACGTTCAATAGCAGACCATTGCCAACATTGTCGCATTAGTTCATAAACTTTCGGTGGACATCCAGGTGGACATTCCATTCTGTATCCTTTTTCTAACATATGATAAACATCTGTTAAGTCCACACCAGGATAAGGAGACATGCCATAAGTTGCAATCTCCCACAGCAAAATTCCAAAAGCCCAAACATCGGACTTGGTGGAAAATTTATTATAAGCTAATCCTTCAGGAGCAGTCCATTTAATTGGAAATTTAGCACCTGCATGTGCAGTATATGTATCATCTCTCATTAATCTCGCAAGACCAAAATCAGCGACTTTTACCAAATGATTTTCGCCAACTAAACAATTCCTTGCTGCTAAATCCCTGTGAATAAAATTACGACTTTCGAGGTAGCTCATTCCACTTGCAATTTGTGTTGCCATATGCATTAAAACAACAGCATCAATTTGATGCTTGCTTTCATTACGAAGATAATCTAAGAGATTTCCCTTACTCATGAACTCAGTGATTATATAAAAAGGCGGTTCACGGGTACACACACCGAGTAACTGAACTAAATTTCTATGTTTCATTTCTTTCATTATTGCTGCTTCTTCAAGAAAATCTTTCAAGGCCATTGTGTCTTCTTTAAGAGTTTTTACAGCTACTGTCATATTATATCGTTTCCAAACAGCTTCGTATACATCTCCATATTGCCCTCCACCCAATTTATGTCTCATAACAATATCCGTACGATTAATTTCCCATTCATCTGGTTCAGGACTTAGAGGAAATACTGTTGGCTTATTATGTTTTGGAGCAGGATAAAGCAATTGAGTAATTAATCCGTCAGCCAACATTGAATGATGATGTACCAATTCTGCTAACGTATTGAATTTACTCTCTGTCGTCACAAACATCTATAAATTTATTTAAAAAGTCAATATTGTACGCTAAAAAGAAATATCAAATAAGAATGTAATTTAAGTTTAATCACCTTGCCATCACTATCTTCATTAATTCTATAGTGGTACACACGACCTTCATATCTTAAAGAAATACTTCGTTGTCCTGGACTGCTTTCAGATTCTCTGACAAGAAAGCTACCATTTATTCCAGAGCTTAAAAGATACTCAGCTGCATTTCTTGCTATTCTGCCGTGATACCAGGAATGTTTTTCTAAAGAATTTACTGGCGTTACATAATTTGAAGGCACCCAACCTACTTGGCCAGTATTTGAATGAGCTTCACACCATTCACCACTTTTATTATAACTTAATATTCGCACTTGATCACCTACAAACAAGTATGTGCAATATTGTTTTAAATAAATGTTAAAAAAAAAAAAGTTTTTTTGATAATCAATATACCTTTTTGTAAACTAAGCTGATTTTCTCCACCAGCTGAAAAATCATAAAGAGCAACAAATAACTGAGGATCGTCCTCTTCTTGGGTTAGGAGATTCTCTTTACTCGTCCATCTATTAGCAGCTTCAAGGAGACTTCCACTAGATACATTAGAATGTTGAGAAAAATTTGACTGTTGTGATAAAGACTGGACACTTGAACCACTGGGTGGATCACCTTCAGGTAACGCAGGAATATGAGGCAAAGGTCGACTTTGTAAAAGAGCTTCTAGAAACATAAAAGTTTTTTTCAACTTCAAACTCATTCAATTATTTTATAAATGCTTCAGAGCTTTCTTAAGAGTTATGAAAAAAAAAATGAAAACATAGGAAAACATTGAACGCAATGAGCATATGGAAAAATCAATAATTCATAGCCGTGAAACTAAGAGTCTTTTAAGAAATTTTAAAGGAAAACAACAAGGACTAAATTGGCAAAATAATGAGAAAAAAGGATGAATAGACTTACCGCTATGCTCAGTAAAAATGTTAGAACCAATTAATCTTGAATCTTTCGGATTTCTTGGTTGTTTTCGTGTTTGTCTCACAGTGGAGCCGGTGGGTATGACTCTGTCTTTAGTTTGTTGAGCACCCATCGTTTGGCAATTAGCATGCCCTTGCACTGATAATTCTCACTAAAGATAATTTAATGCGTTTCAGCAAAGACAATAGCTCCGGCGCATTCAACTTCCGGCACCCTGATATTTTATCAAGTTCCTCCTTGCATATTATCATGAGTTACACTTATTAGCAATCACTCTAGTAGTATAGCAACAAAAATTTTCTCCAACTCCCATTTATACCATTCACTCGTGTTAATGTTTGAAAATTATTCACAACATTTTAACGATTTTTTTAATGTAAATCATATTATGTTTCTTTTATATGTCAATTAAATCTCGTACTCCGGCCATATTTGACAGCTCTTGACGGCGATTATTTTGTACAGAATATTAGCGTAGGGGGAGATTGAATAAAATTTAAGGGGAAGCTTTTTACAGAAACTCGTTTCACTGACAAAAAAAAGCATACACAGACCTGTTTAAATGGCTTGCAAATATATAACTTGTGGTTTTTTCCTGTACGATTTAACCCCTGGGAATACGTTTGGGGAAAGAATTTGACGTTCTCATTGGTCTGCGAATCTTGAGTCTCTGAGTGATCAAAGTGGTCTGCAATCTTGGACCGATTTTACACTCGAGTTCGCATCTATGTATTTACTTAACAGCGATTTACTTACCTATCCATGCTTTATTCTCATTGGGTAAGCTTAATACACACACTATTGTTACAACAGAATGAACCAATGAGCAATCTTTAGGTATTTGTGGCAATATTTATTAACAAAAGAAATGATTTTAAATAAAAATTGTGTTAATTAAATGAAAAATTAAATTAACTCATGATTCACTGTTAAACAAATGTAATAATCATTGAAAAACATATGAACGTTTTTCAATAATAGTTGATTTAAATTCCACATAATATAGCTATTGTCATGTTGTCGCCATCTTTAATGTCGCCATAATGTTGATGTGTCACGTGACCAGAGGGAGCAGCTAGTCTATGAGGTGAATGCGCCGGGTTAAATTAGCTTAAAAAAGTCAAAAATTTACGCGTGTGTAATTAATAACCAGTAACTTCAGCTGCAAGAAACAGTCAAAAGTCATGGATCCACGAAAATTAACGGAATTACTTCGTGCAACGATTGAACCCGCTCAACAGAAACAAGCTGAAGAACAACTTAATCAGGTGAGCCGTCCCTGAAAAACGTGCTTTTCTCTCTCTTGGACTATCCTGAATGTTCTGTCCGAAATCACCAACATGTGGCTTCATTTTTGTTGATTTAGTAATCTTGGATTTCTTTTTTTCCCTCCGTTTAATTATTTCCATGCATATGATTTATAACCCTATCATACTTTATTTCAAGATATTAGTCAAGCTTTTTTACTATCGGATTTGATATATTTTCAGCAATTGGTCAAGTTCACACATGTATATAATGTAGTTACTAATAATTATTCCTTTGAAATGATGATTTCACATGTAAAAAATAAATTACTACATATAAATATTAATAGCTTTGTTAATATTTATTTATGTAAACAAATTCATCATTTTATTTGCCAATGATTTTTACAGGTTCACAAAATTATTGGATTTGCTCCCAGTCTTCTGCAAGTAATTATGTCAACGGAGGTGGAACCTCCTGTTAGACAAGCTGGTAGATAGATTTATTTAAATAACAAATACTAATTTCTGTACCATCACTTGTCTTATGTATTTATGATGATTTTTTTAGGTGTTATATACTTGAAAAATTTAATTATTACCAATTGGGTAGACCGTGAACCTGAAAATGGAGTGCAACCATTCAGTATTCATGAACAAGACAGAGCTATGATACGTGATGCCATAGTTGATGCTGTGGTACATGCTCCGGAGTTGATACGAGTTCAGCTAGCTACATGTATTAGCAATATTGTGAAACATGACTTTCCCGGGCGTTGGACACAAATAGTAGATAAAATTACTATTTATCTTCAAAATCCTGATGCTTCTTGTTGGCCTGGTGTACTTTTGGCTCTATATCAGCTCGTTAAAAATTTTGAGTAAGATTTTTTTATATTTGGCAAAGACAATTTTTTTCATCATAATAAAAAATGCTTCTTTTTTAGATATAAAAAACCTGAAGAACGTGGACCGTTAAACGAAGCAATGAATTTATTGTTTCCTATGATTTACCAATTGATATTACGTTTGCTACCTGATCCATCAGAACAATCAGTTTTATTACAAAAACAAATCTTAAAGATATTTTTTGCATTAACACAGCATTCCCTTCCTTTGGATTTAATATCAAAGGAAGTATTTTCTCAGTGGATGGATGTCATAAGACAAGTTGCTGATAGACCAGTTCCACCTGAAACAAATAATCCAGATCTTGATGAAGATGAAAGAGCCGAATTAGCTTGGTGGAAGTGTAAAAAATGGGCTCTTCATATTCTTTTCAGAGTATTTGAAAGATATGGAAGTCCAGGAAATGTAACCAAAGAATATAAAGAATTTTCGGAATGGTATCTGCAAACATTTAGTGGTGGAATTTTGGAAGTTTTACTGAAAATTTTAGATCAATATCGTCGTAAAATATATGTATCGCCAAGAGTTATTCAACAATCAATTAACTACATAAATCAAGGAGTTAGTCATGCGTATTCATGGAAGTTCTTAAAACCTCACATGTTTGAAATCATAAGAGATGTTTTGTTTCCTATTTTATCGTATTCAGCAGCTGATGAAGAACTGTGGAACAGTGACCCTCATGAATATATACGAGTTAAATTTGATATTTTCGAAGATTTTGTATCTCCAGTGACCGCTGCACAAACTCTGCTTCATTCGGCTTGTAAAAAACGACGAGATATGTTACAAAAAACAATGCAGTTTTGTGTAGAAGTATTACAATCTCCTAATGCTGATCCTCGGCAAAAAGATGGTGCCCTTCATATGATTGGAAGCCTAGCAGATATTTTGTTAAAGAAAAAAATATATAAAGAACAAATGGATAAAATGGTTTTACAATATGTTTTTCCAGAATTTAATAGTCCACATGGGCATATGAGAGCCAGAGCTTGTTGGGTTTTGCATTATTTTTCGAAAATAAAATTCAAACAGGAAGCTATATTAATAGAAGCCATACGTCTTACAACAAATGCCCTACTCTCAGACAAAGATCTTCCCGTGAAAGTTGAAGCGGCCATAGGGTTACAGTCTTTATTAAGTGCTCAACCTAAAGCTCAAAAGTATATTGAACCACTGATAAAGCAGATAACTCTTGAACTTTTAAATATAATCAGAGAAACTGAAAATGATGATTTAACATTGGTTATGCAAAAAATTGTCTGTACTTACACAAAACAATTAATGCCAATTGCTGTAGAAATTTGTCAACATTTAGCTGCAACCTTTAGCCAAGTTCTTGAAACAGATGAAGGAAGTGACGAAAAAGCTATTATGGCAATGGGTTTACTAAATACGATAGCCACTTTATTATCAGTAATGGAAAATCAACCACAAATAATGGCACAATTACAGCCAACTGTCCTTCAAGTCGTTGCTCATATTTTTGGTCAAAGCGTGATTGAATTTTATGAAGAAGCTTTGTCACTAGTGTATGATTTGACTGGAAAATTTATTTCTGAAGATATGTGGAAAGTTCTTGAACTTATGTATCAACTTTTCCAAAAAGACGGGTTTGATTACTTCACAGATATGATGCCTGCACTTCATAATTATATCACAGTTGATACACCAGCGTTCCTTTCAAATGAAAATCATGTTTTAGCTATGTTCAACATGTGTAAAGCTATTCTGACCAGTGATGCCGGTGAAGATCCTGAGAGTCATGCTGCTAAATTATTAGAAGTAATCATTTTACAATGTAAAGGACATATTGATCAGTGTATTCCATCGTTGGTTCAATTAGTTCTTGAAAGATTGACGCGGCAAGTAAAGACTTCAGAATTGAGAACGATGTGCTTACAAGTGGTAATTGCTGCGCTCTATTATAATCCTGCTCTGTGCCTCGATGTAATGGATAGATTACAAGGAACATTAGGACAATCTACCGAACCAATTGCTTCACATTTTATAAAACAATGGATTCATGATACTGACTGTTTTCTGGGTTTGCATGACCGTAAACTTTGTGTTTTAGGACTTTGCACTCTTATAAGCATGGGGCCTGCTAGACCGCAGGCTGTTAATGAGTGCGCCGAACAAATTATTCCCTCTTTAATACTCTTATTCGACGGCTTAAAACGAGCATATGCTGCCAAGGTTGCTGAAGACGAAGAAGACCAAGAAGATGAAGAAGAAAGTGATATTGAAGAAGAAGTTTTATCGTCAGATGAAGATGAAATCGACGATGCTAGTCAAGAATATCTTGAGAAACTTCAAGAAAAAGTAACTAGATCGTCTGCTCAGCATGGATATAATATTAATGCATCGATCCAAGATGGAGATCACAGATCTGACGATGAGGACGATGATGATTCAGACTTTGAAGCAAATGAAGAAACAGCTCTAGAATGCTATATCACCCCTCTGGATTATGATGATACTAATCAAGATGAATACGTAGTTTTCAAAGAAGTTATGCAAAGTAATGCTTTTAATCATTAGTTTTTTTTAGTTATTGTTTAAATTATATTTTTTTTTCAAAGTTAGATATATATTATATATTTTTCTAGATATTGAAAGAACTGATCCGTCATGGTATGGAGCTTTGACAAATCATTTAACACCTGAACAACAAAAGGCCCTTCAAGAAGTAATATTGCTTGCAGATCAACGTAAAGCAGTTCTAGAGAGTAAAAGAATTGAACAAAGTGGCGGTAATTATTGGAAATAATTATTATTGTTCCTTTAACTAAAGATGTTATTAACTTAGATATTTTTGTCTACAGGATATGCTTTTCACTCACAGACTGTGCCGACGTCATTTAATTTCGGTGGAACGCCTTTAGGTCGATAAAACATTATCTAAGTGTTTTTATTCTAGACTAATAAATAACTAAAATATAAATAATAAATTTTACGATAAATAATTTCAAATAAAAGTGAAGAAAGGAAAAATGAAATCTAAATTTACATTAAGCACGCAATTGTAAACATGACTATTTTCCAAACATTATGCATTTTCTATTTGCTACTCTTATGTAAAATGGATCATTGTAAATTACTGAACATACTCGGAAGTGGTTGTTTGACGTTCCGAAGTAGATTACTTCTAATAATACATATTTACCGATGACAAATTAATTCAGTTTATTACGTAGAAACATGATAACGATCAAAGCTCGAAGTACTTTTGTACATTATACAGATATAAATTTTATTCGGAAATTATTTGTTCAATTTTAATTAAACATTATCTATTTATTAAAAGATAAAAAAATGTTTTGAACATTAAATTATTTTTTTTTTTGTTTTCATTAATAGTAAAACTATTACAAAAATTTTAGTTCAAATATTAATTTTTTGCATCCAATTTACAATGAACTCAAAAAGTTTTTATTCTTGATTTTGATAATATCTGTTAGATCAATTCCCGCCGAAAAATTTAATTTGTAATATTTGTTACAAGTATATTGAATCGTTAAAAAAATATATCATACTAGATTTTTAAAAATAATTCTACTAATGAAATGAATTTTTATTCTTTCTTGTTATAAATCTTTAATAGACCATCTCATCGATAAATAAGTCTTTGAAAGCAAAGTGTATATAAAAGGACAGTACAAGGAATAAATTTGCTTTAGAGTGCAAATGCATTACATTTAATTTTATTAATATTACATAATAATTATAATAATAATGATAATAATTTATAATAATGAACCTATAAAAATTTATGATTACTGAATTATTACGAACACGAGATTTTATTGATGAAAAAAAATCAAGATTTGATTTATCATTAGAATTTTATTCTTTTAATCAATTTTAAAATTTTTCATACATTCCTCGGTTCGTAATTCGAAGGTACGAGTGGAGATCTTGAACGTTTAAAAAAAATTAAAAATATCCAAGCGCTGATTATGATTATCATTATCACGATTTTTTTTGATGATAGATAAGTCATAGCAATGAATAATATTTTTCGCTATCACACTTGGTAATAATATTTTCGTCCTTCTTAAATTATATTTTAATCCGATACCTAGTTTTATTATTATTTATACATCATTATCAATCTCCACGGTATTAAATCCAGAACATATATACTTGAAAGTGCTTTAAATTGAAGTTTATATTATTCGAGTGTGATAAATTTGCGAAACTATCCGACATTCTTTAAATTATGCTTTAATTAATTGCTTGGCCACAATTCATCATTATTTATATCTATAAATTATAAATAGAAGTTATTAATTTGTTATGTGACAAAAGCAGCCTAAATTATGTAACTAAATGTCGTATAGAATCGAAATTTTTTTACTCATCTTTTTGTTTTTTTTTTAATTTTTTTACAAATAATGATGAAAGCTTTTGAAATGTACACAAACAATAAAGATAAATTGTCATTGTTTATGTTCCCGTTGTAGTTAGGATTTATTCATTTTTCAAAAGCGACTTTCTGTGAGATTGCGTGACAAATTCTGCAATTTAACAATATATCACTTGAGACACCGTTCAAAATAAAATGATCCAACGTATCCACCTCTCATGGCTTTTATAACATTTTGCTCGAAAGCTCGTCTATTATTTTGTAAAACTTCTGCAGCTTCTTTATTTAATGGATCTTCTGGGTTTGGCTCCTAATTAAAAATCATTCAAAATTATTCACTATTAATGATAAAAAAATTTTATGAAATAAAGTTGTAAGACAATCTTGATAGTAAAAGTTAAAATTCAATATCAATGATTGAATAGATATTTCTAGAAGTTATAAAGATAATTTAGAATTTATATGAGCATAAAATATTACGAATAAATGGTATTAATTATTGATTAAAGACAAGTAGAATAATGATGACGTACCAAGAATAGATATTGTAAACCATAAACAATAGAATTGATAGTGAGTACAGGTTTCCAATCCTCTCTTAAAATATTCAAACATACGTTGCCTTCGAGATCAATGTTTGGATGATAAACTTGAGTTTCACATTTGACTTTAGGTGGTTCATGAGGGTAATTAGGTCCAACTTTAAAACTAAATGTGAAATTGCCACCTCGGTAAAAGCCCTATAATCATAATACAAGTTTGTTTACTTTAATTTGATACGTTATCAATCTATTATATAAATAAAATTTTGAAAAAGTTTATGTCTTACTTCGTCAGGGCAAATTATTATTTTGAAATTTAACAAGTCATCTTGATCAGGAAAATCAGTAAGACATGTTCTTGGAAGATTTAATTCATTAATATCTGAAAGAAAAAATTTTTAATTACATAGACTATTACGAAAATTATCGGGAAGGACAAAGAAATTTCAAGTCTTGGTAAAAATAAAAAGTAAATGATTTGTTAACCTTTTGTAATCCTCAACTGAGCAGCAGAAGCTTTTTTTTGACTACCTGCTTTTGGTGATTCACCATCTTTTTTTGCTTGTTTCAACGAAAATAATTTAATCATGTTAAAGATTCACTACTTATTAATCTGCAAACTTTAAGTGTCATACAAAGTACCTAAATAATCGTACAGATTCTTAATAACTTATTAAAAAAATCTTTGACAAGCAAAAATTCACTCGTATTGTGCGTCAGTTTGTCGACCTTGACTATTTACACGGCATCCATATGTGTGCATACATACATATATGGTTGATCGCTTTACATGAGTGTACGTACACATACTTAGATCACGCCGTGATATCTAAAAATTATCTCCTGCAACGTTTAATGAATATTTAAAAACAATAACAGCACTTTTATTTGAAAAATTAATAAATAGAAAATAATTCAAACAAGTATAATTTTTTAAAGGCAAGTACTCAAATAACCTTTGATAGAAAAAAAAATAAAAGCTTCAATCAATTGGAGTATTTTTGAATATTTTTAATTTATAGTAAACAACATTATTAAATGGAAAACGTTACTAGTGTATAAAATTTATAAATAAAAATGATTATTTCTGACAAATAAATTTTTTCTATAAAAAGTGTCTAAAAATCTAAAGTATTGTACTTGAAGAACATTCAGAATTTTTTATTTAAATTACATACTCTCAAATGACTGGTAAATGATAGTTGATAAATGAGGAGAATTTACATTGGCGTTTCCTTAGTAACTATCCAATTACAAATAATATTCTAGTATTAGCTCGTATTTTATCATAAAAAAAAGTACATCAATATAATGTTTTATTAAATATTGAGATAAGTAGTGCTGAAAAATAGTTGTTTATAATGAGAGCCCATCTGAAATGGGTTGATAAAGTCCAGGAGAAGACAGAACAATGTATTTATGATCTTTGTTTTAATCCTGATGAAACTCAACTTGTTGTGGCTGCAGGACATCAAGTTTTGGTTTATGAAACTGCAGAAGGTGTGTTAATTCAACCCTTAAAAGGTCATAAAGATACAGTATATTGTGTATGTTATGCAAAAGATGGAAAGAAATTTGCATCCGGAAGTGCTGATAAAAGCGTTATTATTTGGACCTCAAAATTGGAGGGGATTTTGAAATATTCTCACAATGATTCCGTTCAATGCATGAAATTTAATCCAGTTTTTCATCAATTATTCAGTTGCTCAATTTCAGACTTTGCTTTCTGGTCTAGTGAACAAAAAGCTGTTCAGAAGAATAAAACTGGTGGTCGTATTAATTGCTGTGATTGGACCAGCGATGGCCAATATTTAGCATTAGGTTTAGCAGCTGGATATGTTTCAATAAGAAATAAAAATGGTGAAGAGCAAGTCAGAATTGAAAGACCTGGTGGAACACCAATTTGGAGTCTTTCATGGGGTCCAGTTCGTGATGATACAAATGTAGACATTCTATGTGTAGCAGAATGGGGTGGAATTATTTCATTTTATACTTTAACTGGACAACAAATTGGTCGAGATCGAGTTCTTAATTTTATTCCTCTCAAAGTTGTTCATTTTCCTGAAGGACAATACATCCTTGTAGTTGGAAGCAATAGAAAATGCTTGTTAATGAACCATGAAGGCATACAGCTGACAGAAATTGGAGATACTTTGTCTTCTTGGATTTGGAGCTGTGCAGTGCATCCTTCATCGGGTTTCGTTGCTCTTGGATGTCAAGATGGTACTATAACATACTTACAATTAACTTGGAATATTGTTCATGGACTTTATGGTGATAAATACGCCTATAGAGAAAATATGACAGATGTTATAATTCAGCATTTGATAACGAACCAAAAAGTGAGAATTAAATGTAAGGATTTAATTCATAAAATAGCTGTATATCGAGATAAATTGGCTGTTCAATTACCAGAACGTGTGATTATTTATGAACCATCTGGAAGTTCTGATGGAATGCATTACAGAATTCAAGAAAAAATATCACAAACACTCAATTGTAATCTTCTTGTGGTAACTTCGAATAACTTAGTTTTATGTTTAGACAAACGTCTTCAGAGTTTATCCTTTTCCCAAGTTGTTGAACGAGAATGGGTGCTTGATAGTCCAATTACATATATCAAAGTGGTTGGAGGACCAGCAGGAAAAGAATGTCTAATAGCAGGATTACAAAGTGGTCAAGTGATGAAAATTTATTTAGACAATTCTTTTCCTGCCCATCTAACTAAAGTTGACGGTTCTGTTAGATGTTTGGACATTAGTTCAATGAAAGAAAAATTAGCAGTTGTAAGTGAAACTGGAACACTATCAGTCTATGACTTATGTACAGAATGTAAAATTTATGAGCATGAGGATGTTACAAGTGTAGCGTTTAATCGAGCCTTTGAGGATATGATATGTTTTTCTGGAAGAGATTTTCTTACAATAAAAGTAGGCAATTTTCCTGAATATAGACAGAAATTAAATGGATTTGTTGTGGGCCATAATGGCTCTAAATTATACTGTATTAATGGCACAAATATTGAAACTGTTGATATTCCTTTATCAGCAACAATGTATCAATATCTTGAAGAAGGTATGTTTGAAGAAGCTTATGCTGTTGCTTGCCTCGGGGTTGCTGAATCTGACTGGTTAGCTTTAGGAATGGCAGCCTTAGATAAATTACAACTATCAATAGCACACGCTACTTTTGCAAGATTAAAAAAATTGAGATATATAGAAGTAGTTAATGAAATTGAAGATAAATTAAAATCAGGAGAATGGGGGCAAGAAGCTTGCATGGCTACAGCAGCTGCAGCAATGGGTAGATTGCGAGAAGCTGCTAAACTGTATCAAAAAGCTGGTCTTCAGCAATATGCTCTCGACATGTACTCTGATCTAAGAATGTTCGATATTGCTCAGGAATTTATTGCAAGTGGAAATACTCAGGATAAAACAATTCTTTTACGAAAAAGAGCTGAATGGGCCAAAAGTTTAGGAGAACCAAGAGCAGCAGCAGAAATGTTTTTAGCAGCTGGAGATATTGAGAGAGCTATTAATATTATTTCAGAGTATGGATGGATTGACATGTTAATAAAAGTTGGTAGACAACTTGACAAAGCTGATAGAGATAATTTATCGATTATTGCTAAGAAACTGAGAGAATTAGGAGCAACTCATGGAGCAGCTGAAGTTTTCAGTCGTCTAGGAGATGACCCTGATGTTGCTGATGTTCTAATTGAAGCGCAAGCATGGCCAGAAGCTTTCGAACTTGTAGAAAGAAATCCGAAATTAAAATCTAGAGTTTACGGACCTTATGCTAGATGGTTAGCAGAAACTGGAAGATTTTCTGAAGCTCAAGAAGGTAATTTAGTTAATTTATCGCAATTATTATTACTAGAATTAAAACAAAAATGATATAATTTTCTATGTTTATAGCGTTTCAAATAGCTGGACAAACGGAAGAATCGATGACAGTCCTTACGACACTAGCAGAAAATGCCGTGATTGAAAGAAGATTTCGTGATGCTTCTTACTTTTTTTGGCTTTTATCTCAGCTAACTTTAAATTTACATAAAAGTCCGGAAGAAATTGCAGACTTGTTTCAAGAGTATTCTGATAAAGCAGATATTTATTATGCTTATCATGACGTATTTAAATATATGGTAAGTTAATGAACGAAAAGATAAAATTATCTAAAATCATTACAAATGCTTATCTATTTTTAGGAAGAGCCTTTCACATCTTTGATGCCGGAAGCTTTATTCCACATTTCTCGTTTTTTATTAATGAAAACGCACGGAAAACGTATGGAAAATGTATCAAAAATCACAATAATTTATGCACTAGTTAAACAAGCTCGAATTCTTGGTGCTGATAAATTGGCAATTCAGTTGATTGAACAAATGAGGGAAATGAAGATTCCGGATCATCTTTTAGGACAAATAGAATTAGTTACGTTGAGTGCGAGAGCACATAAGTATCGTGATCCTGAAGAACTTTTACCGCTTTGTTATCGATGTTCAACATTCAATCCATTATTGCCAGCCAATAATTATTCTACTAACCGTTGTGTTCAATGTAATCTTAAATTTCATTACTCTTTTGTGTCATTTGAGATGTTACCACTAGTTGAATTCGAACTAGAAGATGGTATAACAGATGCAGAAGCTAGAAAATTGATTGAAGATCCTAATACTCCTGTAGAAAGTATTGAAATGGTTAAAGATCAAATGACAATAACTACTGAAGAGCCAGATTTATTCACGGCTAATTTATTAAAATATGAGGTAAATGTGTACAATAATTCTGGAATCAATCATATTTAGTACTATTGTTGATCAAATAAAATTGATATATTAATTTGTACAGGAAAAGAGACAAGAATCAACCATCAAAGTGGGACGTACTGTTTTAAAAAGTATGGAACCGTACAATGTATTGATAGTCGAATGGCCGAAGCCATTTAAAACAAAATATTATAGAAATTTACTGACCGATGTTCAAGTTACGTACTGTCCATCTTGTTTACGAGTAAGAAGTTCATTTTAAATTAATAATAAATGCAACAAATGAACAAATAATTCTTATAACCATTCTATTTTTATTTCAGCTATTTCAAGCTGATGATTATGAATTAGCAACAATTCGTCACGGTCATTGCCCATTTTGTCGATATTCAAATACTCCATTAACTTAGAATAATTTTTATTATTGTGTACCTGAAGATCGAAAACAAGTGTAATTGTTACAAAATTGTAAATGAATCAATTATTGTGTAAATGAATTTCATAATTAATTAAGAAGAAAATTTATCATTTTTACGTCAGTGTTCAATTGTACATTAAAATTACTGGAGGAATTACGAAATGTGAACATTTAAAAAATAAAATTTTTTTTTATTTACTATTTATTTATCTTTGTAAAACAAAATCTACTTCATCGAAATAAAAATTTTTAAATATTATTCAAATTAATGTTTATTACTTTTTTTCTAAGAACTTGTGAAGATTACCGTTTTGAACATCGTAAAAAGTGTCACTCTCGAAAAAACGATTCAAATGAGTTACAGTTATTCCAATATATTAACACATCAACAGACAAAATTACGCTAATCTTTAATACTGTTATGTAAAATGACCTGTGATGTCAAAAAGACAGCTCTGTCAAAGTTTTGTGCAGTGTGATGTTGTTTAGTTGCTGAAAAGAACTTAATAAGTATGAATTACCAAGTGTTTTCATTTATGTTTATCATAATAATTTCACCTATACTTACTCATAATTCATTTACGAATTCATCTTTACTGGATTCTTCTGACAACTCCGCAAATCAGCGAAAAGAAAAATGTAAAATGATATGATGATTTTCCAAGTGATCTTTAAGACAAAAATAATCACAGTTGTTAAAAAAAAATTTTTCAATTCTTACAGTTTTTCCACTATTCAGTGTAGTTCGATTTGCGAATTCTGAATGCTCTGGGTCTAACAATTTAAATGGTACTTGCTTTACTCGTAGAGAATGTTCAAATTATAAAGGTTCTTCAGCAGGTTCATGTGCTAATGGATTGGGAGTTTGCTGTACATGTAAGGATAACAAACAACTAATAACATATCAACTTATAGAGACTATTGAATTATATAAACAAATTTAATAAAAAACTTTCATCAGTTAAACGAGAATGTGGAACCACGACTAATGTAAATAATACATATTTTACCAATCCTGGATATTCTTACGAAGGTGGAGAACGATGCATGATAACCGTTTATAGATGCAATTCAAATATTTGTCAATTGAGAATTGATTTTATGGAATTACGATTAACTCAGCCTAATGCTAGTGGAGTTTGTGATATTGACTTTTTGTTGATTTCTGGAGCATCATCAAATGTCCCAAGGATTTGTGGTGAAAATAATAACCAACACAGTAATTTGTTTTTCTATTCAATTTGTTTCATCTAATTATCTAGAGAATTAAACTATTAAAAAATATTTTGAACAATTTCAGTGTATCTAGACTTTAAAGGTGATAATCCTATCACAATTTCCGTTGATACAAATACTGATTACTCATTTTCACGTAGATGGAATTTGCGAATTCAACAAATAGCTTGTGATTCACCATGGCGAGGTAACAAAATAAAATAACAATAGTACTTAATAAGTGTTAAGTAAAATAAATTTTTTAGCTCCTAATGGTTGCCTTCAATATTACAAGACAGCTTCAGGAACTGTTACTAGCTTTAATTATGATCTTGCAACAAATCCTCGGGGTAATATTATCATGATATATCTGTTACATATGATTTTTTCTAATCAAATCAGTATTTTTACTTCCATTACAGTTTTAATGCCGGGTCAAGTACCAGGAACTCGACAAATGTCTTATTTGAATTATGGTGTTTGTGTGAGAATGGCAGCTGGCTATTGTACGATAGAATGGTCTCAAGCTGATTCGTCTTCTTTTTCAATATCTGGCGATTCTGGAAGTATTGATACAACGGGTAAGTAAATTTTATTTTATTTTTGAAATTGATGACACTAAAAATCTTATGACTCTTTTATTTCAGATAATTTAGATGATTCAGATTATGCAGATTCCGGTGAAACATGCGATCATAATTTCGTTATCGTACCTAATCCTTCAACAGTTACTGGAGTTCGTTATAACACAGATCGATTCTGCGGGAACAGTTTTCAAACAAAACAAAGTAGTACCAAACCATTTGTTCTTTCTGTCATAACAAATCCAGATCCAAATGAGAATGTAGAATCAGGTCCCAATGATCCCCCAATCATCAAAGATATCGGGAATCGTGGATTTATATTAAAATATCGACAATTAGCGTGTTCAGTTTAGTTTTATTTTATAGTATAACTTTTTTTAAAAATATCAAATAAATAGATCATTAAAGAAATTATATATTACCTTCAAAAAGATACGTTAAACTAAGCAACTAATAAACTAGCTCCATTATGACTATTGATTTGCTCTGTCATAGCTTGATACCAACTCGATAATTTTGTATATTTCAATGCATCTTGAAATGCATCACATCCTTCAATACTTTTTAAAACTCCATAAACTGCTAAATCTGAGAGGTCTGGACTACTTCCGCCCATAAACGTGCCTCCTCTTGCATTAACAGCATTTATCCATGTGTTTAATTCATCATAAAACGATTGACGAACGTCATCTTTTAAATTGTGTCTCGTTTTTAATCTTTTTCCAACCATCCACATTGCCAAAGCACCTATATTGATCATTATAGCTCTTTCCCATGCAGGAAAATACTCTTCCCATTTTCCAACCTTAATATAACAAATTCCTTATTATTATATTCGAAGTAATTAATGTAAAAGCCTAAAATGTTACTAGTTTTACCTCAGAAAACCATCGAAATGTTTGGAAAGATTCATTAAGCGTTCGATAAACGTTTGGTGAAAGTGTGTGTACCAAAACATCATCAGCCCATTGTCTCCATTTACGTTCTTCTCTGAATAAAAATTATAACAATTGAATTAAATTTCTTCATAATCTAATACTAGCTGGACACTTGAAACCTTACGTAATATCATCAAGACTTCGATTTTTAGGCGTAGATCCTTGATACATCAAAAAATATTTATTAATTATCTCATGCTTGAGTCCTTTGTCATCATTCATAGCAATAATTGGATAAAACTGGACTAATTCATTTATTTTATGACTAGGATCATGTAAATAAGATGCCAGAACCGATATAATCATAGAACTGTCATTTAGTGGACGATAACCCTCTTCAACTTTTGCTAATAAAATAGGGACTTTTTTATATGATGACCAGCTGGTTTCTCTTCTTAATACTGGATCAACTTCAACAACGTCATAAGAAAGTCCATAGTAATCGAGAAATGTACGTACTTTACAACAAAAAGGGCATGACTGATACTGAAAGAGAGTTAGTTTTAAGCCGGTTGAATCAACTGGAGAAATAACCTGTGGAAAAATTATGGTTGATTATTGTTGATAAAGTAAGTAAATGTATTGTTGATGATTATAATCATATTACTTTTCTCGAAGGCGTTATTGGTGGCTTGTACTTCAGAATATCAAACTGAATCACAGTACCCTCTAATGCAAGGTTTTTTCGTCTGCTTTCAATTTTATAATAAGCATAACCTATTCCAACAATTGTTCCAACTGCTGCACCAATTAAACTTGTTTTCAGTATTCCTAAAGTCGGTTTTGGCTCTTGTACAACAGTTCGGAATGATTTTATAAATGTGTCACCGCGATACAATATATTGTTATTTAGTAGTTTTTTAGAATATCTTAATAATTTATGTAATGCAGCCATATTAATTATATTTTCAACAAAAAAAATTTCTCACGTGTTACTGAAAATTATAGAAATGGTAATTAAAATTATATTTTCAATTCGTTGCAATATGTAGAAGAATATACTTGGTACTTTTAAAATGATAATGTGCACATCTGTTATTATTTTTATACAATTAATCACAATTTAATGTTTTTGAACGACTTATTTTGAATCAAGTGTTTACTCACTATTGCGAAATGTGTACTTTTTCAAATCGTTGGTAAATCGAAAATTAGTAACACTTCTAATTCTGTAGCCGGTAAAATAGAGACTTATGCAGGAAAATGGTTATATGTATGTATGTATGTATGTAAAAAAACAGATGTTTCACATTACATTACGTTTGTAAAAATTATCTTTTATTACGAAGACTTTAATAAGTTAAATAATGTCTTTTTTAAACTGATATTATTTGTTTAGTAATGGATGAACAATGGTTAGTTATATCAAAATAAAATTTGAATGGTAAATTATATTTAATAATTCACTATTAATAGTACTTTTTCAAACTTGAAGGAATTTATTACAGGAAAGAACATAACACAGTTGATTGGGAAAAATAAAAAATTTTAATCAAAATTTGTAACATAAAAAATGAATTTGCATTATCAATTGTATGGATTATTTTTTAATTTATCGTGAGTGAAAAAATTACCTATGTTTAAAATGTCATTGAGAATAAGGTTACTTCGAAATCGTCCTTTGAGAGTAGTTAACAATATTCCTATGAAAAATTGGATATTCTCTGGCATTTACATATTTTTATGTTTTATATTGTATTGGTTTTATGGAGGAATTTTAGCTCCATTTTTTCTATTATGTTTTGGAGCAACAGGTAAAGAGAATTTATTATTTTTCAATGAAAAATTAGTTTAACATGATTAAATTTGTTTTTTTTTTTTAGGAATATTGTATAAATTAGAAGACAATTTTGTTTATCATCCAGAATTACCACCTCATTCACGAATTTATGTACCAGCTCCTTCAACATACAATTTACCATATCAAACTGTGTACATTCGTACACAGGATGGCACTATGTTACACACATTTTTTATCGCACAACCGGGAGAAAAGTCTAAACAAGTACCCACTGTTTTATTTTTTCATGGAAACGCTGGAAATATGGGGCATAGGTACAAAAATAATCCTATATTAATAGATAGTTCAATTTTTTTTGTATCAATAAATTATTTGATAAAACAATTATTGCAGACTTGTAAATGTATCTGGTCTTTACCATGAAGTGCAATGTAATATATTAATGTTGGAATACCGTGGATATGGTTTTTCACATGGAACTCCGTCCGAAGAAGGTCTTTACATGGATGCTCAAGCTGGCATTGATTATTTAGCTGGTCGGACTGATATTAATACCAATGAAATTATTGTTTTTGGTAGATCATTAGGTAAGTTTGTAAATAAAACTGATCTACACTTTTTTTTAAAAAGGAAAATAATTAAATTTTATTTATGCAAATTTAGGAGGAGCAGTTGCGATTGATTTAGCCACTAAATACATCAATAAGCAAAAAATTTGGTGCCTTATTTTAGAAAATACATTCACCAGCATTCCTTACATGGCCTCCCTTTTAATTGGCATCAAATTCTTGGAGCGTTTACCTCTTCTTTTTTACAAGAATAAATTCATGTCACTTAAAAAAATTCACTCAATAAATGTGCCAACGTTATTTATTTCCGGATTAGCAGATATATTAGTACCTCCACAAATGATGACGGAACTTTATAACACGTGTAAGAGCACATTTAAACGATTAGTGACTATACCAGGTGGTACACATAACGAAACTTGGAATCAAACTGGTTATTATCAGCACATACAATCATTTATAACAGAACTTAGAAAAAAACCTGATTTACGTCAGTCAAGTTGCCATTACCTCATTCATGATATCTAGTATTTATTTTTTAATTATTTATTTGCAAATAAATCATTGAAAAGTTTCAATTGCGTCCATGAATTTAAATTATATAGTTACTAGTTGCTATAGTATCATCATAAGTCAACTAGATGAAGGAAGTTTATGATAAACTTTTACAATTTTCAACTTTTGCTGAGCATCATTTCAATTGTGATGGAGATGTAAATATTGTATTGCTGTGATTAAGTCTTTTAAATAATAAATTTAATAAATATATTTTATTTATCGTTTACATACTTTAAAACATATACAAAGTTGGGATTCTCTCTAGTGTCTAACATTAATAATTTAAAGCATTCCTAAAATTTCACATTGAATCTTAAAATCTCCTATTTTGTCGCCGCCGTCTTTCAAGTAATTTATGTGACATAAACAAACCAGCGATAGTAATTACTGTTAAACTTACAGTAGCAGCAATAATTAAAACTAGTACAGATTTACGTGGTTTAATAGAAACCGTTGAACTAATTGGTAAATTGTTAATATTCACATCTTCATAAATAACTAATTTTTCCAATTGTTCAACTGATTCAGAATTTACATGATTACAAAATACTTTTGTTTTCCAATTATACCAATGTATGATTCTCATATTGGATAATTTCAGTGGTTTACTACACCTGAAAATTAGTAACAATATAATCAATTTTGATTTAAGTAAGATGGAATTTTAAGTTTTTGTTTCAGAAAACTAAGTTTTTCAATTTAATTATTATGATTGTATATTATACCTCAAATCTGCCAAAAACATTGAGTGAGAAGAATACAATTTAGGAATAAAAGAATCCAACACCCATTGAAAGTTGCAATCGCAAATAAATGGATTATGCTGCAAATTTATTCCATATTTTGGGAATGAAGTGTCAGTTAGTTGAATCGCTCTCGGTGTAATTTTTTCCAAAGAATTATGACTTAAATCGAGCTAAAAAATTTATTTTGTTTACAATTCATTCGTTTTAAAAAAAAACAATTATTTGATAGAAATGAAAAACTTCATCTTTGGAAACAATGTCATTTATTACTTACAGCTTTTATAAATATATTGCAAAATATTATAAATTTTATACTTACATAACATATTCGAAGATTATCCAACCACTCTTCATTTACACTTTTTAAATTTTTATTGAAAGAAATACTGATATTAATGCAGTCATTTGGATATGTTTTCAAATAGTCAAAAACATCTTTATCAATTGTATTCAATAAATTAATGTTATCAGCAATAAAATTTTTCAATTTTATATCAGAATCAAATTTTAATATATTTAAAGGATTACCACTTACTATCAGAGTATCAAGATTCGGAAAATTTTTAGAATTAATTGATGATGGAATTTTAGAAAGATTATTATAAGAAATATCCAGTGTATGAAGATTCATGAGTTTACTATCCATAATTGAGGTCAATTGATTTTTACTAACATTTAAATAGTTTAATCTTGATTGAGTTTTAAGATCATTTACCTTTAATAAGTCAAGACTTGTAATAAAATTATTGTCAAGTTTCAAAGAAACGGCAGATATACTTTGAACAAAAGAAGTTAAATAATTGTTATTTAATTTTAAAAAATTAAGACCGCGAAAATGTTGAAATGCTTGAGTCTCAATTGATTTTATAAGATTAAAAGATAAATCTAAAAATTCTAACTGAGGAAAATGTTGAAATGTAGTTTTATTTATAATTTGGAGCTGGTTGTACGATAAGTCAAAATGCTTTAATGAACTATTATTATTTATAGAAAGTGTTTCTATGAAAGAATCTATTAAATTATGACTCACATTTAGCTCGCGAATTGAAACATTACAATAAAAACTTATATCTAGTGTCTTTAAATCATTAAATGATAAATCGAGCTCTTTTAATCCTTCAAAGTTTTTAAAATTATTAATCAGTATTGGTGATTCCCATTGTGAAATATTATTGCTTGACAGAATCAATTTATCAGGTATTCTTTCAGCAAAAAAAGTAGGAAAAATATTCAAATTAACTCCATTGTAATCTATTAACTTTCCACTGCAATTAGAAACTTGTGTTGTACCTGTTGGAGATACGTTGATTATTTAGCAATTTAAGACGCGAGTGATAATTGATTAACTTTTCTGTAACAGTACCTGATGTAAAACACGAGCAAATATCACACACAGAAGCTGAAGTAATTTGTAAATAATTTACTAAAATTATGAACAAGAAAGAATACATTTTTATAGTATCAAAAGATTTTCATGACTGAACTGGAGTTATCAGTATCTTATAGTAAATATAATATTGATAAGGTTTATCTGATTGGTGTGTCATCAAGGTATAGATGCATGTCAGCCATCTCTAATCTTTCATGATAAATTAATGAAATGTGTCGACAGAATTATTTTAACAATTATAAATTTGATAGTTTTATCGATTTATTTTTATTATAAATATAATATACAGCATTCCTTTTTATGATTTGTAATTGAAAATTAATGAAAAAAGAACAAGCACTATAAAAACAGTATTATTTTAATTCTTAAAATTAATTTATTAAATAAATTAAATTTTGTTTATTTAATAAACAAAACTATCAAGCTTTTTTGAAAAAATTCATCAAAGTTGTTTGCTTATTAGCTGATTTAGTTTTACTCAATGGTTTTGAATCAGACACTGTACGTTTTATTTCTTGTACTTCCTTCGTATCCAGAATTTCTTCATCAGAAACACTTTCATAAACATACTCCTTCTTCGTAACGAGGAAACCATCTTCATCTTGATACGTTTTATCAACTGCTTTACGAACCTTGCGTTTTCCATTAACCTGCTGAATTTGAGGAGATGGAGATTTTTCTCTAGCTGGTGGTGACTCTCTTGGAGGCGAATCATCAAATATATCTGGTTCAACCTCACTTTCAGCTGATCCTTCGCTGGAATCATCAGGCATGATAATACGTTTTCTTTTTTTTAAATCTTTTTTTTCAGATTCCTGACTCCTCTGCCTTTTATTCCCCCGTTTTTTGTTGATTTTAATTTTGGAATTTCCATTATTTATTTTTTCTTTTTCTTCTAAACGTGTACGCTTATTTTCTTTTTGAAAAACATTGGTATCATCTTCTGAAAAACTGGATTGCTGAGCGGTTAATTTATCAGTTGTTTCCGTGGTTGGCTTATCAGATGATTTGTTATTAGTCATTTTTACATTATTTGTATCCACAGAATTACCGTTCTCTTTTATAATATTCTCAGTAGAACTGTCATCACCTTCTTTGGATTTTTCTTTATTTTTAAGAGGAGGAGATTTATTATGATTCAATGCAGTAGCTTTACCAAACAAATTTTGAAACCCTGTCGCTTGAGATTGAGCTGGTTTTTTTGATAGTCCACTCTTTTTATCACCATGTTTACCTTTTGGTGGTGAAATCTTTTTTGTTGAGACTTTTTCTTCTGTTTTGTTTTTTATATTACTATTTGAATTTGTTTTAATTACTTTTTCTTCTGCTTTGCTTTTCTCATCATCATTTGAATTGTTTGTATTAATTGGTTTTAGATGATTGTCTAAAAGACCTTTTGGCTTATGTTGTATTTTATTCTCTGAAGAGGATTCGGATTTTTTGGTTGTTGCAGCTTCAAATTTAGCATTGGAACCCCATCTTTTTGCAAATAGTTCTTCATCACTACGTATATTGCTTTTTTCACATTTAATAGCACCATAAGTAATGTCACCTTTTCCAGTTTCAGCTAACAATTGAATATCAGGTAAAGATTTCTGTAAACTATACAAATGCTCCGATATTATTTTTTCGTATTTTTCTTTAGCTATTTCAAGATTCTCTTCTTTAACAACTTCGACTCGCATTTCTCCATCCTTTGTGTGTCCTATTAACATTATTGTTGCAACAATAGAATCATTGGTATTTGATTTATGTTGACTCCAATATTCCTCTAAAATTTTCTTCGCAACATTTACATGAACTTCTAATTCCTTACTCAACCATTTGTAAGTTACCTAAAAAGAAATTTATAGCAAAGATAATTATAAAAATATTGTAATTGCAATGTCAGTAATGTCATATTTTCTATTGAGAAATACCATTTTGTCTTCATCATTGATATAACCAGAAAGTGTTTCCAGATAACCCTCCATTATACTTTAAAAACTTTTATCCTTAATTCAATTGTTTGATCAAAAATTATCTCTTTGTTCAGATTATCAAATATAAAACTGTATCGAATGTAATTTCATCTAAATAAACTTATTATGTAATAATACTATCAATTAATGATGAATACACAAATGAATAGACGTGGTCACTGGTTTTTCGCGCCTTTAAAACATCAGCTGTTAGCACTCTGTACTAACCTATAGCACCTGCAGACATAAAAAAAATATTTTTAAAAAATGTCATTTTTACTATAGCGCAAGCCATAGCATTTACTTTTGCTTCCGGGAAGTGACCTCTCTAACCTCGAAAACGTCAATAAAATAGAGATCAAAAGAATCCTTTTAAATTCGTGTTTAACGGTTATTTAAAAATTAATTGTTACTAAAAACATGATGTTTATTGATCGGGAAACTGGCGAAAGTTTAGAAGATACTTTCATCGAAAGACCACCAACAATTGACAATTTAAATGCAAACAACGCAGAAACTGGAGAGCCTGAAATTATTTTTATGCGCAGCTCCGAACGTCGAGTACCTTTCCAGGTATTAAATAATAATAATGATCAAATATTATATATGCGTATATATAATAATAACTGGTTCAATACATGACTTAAGAAGTTGAAAATTCATTCCATATTCATTTTTTTTAAATTAATTTTTTTAAACATAAAATTAATGTAATTTGCAGATACCAAAAGAATTTAAGAAAAACTTTGCAGCAGAAGACGATATCAAATTTATTGATAAAAATCGTCGAAATGTAATTCCCTTTACTGAAGGAACATGTTTTGGTCAAATAAATCCTATTTTTCTGTTTCTACCTGCAATTTTTTACTTTAGATGGTTTGCAGCTATCCTGATTCTATTCGAAGTCATTATTCATCGTTGGACTCATGTTAAAAATAAAAATCTTAAAAATGTTAATATTTATTATCGTTCACCATTCTATGGAATTACTTCAGAATTTTGTGCTCTATGTCAACATGAAACGCGTATGGATCGAGTGGGAAAAATGCAGGAAATTAGAATGCATAAATTTTTAAAACAATGTCATTATATGAAAAGAGCTGTAACATAAAATAACTTTTAAATAGTTAACTAATTATTTGTCTATTGTAATTATTACTTATTCAAAAAAAATGGGATCAAATTATTTTTTTAAGATATTTATGCTACTTCTTACGTACTTGTTATCTACTTAATATTAATAAATAAAAATTGAACAATATTATTATTTATAATTATTTATTTTCCTTTTATTTAACAAACAGTTAAAAATATGTTTATATTAATTCAATCACTTTACAAATGTTAATATCGTATAAATTTAATTATAAATACTTATATTACTATGAATTTATACAATATGTTTTCCCCATTTATATTAGTGTACCATTATTCTTCTAATCATATACTTATTCATAAATTTTTTCAAGAACTTAAATACATATAATTACAAGAGATTATCAACGCATTGCTAAAATTTCTCGAGTAGCCGTTTGTACAATCCAATTAAAATCTACAGTTAAATGTGCTCGCCAAAATCTACATCTACTCCATGTAAGAGCAGAATAATTTGGACTTTGAATACCATGAAAGATTCTAGCAACCGCTCTACCAGAAAAATTATTGTCTCTGTAACTATTAATAAGACTACGAATATCTGAAATTATTTGAGTTTCATTATCTACTTTATCGTTTTTATCACGAGGAATCTCAATGATAGAAAGTGGAGAACTTGACTGGAAATACGATCGAATTAAATTTTTAAGTCCATTTGAATTTTCGATATTATCATTAGTAAGTTCTTTACAATCTTGAACACTTTGGTAACTAAATTTATTTAAAACAGTATATATCATTTCTAATTGTTGAAGAGATACTGTTTGTTGAGACTGCGTACGTTCAGCTAAAGCATCAAGAGCTTCATCTAGTTCAGCATCACTTAAATCTCCAGGAGCACGAACTCTTAATCCAAGAGTATCAAATTTTACATTAATGGCCGAGCGTTTTGGTTTTCCATCAATTGTTTCCCATTCAAGATTTTTTAAATGACTCTTCACTACTCCACTATCCCATCCAATCGCCGCTGCTACATCAACTACAGGGAATTCGATGATTGTGTCGTTATCATGAGAAATTCCTCTTTTTCGATCCATGGCAATTGCCATTGCTAGGGGCGGAGACATTTGTGCAGCAGCCTTCAAAGCTTTCACGCCATTATAACTTGAGACTTTCGCATTGACGTAAACCGATGACAACACAGTAATGAATTTTTTTGGATGCAACTCTAAATAGCATAGTAATGTTGAAATTGTTTCTTCAGATATATCTAATGACTGCACAGTTGTATCTATAGGAATTGCAACTTCATGTCCAGGACATTTTTTTCTATTATTTGAACAAGAACACGGGATGAAAATTTTTTGTAAAAGTTTCCTTATTGTGTGTCGATCAACACCATTCGCATAGATATGTCTTCTTAATTCCCATTTATCTTGATCTTCTTTGGGACTAATAAACAAATGACAATGGGCAGGTAATTGGTCTCTACCTGCTCTTCCTACTTCTTGAACGTATCCTTCAAAATTGCTTGGCATATTGTAATGAATAACAGATCTAATATTTGATTTATTAATACCCATTCCAAAAGCTACTGTAGCTACAACAATTCTTGTATTACCGTTCATGAATGCTTTTTGGATAACTTTACGTCGACTTGGAGGTAATCCTGCATGATAAGCTTCTGCTATTGAAGATGTCTTAGCTTTAGACTTTGATTTATCACAATTTGGGTCATCATATTCCCGGAATGAAGCTCTTAGAAGTCCAGTAATGCGGACACATTCTTCTCTTCTTGTGCAATAGATAATAATTGAATCGCATTCTTTGAATCTTTGACTTCTTAAAAGTTCAATCAAAGCACGATCTCTTTGATCATCTTTTGAAACAGTCAAAGACAAATTGTTAGGTACTGGAATATCTTTAATTACTCCATCCATGCCGTCAGGAATGGTCAGATGCCTAACGATGCTTTCTGCTGTGGATCTTGTTGCTGTAGCTGTTAATCCTAATATAGTTTTAACTCCTAACTTTTCGATGAGAACTCGACAAACCATTAAATAAGAAGGTCGAAAATTATGGGACCATTGAGAGATGCAATGAGCTTCATCAATACAAGCAAATGCTATCGGTGGAAGCTGCCTCAAAAGAGATCCAAAACCGGTAGATTTTTCTCCAGCTACTATAGCTTCAGGAGATACTAATAAAATATCAATTTCTCCTTCTTTAATAGCATTTATAATTTTTTCTCTAACTTTAGGTGTATGACCTGTATGTAAAGCAGCAGCAGAGATGAATTTTGGAATTCCAGTTACTTGATCATCCATTAAAGATACCAGAGGAGAGATGACAAGTGTAATGCAGTGAGATCTTTTTGCATATAAATATGCTGGTAATTGATAACATAAAGATTTTCCAGAACCAGTTGATAGAGTAACTAAAGTAGATTGACCTGAAAGAACTCTCATCACTGCTTTCTCTTGTCCAGGTCGGAAATTTTTGTGTCCAAACAATTTCAGTGCATCAAATACTTCTTGAGGTGTTTCTATCAGCTTACCACTATCAGACACTGGGTATAAGGGTTCAATTACTCCGTTTACGGGTGGAAGTAATTTATTAATTAATTCTTTTGGTATTTTATGTCCAGTAAATGTTGATGAGGTAAATTCTTCTTCTTCATCTTCTTCAAAATCATCAAAATCTTCTTCATTAACATCCTCTGAAGTATCTAAATTTTCCAATCCAAGTTTCAAACTTTCTTCATTAGTATTATCTGAACTTCTTGAACACTCCGGTAATGAATGAATACGATGACAATGAGCTTTTGTAGCCTCTTGAGATGCCATTTTTTTAGCTTCTTCGAGAGTTGGATAATCTGATATTTGAGTTTCTTCTAAAGGTAATAATTCATCACTTTGCATTGCTGGACATTTTCTAGCAATATGATTACTTCCTCCACATCTGAAACAAGTGTTTTTCTCTGCTAAATCTGCTAAGTCTAATGAACCTTCTCCAGAAGCCAATTCTTTTTTCTTGTGTCGCCACTGGGTTTTTTTATATCTTGAAAAGTTAAAGGATTTTTTACCTTTGACAAAAACTTTTTTCTTTAAATTAATTCGTACAAAGTTTTCATTTAATTTCCCTGCAGCGATTTTAGCTTCTAATTTTTCTTTTGAAGTCATAAGGCTTTTAGGTTTTTCCTTAGATGAAATTATTTCTTGATTTATTAATGATTCATTAACATTTATTGATTGACAAAATTCTGATATAAGATTTCCTTTTGTCTCTTGAGGAACAGCAAATCTTGGAGTAACATTCAAAGATTCTATATTGTAAATAGGAATCTGAGGACCTTGTTCTCCTGATTCTGAATCGTCAGAATGATTTTCTGTCGATTCTTCATTCGAAAGTTCACCTTTACTTCTTCGGTTTCTCTTTTTAAGGCTGTGGGAGGTTCTCTTTGATACTCTTGATCTTTTAACTTTTGTTTCATTTTTTTGACTCTTGGTTGCTTTACTTCTTGAGCTGTTTGCATTACGCCTATTACTACTTTTTAAAAGTTTATTTTTGTGATTCAATGAGTTAGTTTTATCATTTTTCAGAGATTTCTCATCAGTCATTGTTCCGTCTTCGGTGTCCACAAATTCATATTCTTTCATTTTATTTTCTTTTTCTGTCAATGTCTTCTCATGATTATTTATACTATTATTTATGCTATTATCAACAAACGTTCTATACGGTGAATAAGCTGCCTTTGATAGATGACTCGAATTATTTAAATTCTCATCAGTATCTAATTTTGGTCTCTTTGCTAGCTGCATTGACATATCAGACAACATTCTTTTCCAATTTCGAATTCTTTTATTTTTATTATCTTCTTCTTCTACGTCACTGTTACAAACAAAATCATCATCAGATAGATCTTCAGATGTTCCCAAAGATTTATCTTGAATTTCATGAGAATGTGCATCAATAGATTCTATTCCTGAGTCACTGACTCCAGATAATCTTTTAGAATTATCTCCAATAACTTCCAAATCACAGTCTTTAGTACATCTATCTATCCAATCCAAATCTAACTTCCTTTCACCCGTCAAGGGTTTCCCATTCAGTACATCTTGAATAGGATTAACTGATTGAATATTTATGTTTGATTCATGGTTAAGTACTTTAATTTCACTAAACAATAAACTAGTACGATCAACTACAACACTAGTGTCACTTTCAGTTGTCGATTTATTTAAATTGTCAATTTGATTAGTTGATTTATTAAGATCAATCTTACTTTTATTTTTAGTCATAGATAGAGATTTTCTTGGATTTCTTTTAGAAAATGTGCTGGAGTTAAATTTCTTTTGTGAAAGTTGGAATGATGATGTTTTTCCAATTGGCATGCTTGTTTTTCGTTGTGATGACTCTTTTTTTTGGTTTAAGTGTTCTCCAAAAACTCCTTCAACATTAGCGTTATCATTTTTTAATGTAGGTGTTGCAGAATATTCACTTGTAGATGATATTTCGTTATTCCAATTTTTCGGAGCAATATTTTCTGCATCTGGAGGATTAATTGAAGCTTCCTGAGTATTGTTATCATCTTTTGACATTTCTGGATTTCCTTTATGATTCACAGTAGTATTAAATATCACTTCTGCACTTAACGATTCGTTAAGAGTATTGTTAAGTGTAACATTAGATTGAACATCGTCAGAAAATGTAATATCTAATAAAGTCTCTTCTAAAACCTGAGTTTTTAATTTCCAATATATTTTATAAGACTCTTTGATTATTGGATCTGCACTCCTTATGTCATTCTGTAAACAAAAATGTTTTAAATAATTATTTTCAGTAAACAATTGCTTAAAGTATTGAAAAAAGTATTCGAAGCTTAACAATCTCGATCAAGACTATGTATTATGGGTAAACGAAATATTTAATTTTTTTTACTAATAAATTCAATTATAATGATTATAACAATTTTACTTAAAACAACTTGCAAATAAATAATAATATAAATACACCTAAGTATTCATTTGTTTTAAGACTTACTTTATTGGGTTTTCGTCCATATTTGTCCATAAAATCACTTTCCCAGCGTTTTACACGAAATTTACATTTTTGATATTTATTTTTCGTAGCTGGATCGTCTAAAGAACTCATTGTGAAATAATTTAAATAACCATTTAATTCTCAATTAAAAGAATAAACGGAGTACAGAAAACATCCAACGTATTTTTGAGGTTAGTTGCTGGTCGAAAGACCGCGTAAAACTGAAAGGTGCGCAGCACGATTGTTATACGGTCAATAATTTGAATTGACACACAATATGAATAATTAACAATAATATCGATTAATTAATTTAATAAACAATGCAAAACGATAGATAATTATCTAAGTATTTAATTCAGCAAATGTATACAATTGCACTGAACTATGGCGGCGTTCCAACTGGCAACTGATTCATCCCACTGGTCAATCTGACTGTTTACCAGACTGTCCGCTTGGGGCGTTGAAGCTTGCTGCGTTCTACTATTATCGACATATTAAATGTAAACAAGTAGCGACATTTAGTGGTGCGTACTAAAGGTTGAGATAATTCAAATCCGGCTTGTTTGGAGTTCTTGTGGTTTTGTATTCTTTGCCGTAAGACATTACAGCTGCTACAGTTGGTTTTTCATTCAGATGTCTCTGCAATTTTTTTCTTGTAAGATGTGTAAAGTGATCAAAATTGTGTAGTAAATTTGCAAGAATTTGGATCAGTTATATCATAACCGTTGCACGTATTATTTTGCAATTGGATATATGTATTTTCATGTGATTCTGAAGCAACTCTTTCTCATTTCAGTATAAAAAAGAGAAATATTAACAAAGCGTCCTCTAGATCATTTATATTTCGTCCTGTCAAATTTCTGTTCTGTGGTTAAAACAAAGTAAAGTATTTTATTACATCAGCACAATCCAGTATTTATTGATACGTCATTCAAATATTTTGAAATCAAAATTTCATTTCAAGATGAAGTGGTTTTCTGGAAGTATAAATGAAGCTGTTGCAACGTCAAAGTCTCGAAAAGCCATTTTCGTGGTTTTCGTAGCTGGTAGGTTATTTTACTATCAAGTTATACGTTGATGGCATATTTATAAGCTATAAATATCAATTTTATTGCCTTGATATGAAATTTTATTAATCTTATTGACCCATGCTTCTAAAGACATGGTCTATTTCCTAATCCAGCATGTGATGTATTTTTTGACTTTTAATAATGCGATAAACAAAGTATCATGGTATTCTATACTTTGCTTATTCATCTTTAATAACTCTATATCCTCGACCTTCACAACATTAAATACATGAAGTGGATAAGTTTAGATAGTATATTTCACTACAATTAATAATAATAAATTTGTTTTTAGGATCTGATGAAGCCTCCATCGAAGCAACTAAAGTTATTGACACACCAGAAATATCATCGTCTTTAGAAAAAGATGATTTCGTGGCTATTAAATTGGAAAGTGGCTCTGAATCTTATCGATTCTTTGCCCAGATTTGTATCCTTTAAAAAAATTTAAATATTACAATAATTGTTTGGCTTTTAAAATATTTAAAAAATTTCCTTACAATCAAAATTAGATCAATTAGTACCTGTACCGTCTTTATTCTTTATTGGCAGGAATGGCAAGCCCTTAGAAATTGTTGCTGGAAATATAACTACATCAAATCTCATCAGTAAAATTGATATTGTTTTATCAAAAGCTAAAGAAAATGGTACTTCAGATGATTTAATTAAAGCTGAACAAAGTGCAGCTGTAGCTAGTAGTTCACATTCTTCCACAAGTAATGTCCCAACTAATGAGGCTTCTACGGTCAAAACTTCACAATTAATTGAAAATCAATCAGCAATTAATGCTAGTCAAACTCATACCGAAAAAATAAAAGAAGATTTATCGTCCAAAGAAGCTTCGTCATCTTTAAATTCAGAAACTGTTCAAGTTGCTAGTGAAAATAATGACAAAAAAGATTTAACACCAGAGGTTTGTAGTAAAACAGCTGATTCTGTTTATTTGATTTATCAATGAAATTAATTTCTTGTAATGTAGGAAAAAGTAGAGCGGGCCAAGAAATTAATAGAGTTACAAAAACAACAAAAACTCGAACAAGAACGAGAAAAAGAAAAGCTCCAAGAAAAAGAAAGACGAGAAATTGGTAAACAAATGCAAAGTGCTCGACGTCAACAGCAAGATTTAGAAATGAAACTTGCTCATGAAGAACGTAAGAAGGAAAAAGCTGCAGAACTCGAAGCGAGAGAAAGGATTAGGCACCAAATTGCTCAAGACAAATTAGAACGCAAACAGCGAGAACAAGCATTATTAGTATGACATAACCGTTACTAATTATAATTATGACTAAATAATATATATTTTTCTTTATTCATTATATTTCATTTTCTTGTCATAGCAACAAACAATGCAACAACAACAGCAGCAGCAAAATAATCAACCACGTCCTAGTGGATCTTCTGTTTTTCCCAATGATGGAAATACAAGAATTCAGTTCAGATTACCGTCCGGAAATCCTCATACAGCAACATTTGAAGCGACAAGTACACTTCGAGAATTACGAGCTTATGTAGTTGGTAATATTGATTTACCATTTCAAGAGTTCTCTTTATCTATGTCATTTCCTCGAAGAGATTTGAATCAGGAGGATGATGAGAAAACATTGCTTGAACTTCAGCTCGTCCCTAATGCAGTTATTCTTATCTTACCTGTCAGAAATGTACATACCTTATTAATGATTATCTATATTTTTTTCATGATTTTGATTATTTCTTTAAAAAGTTCACTTCAATACATTTTTTTTTGCAATAATACATTTTTTTGTAGATTAAATCTACGTCAGTTGTAGCAGCAGAAGACTCAAGCTTCTTATCACGTTTCGTATGGGCATTATTTGCTCCTATTCTTACGGTCTACAATTATTTAAGCGGTCAATTGTTTGGTACACAAACTAGAGACAGGAATCAACAAAATGATTCTAACTCTTCAGATGGTCCATCCATTAGAACTAGCAGAGTTTTTTCGAGTAACGATATGAGCCAGTCAACTGGGTAAATATTTGAATGATTGTTGTTTATTTATTTTATTCTATATTCATTATTAATAATTAAGTTTATTTATCAGAGTCGTTCGACGAAATATAGGAGGATCAAGTGTGTCTGTTAGGGGACTCCGTAATGTGCATAGGCTTCATTCGGGTGGAGATGATAATGATGAGAATAATACGTGGAACGGAAATTCAACTCAGCAAATGTGAATAATCATATTAAATGTTATTATTTCAACCACGATTTAATTGTTAAATACTACCACCATTGTATTTAAATAACTGGACCAATCGATATTGCAATGCGTTCAATAATACATCTTACACATTATTTAAACTTGAGAATAAATAATGATAATCATTACAGTGATAACGACTATTATGAAATATAATAAATATGCACTATGTAGTGATAATAAGTCCTACATTCATTTCTGTAGTATTAACTCAATTACTTTCTCATATTTTTTTTTCTTTAAGTGGAATGTAATTTCACTATTTATTCTTATTATACAATAATATTTCTCGCACGGATTATGAAATTATGGAAGTGATTATAGCAATTATCAGAATGATAAAAATTCATTTGAAATGAATGTTTAAGCTATAATCTAATATTAGAGTAAAATTTCATGCTTCTAATCTACGCTTATTTAACAGAATATATCTTTTCTCCAGATATAAAAGTTGTTCACTAAGAAAATATATTATTGACAACTTTAAATAAAATATTTTCTACCCTTAAATAATTTTTTTCGACACTTTTTGCAGTTGTGAGTATGAACATAATTTTTTTTTTTCAAGTAAATTTAAATCACTGAATAGAAGAAGATTTGGAATTTACAGAAGAAGATTAAAGACTCTTAGACAAGTGAAAACAGAGTTCCTCCTCCTTAACACATGTTTCAGAAGAAATAGTACTGATTTATGAATTTTAATCAGTTCATCTACAAACCAATTGTGCAGCAAATTGTCTTTGACGAATTGCCAAGATTTATATTTAGTAATAAGAAAATTACTCAGCAATGTTACATTCATTTAATTTTCATTTCTTGGTGAATAATTCAGATATGTTTTAATATTATAAATAAGCAAGTAGTTAATAGACGGTTTTAGATCTTACGACGTACCAACTGAAATCGTTTATTAAATGACACACTACACTTACATGCACAAGCAGGCAAATTTATCGAGTCTTCATTACTGTCGTTTAGTTGTCACACTGTATAATTATTAAAAGCTCTCACTCTTGATTCTTCAACACCACGTGCTTGCCAAGAAACGCCCTGTTTTCATCTCTATTGGTCCATAATCTTTCTACGTCATCAACACGTGGGATTTTCGTCGCCGCCTTCATTCGACAATTTTACTTTAGATACAAAAATGAAAAAATCATCTTCACTAACATAGTAACTCCACCCCGACACAGTATCTTCTAATCCTGTAGACAAGGGGTGTGAGACATTAACGTATTCACTTTCATTATTTTTCAACAACTCTTCAATAAAGTACAAATCCAAATTGAAAAGTTCAATTAATAATTAGATTTGTAATCAATAATTGTTAGTACTTATTAATTGATAGCAAGAATGGTATAACTAACACAGTTTTGGATCAGTAATGAAGATACTAGAAGATTTATATAAGTGACAGTGTGTTTAGATAAAGCTAATAGAAATAAAAATGTCGCAAAATAATATAGGAACTTTGGAAAGTTCCATAACAGGTGCAAAATCAACAGTTTTTAGTATTGAGAGACTATTAAGTAAAGAAACACCATCGAATCATTTAGGAATTAAAGAAAAAGATATATATTTATCTGCTGAATGTAAGTTTTGTTTTTACTTTATTCTATTTTTTATTGAAAAAGTAGCCGTTTATAATTTGTTTTTTTTTTATTTCTTTTAATTCAACATTTTGTTTATATTAATACTAAACCAATCAATTAAAAATTATAGCAATGATTCAGGATACAAGATTAACCGCAGTGCCTGATTCTTCAATGTCATCAATAGATGAAGTAGAAACTTATGAAGATCCAGACATAGGCTCAACTTCATCTGAACCAGGAATTAGTTACGGTAAATACATTCATGATATTCTTTAGAGATCAGACATAAAACAAAAATTAAGAGTACTTGAAAAGATCATTATCGCTGATTTAAGCATTCTTGACCCTTTTCTCCTAATTCTCACCAAGAAGTTTCACCCTTTACTGCTGGTGCGTGCATACAGTTTCGTGGACTACTAGCCCTCGTGAATTTGATCCATTGCTTCCTGCAGGTTCCACGCCTACTCAATGTTCTCAGTTTCACGTCCACTATTTATCTGTCTCTCGCTAATTTTGCCATGGAAATCCGGTAATATGTTCTCTGATATTCCACTCACTCGCAATAGAATAAATAAATGTACCTGAAACGTATATTAAATGATAATTTAATGTTACTTATCACGCTTTAGTATTATTTACAATGCAAAATAAATTGATAGAATAAATCGATTCATTTGTTAAATCATTCAGTGAATATTAAAATTTATGTTTTTAATGCTTGTCATCAAATAGTCTAACTATTCGTGGTGATTTCTTTGAATTATTAATTCCTTTCATAATATATTATAATTAATTTATTAAATTCAATATTTGTCATTTGATAAATTTATCTCAGTAACTTGATGACCATTAAAATAGTCCATCTATTAATGCATTACACAAAAATGATAGTAATTCATTATATTGATTTTAACGTTAATTATAGGCTACTATTTTCCAATAGCAGGGTTTATTCCCCAACTTGCAGAATAATTTAGTTGGGCCACATATTCTTGGCTCTCAATTAAATCTGATGATTTAATTAAAATGAACGTTTCGTATTAATTACTCTCAATGTATATCTACGATGTACTGTTGGCGACATCAATCACCAAATAATTAGAAGACAACTCCACTGTAGCTCAGAGCAATTAGGAAAACTAGAAGGCGTGGTGTTCTATTCCTGAGCCGCGTAAAATGTCATATATTTTTTTCTTTCACTCAACTTCATCCTCTTTTCTTCACACTTGAGATTTTTTTCTACATACCTTTACTGTTGATGCTGCAACTCTTTTTCTTAAATGAGTAATGGTTTCTAAATGACTCTATTACCACTTGGAACATATTGACTAAAGGCATTCACCAGAATTGATGGAATAATGATTGATGACAAACAGTTGGATAAACAAATGCATTTATTTTGACAAAGAATCAGCAATTGAGATTTTACTTTAGAGTAAAGAACATAAATTTTATCGAGTAATAAAATAAAACGACGTGGATACGATTTTAGACACGGGAACGCCCCGTGTAGCCAGCTAAAAAATGTTGAGAAATGCGACAATTACGTCGCCATCTGACAATTAGTAGCCAGTAAATGCTTCTTCATGGCCTGAGAGACCCTGCTACGAATAGTTTTTCGGGATATTTATTGCACCAAGACATCAACTATACCTAGTATGAGTCAATTATTTATCAGACATTTGATTATTTTTGTTATTCAAATTATGTATAATAAATAGTAAACACATTAATAAAACAAGAAATAAAGTACAAGATTCAACTTATTGAGCAGAGATGAAAATCAGGAAATTAGATGAAATTAATGATGTGTTAAAAGAATTTAATTAGTTCTGTATTAATATATTTAGATCTCTTTAAACGAAAATTTTATGTTGATTTTTAATATCATAGAAAAAAAGGAAATCTATTCAACCATGTGTCATCAGTAGTTTCAACCGAGACAAAAGTCTAATATAAGTCTTTTTCTCAGTGATGATTAATGGGCAGATAATTAGAAGATGATACCCGTCGCTTAGATGTTCTTCCAACGACGTTTTCGATGTACTAAAAGAGGCACTAAAGACATTTTTCATTTTGCTTGAGGCGCGACGTCTTATACTTACAACTTGAGACTTGTAACATGTTTAAGATAAATATAAATATAAACAAGCAAATTTTTTTTTTTACTTGAAAAAAGTAGTACTCTCCAATATTATTCAATTCTTTGATTGCATTGGTTTCAAATCATACATAATACAACAAGTAGTTTGTTTAAATAACGATTTAATAAGAATAAATATTGGTTGAAAATCAGGTAGATTTTATAAATGCTTACTAGGAGGAAAGTCGACTGTATATTTTTAGCTGGTAAACATACTAGTTTGTTAAAAATATCATTTTTCATACTATAAATTCAATTATCTTAACAGCTGGAATGTTTACAGATATATTAAAAATTATAAATGATGATAATGCTCTGAGAAATGTTGAAATAGAAATTCTAATGTTGAAGATCTGAATCTTTCTAGCTTATTTGAATTCTTCTTTATTTTGTTTTTCAATAAATTCCAAGTTGACAATTAGATGAAAATATTTCAGAAGCTTGCACAAGTAGCAGTAGCAGCAGTAGTGGAAACTGCAACTCTGTAATGGACTGTGGAGATAAAGATGTCCATGCAAAAGACTTTGGTGTATCAAATGATGAAGATAAAAAGAAAAGACCTCGAACTGCCTTTACAGCCGCTCAAATAAAATCTCTTGAATCTGAATTTGAGAGAAGTAAATATCTTAGTATTGCAAAAAGGCTGCAGCTCAGCAAAAGTTTGAAACTCACAGAAACTCAGGTAAGCTTTCAAAAATTAAACCAGTTAATCTAATAAATTTAACTGAAAATTTTAGAATCAATTGATATAAAATTGATCTCGTATAAATTAATTCTTAGTCAGATACATATTAATAGTTTAATATTTCTTCATGTCGATAAAAACTGAAAATTTCATTTCAAATTATTAATAACTACATAGATTATTTAAGTGAATAACGATAGTTGTGATATAATAAGTCGAGATGTTAAAATTTTCTGATCGCACTTACTTGTCTATCATAAACTAGTAAAAATCACGTCTCGTATTTTAATTTTATCTTACTAATGTTACTTCCTTTCTGTTTAATTATTGAGTTCTAAAAATGTTATGAATGGCAAACAAATGTTAGAAAATAGTGAAGCATACTAGAAAATATGAATGTCAGATGAAATACTGATTGTCGCAGTAGTTTTTATTATTTACATTTAGTATATTCAAAAATTAATTGATTAATTTGAACCATTTTTTTTAAAAATAATGAAAAACATCTTAAGTCAATAAATTTGAAGTGAAATTAATTTTATTCAAAATTACAATCAGTAAACGCAAAATAAAAAGTTTTCTTTGATGTGTATAAATGGTTAATATTATTCAAACGATGTCTTGAAATTTTTCAAAACTACTTTTAGAATTTCCTCTAATCAGGAAGTATATAGGATGTTGTGTTTAAAACTGTACTGATTGATGAAAATCATTTTTAATATTAATATCACAGTACGGAAAATCTGGTTCCTATAAGACTTTTTGAGATATTTTTCTTGTTTGATAAATTGCGATGATTTTCTACTGACATATTCGTAGGGTTCAGTATAACTGCACCTGAAGGATATCAAATTCTGATGAAGTTCTGGTGAAATGCTGCGTAGGTTATGAGGTCAACTCCACATGAGTTATGAGACCACATTGACATGCAGGGCCACATGTGCAGGCGCCATGCACTGGCGCCATTAAAAGGGTCTTCGTCGACGGTCAATTAGCACCTAAGCACCCTTTGATTTTATTCTGCAAAAAGATTGCAGTTAAAAAAAAATGAATTTACATAAATAATTTAAATCAAGTTAATAGTTCTTGGAAGTGGAGGTCTTGAACTTACCACGGATCTTCTTGAATTGCTTACCGGGAGCTATTAGTAAACATTTACAGATAATTGGCCAGAAAATTTAATGATTGAGACATATGTAGAGTGAACAATTATCTTGGAATGAATCTAGTGACAAAGGGAAGTAGAATATGACAAGCCAAAATTCTTGCAACAGATCAGAGGGATGGCGTAAGAGCAAGTCTGAAACTGCAGACATAACTGTCACAATATTTCTCAGAGTTAACGAGCCGCGGTTGCCACCAGCTCTCTTTTCTCTCATTTACACCCCCACGTTTTAGTTTATTTGACATTGCTTTTTTGTTGTGGTTTTTTCTATTTTTTTAATTAAAAGATTCTCCACATGCTGTTGATATTTTTTACTCCAAATAATGAATTTTTTTTGTTACTCCAATATTTTTTACAATTATCATCTTTAAATTACATCACTAATGTCATTTGATTGATTTATTTGTATAAGAAAGAATAAAATTCTCGATACAATGAAAATAAGTTATAAACCAATAAAACTTGTAGAACATAATCGTTTGATAACCTTCTATAGAGGTATAGAAGTTCTATAGAAGTCCTTAAAGTTCTTGATGTTGACAAAAATTGCCTGAAGACTACTATTGTAAACCGTCTTGTATGTTCTAATTAACGCAACTGATTTAATTATAAGCTAAATTGTTTCAATCGAAAACATCTCTTTGTCTGTCATTAAAAATTTTTGATAGATTGCCAAAGATTTAGTATTTAACTTAATGATGACCTTTTTTGACTATTTATTTTTTATGAATTTAAACGTTAATATTATTCAATCAATGTTTGAATCATACTTTATATTGTTTTACTTAACTTTTTATTGAGAAATTTTCTCAATATTGTGTAAAAATTTTTAACAATGTAGAGTGTCGTTAGAATTAGATTGCAATTCTATCAAGTCCCAGTAGCGCAGTAGGCAGCGCGTAAGTCTCATAATCTTAAGGTCGTGAGTTCGATCCTCACCTGGGGCAATTCTTTTGAATCTATTCAGTATTTTTGGGTAGAAAATAATTAATTTATAGCGATCGAATTATACATTTAAACCTATAAAAAGTAATATGGCATATTTTTTTAGATTAAAATTTGGTTTCAAAATCGAAGGACTAAGTGGAAGCGAAAATACACCAATGATGTAGAAATTTTCGCTCAACAATATTATTCAAGCCTTGGTATTCCAGCTCCACGACCCATTTTTGTTGGTGACAGATTATGGTAAAATTTTAATATTAAAATGAAGAAAAATAATTCATTCTGTTACTTATCACTGATTGATTACTACAATGTTTTTTAGGTTTTTTAATTACCCTGGACAACCACAGACTGCAACACCACCACTTCTACCTCCACATGTGGGATCTTTGGCTTTACCACCAGCATTACCCATCATTCAACCTCTTCCAAGTAATCTCGCAGTTGGAACACAAAATGCTGTGTTCCAAAATATCCCACCGACTCACTCACTCAATTATCTTACTCAACAACTTGACTATCGACGGCAGGAAACATGAAAAATATATCAACTATATATTGATTTACGATAAATATAAATATTTTTTTGCAATTATATTTGCATTTAATTCAAATAATAACTTGCTGCCAAAATATTGATAAGAATATTTATATATTCAAGTAAAAAACTGTCTTTGTATACAATTTGATACTATTATGTTACAAGAAAAACATTTTAAAATCAATTTATTGATTTTTTCTAAGCAAAAATAAAGAGAATCTCGATAAAAAATATGTAATTATAACTTGAGACGTTTAAGCTTTCAAAGCATTAACTATAATGTAAAAAGTATTTGTTTGTAATAAGTTAAATGATGATTAAATGATCATTACACAGCTGGAGAACGGATTTTATTCACACCTAATATCTTCTCTTCATTTGCTGCTTGATCTTGAATTATTTTTGCATATTTTTCATCATCTTGAAGATCATCTTCGTCTAACATTTCTTGCATTCTTTTTTTATAACTAAAAAAATTAATTAAATAAATATTCAAGTATTTTTTGTTATTGATTAGTTATTGAAAGTCTTAAGATTTAAATCTTACATTTCACTGTCTGGATTATTTTCTTGATTTCTACATTTGTCTAGTTTCCTGTCGATAACCTTTAACAATTCTTTGTTTGGAACATCAATGTTTTTCGCCATAGATCTTATTTCTGTAATAGATTATTGAATTAAATAATTATATGTTATTTTCAATGATTAAATTCTACTAAAGTATACTAACTTCTTATTGCTTCGACAATTCCAACTAAATTTGTGCCAGCAAATAGTATATCTGTAACATAATTATCTAAATTTGCTGATATCTTTGAAGCTGCATGCAATACAGCTGCAAGAGCAATTTGACTAGGGGCATATAACAAAACACTATCAGTTAAAAAAACTCGTTCTAGGAAATCGTCGATATATGGCCTGAGTCGTTCAGGATTTTCTAATGAAGTACATCGTGTCTGAAATAGAAAAAATTTTCATTATTTTTAATACCAAATATATTTATCAAATAACTATCAACACTTACTTTAATATCGATCATGAAACCTTCTACAGGCCTAAATGGATTGTGAACAGTTAGATGATAGTTTAGCTGTTGCATTAAAAGTAATTCATTATTCAAAACAATATCTGATGCCTTTTCTCGATCGCCTTTTAAATTTGAAACAAATTGTGAAATAGAAACATTGAACTCTTCAACCTAAAAATGCAATGATGAATTACACAGTTGATGTTAGTTATTTGAAATTCATTTTTTATTATTTAACTATTGGCGTGCGAAGCAGATAGTTACCTTAGACGCTAAATAAACGCAGGTTACTAAAATTTCTTTTGGATGATAATCCATAACACTATTTCGTAGATAAAATCTTTTAAAATAATGAAGGGCTGTGGCAATTGTAGCTTTAGGCATTGGAGGTGAAAATTTTTTGCAAAAATCCCGTAACTGTAATTCATGAAATCTCAAAAGTGTTCTTTCTTCTGTAGCTGATAAGAAAAATTGTGCTTTCTGTTCAGGCTATGGAAAAAAAATTATTTATATAGCTATATAGTATATTGATTGTATTGACAACGGAGTTTTTGAACTACTTATTAACTTACTGTCATGTTGACACCAAATTTTTCAATATATTCGGCATTAGTTTTTTCTCTGAGAGAGGTTAGATCATTTTCATCCTTGTACATCCAGTATTTTTTCTGAGTACTTGTAGAAAACATTTTTATAATTTTTCTTTTAGTGTTAATATTGTTATCAAATAATTATTGACAATTAAATAGTCTAAAATCTGACAATAAATCTATTCATTTCGTCTTGATTATCTATTACGACCACAATACACGTTGCCAAACAATTAGACTTGCTTGATAAATGATTTTCTATATTACCGATAAAGCTCATAGTTTTTCGTGGTAGTTGCGTTTGTTGTCACTGAGGGTCTGTAGCATTCACTTTTGAAACTAAACTGAACGTCGCAAAAACGCAGATCAGCATCAGAATGCAAGAAGATTGGTTTTTTACGTTTTAATATAACACAAAAGAAATGACGCTTCTGGTTTTTTCCTGTTTTTAAGAGGAAGTTGTAAAGGTAATATCAAAAATTAACTGGCTATTTGTTAAAGTAACTAATAAATGTATGAGTTGCAATTATTTTTTATCAACAATACAAGTATAGTGATTAGAAAAAAATAATGTCGCTATTATTGAAATTGACGCCATTGATATTTGTATATTCTGTCAAATTGAAAAGCTACAATTCAATTAGACATTTATTGAATTTATTAAAAATGCATATTTTTTTCGTATGATGCATATAAACAGTTCTACTAAATAAGATCAGGGTTTTAATAGCTGAAAGTCACCCACGCATCATAAAATTAACATACACAAACCAACAACTAGATATTGTATCGCCACGTTAATAAATATTCTAATGAGGTAATTTTATATAAAATCAGGGCTATTGACAACACGATCAGTCAGAACATGTAAGTGTTTAATTGAAATAAAAAAGCCCAACATCGATGCATCATGCTTATGCTCCCGGGTGTATGTAAGCATATGCATAGGGATAATAAACAAGTTTGAGGGGGTAGGTCTAGTGATTTAAATAATCCAGTATGTACGCCTTGGTTAGCAGTCTCAACGCCGTCCCTCGTACATCTTCAATCATTTTACTCTTATTTTATCAATTTATTCATTTTCTTCTAGGTTTCATGTCGTTTTTCGGAATGAGAAAAATATCAAAATTTCTAAGAACGTTCAAGATTGATGAAAAATCCCAGTAGTGCGCATCCGCGCGTGCGGAATATTAAAACCTGTAATGTTTCTGCATAATACGTATTCTGGTAAGCTCTGGCATACGGTAATAAACAAGATCCTCGGGCGATGAATGGCGGAGTGAGGACGTAAGGGTAGAAGATTGGAAGTCAAACGAGAAAGACAAAGAAAGTGAAGGGGTGGATTTTAATATGGACGCCCTCGCAAGCGGTTGCACGTCCGATCTAGAGGGGCGTTTCTATAGCCCTTTGTCAACCGACAACCGACGTCGCTAAGTTTTATCATGATCGTATTCTTCTGGCATCAGACAACAAGCGGGAATGAGATGGAGAAGATCCTTGAGGTATGTATTCTCCTATATGCTCCCTGCATCCTGTATAAACTGTGATATCGATGTAATTCTTAATATTCTTTTTCCAACTGATTTAAGAGGATTTCACACGCATTGAATAACATTAAAAATATCAACTGGTGAATGTTATCATTCTGATATCGCTTTATGGATTCAATGATATCATGAAGATATAATACTAAAGTATTATATTCGGACAGGCATGAAAAAAGAATCGCATTCGTTCCATGGTGTCAAAGACTCTGGTTTTTCAGATACGGGCCTTGTAATTATTGAATATTTATAGTGTAGGATATTAGCATATGAGACTGCTGAAATGGGGAAAAATGAAAAGAAAAATAGATTAATTAGAATAATTATTAGCCATTTTTGGTAGGCGAGTTAATTTATTCACATCCGTTCAACTATTTTCAAAGTATATATGTTTGATGAATACATAATTCTAGAACTTTGTAATGATCAATAAAAAAATAACTTACAGAGAAAAATTATTCTTACCAAGAATTCATTCACTAGAAAAAAAAAAACAATGCAAAAACTTTTATTGAATACTTCTTATTACATTACATTTTTATCTCCTTGATAATAATACGAGTATAATTATCAGAAAAAATATTGTTGAAGCAAAATACAAATATAGCCTCTAGAGTTGTAGATGTTTATTTTTTGTAATTCAAAAAGGAGAAATATTTAGATTTCTAATTTGATAATATTATTTTAAAATTTTTTTAATTAATCAACTTTTTACTTAACATCAGTAAATATCAGTAAACAAGAGTAATTTTTATGTTAATGTTTTTCTATCAATTGTTTGATTTTAGTATAAATGTGTACCTGTTCTCAACACATTACTAAAATAATACGTATTAATAATAATTACGTAGATCTTATTATATTTGATTTTAATTGACAGCTTTGAAATAAAAGACACAATGTGTGTATAACAATAATGGAAATGATTGTTCTTTTTAAATATCAGTTCCATGTCATGTTTTGTGTTGATTATACCAGTTAATAGTTCTTTAAATAGAACGTAAATGTTACAATGTATTATGTGCATATATTAGCACACCTTTTACATAAAAATCTAAGTTATCTATTTTTTATATAAACATTGGTTTTATAGCAAAAGAGTATTATTAAAGAAATTTCATTTTACATTATTAAGTTAATCGATGATAAGAACAATATTTTGTAATTAATGCTTTCTTTATATTTGAATGTTATTTAATAATAGCAACATCAAGTGTATATTTATACTGACGTCTTTCTTTTTATCAGGTGCAGTTTGGGTAAATTATTCAGAAAGGATCATTGAATAGTGAAATGAAGCTAGGATTCATTTTTTGCCAATTAATTCTGACATATATATCTCAAGAGAAGTATGCGTCGGCCATTAATCCAACATTGCGGTTGTTTGCACCCTCGACTTTGCGTGCTTGCACCCTTTTGCTTAGTTTCTCACTCCTTCTCCTCTTTTCATGGACACGAAGAACATGGTGAGTATAGATATACATTAGAGCTGAAGTACTCAGAGAAAGGAAAAAGTAAAGACAAACATCAGGTGATAGCTAATGGGAAATCAATGTTTAGGTGAAACCTTTGTTTTTTTCATCTATCATGGATAATTTTACGTCTATCAATAGTAAATTTTTCTTTGATTGTCATCAGTCACCCGAAACAATATTCTGTCTAAATACGTCAATAGTTGACTAACAAATTTTAATTATAATTATTTAATATTGAAATTTCAGTAGTCTATGAATAGCTAATTAAATTTCAAGAAGATTGGTTCAAATTTTTATTTGAAATTATATTACAAGTCGAGAATGAGGAGTAAATAAAGCTTGAAAGCTCATCGATGTCTATCGAATTAAGCCGTATCACAGTAGACAAGTTGGTTGGACATATCATTTGTTCATAGCTCGCATGACTAGTAGTTGATATCACGGCACAGTTTGACAGGTTAAACTTTCATACATAAGAATAAAATAAAGCAAAAAAATATATTGTGGTTCATTTTAACACTTCTCTTTGTGATTAGAGTAAGGGAGAGTTAAGTAAACACGCGAGTAGAATCGTTGTGACACGAAATATTAGATATTACATAATAACTATAACTCCATTGTTTCGGTTGTGAATTTTAACTTATTGACTTAACAATATCGCTTTGCCTCATTTCATTTAGTTTCTCTCGACATCTTTTTTCACATCTATCTTTTTCCCAATTTCTTATTAAGTTAATTTTCGTTGGTGTACATATGATTTTTAGCAACATACAAAAAGCTTGATACGTGAGGGATTACGTGCAGGAAAGACGGGAAACACGCGAGGGTATGCTGTGAGTTGGTTTCCGCGAAACGTTTGGATACATCCGGGGGTTGTTTAGTTCTGTTGAGTCAAGTCATATCGCACTTTGGCTATCTTTTAGCCTTACAAATGGACTTTTGATACTTATTCTAATCGATTCGAAGAATTATAACACCCCTGAGTTTTTTTAAATTGATAAGAAATAGAAGAAATTTCTCCTGCTTTTTTTCTCTTTCATTTAAAAATAAAAAAAAAAGAAAAAAACGTGTTAAAGAAACTTTGTAATAACTTAAACTCATTTCATGATCTTAATCTTCAATCAGTTCGTACAGAAGATAGTAGCAGCACTCTCAGGTAATTGGAAACAATAATGCAATGAAATTAATCCTTTGTTGAACGAATCGAATGACCGAGGTCTTATCGTGCTAGTTGGCAATATTTTACATCTAGCTACCCTGTAGGCATATACACTTCTATATTCCTCTACTTGTAGCTAACGCCTTTACTTACTATGTTATCTGCTATCGCCGACCAGACCCTGGTTAGTTTCACGTTCATTAGCCTATAAAACGATTGTGTACATTACACCAAACTGTATATGTGGCATAGTTATGCAATAAAACATAAATTCTGTTATATTTATTGCTAAAGTTACGCTTGTATGGCAGAAAATTATTGCACCTCAAGGTGGAATAATATATTTAAAAAATGATATATTGCAGATTATTCATTTTATTTAACAAGAAAATTTTTTTCCTATTTTTATTAAACAGTTTACTTATAAAATTGTAAATTACTGCCATTAGTTTTTTTGTGGTTTTGTCATGTTATTAAATTACTTTGTTTTGAATACATTAAAAACAATATTCCATCGTATTATTAATTAAAGAAACTCTTTAATTTATATTGTATTATTTTTAGATGTAATTTTCTTTTCATTAGAAAAATATGAATCAGAACAAAAAATGCATTAGATTTTTCTTTATTCGATCGTTATTTATTGGTTCATTATTCTTTTTTTTCTGTTTTTTATATGATTATTTATTGTAATATTTTTGCATTGTTTTTAAAGTGAAAGTATAATAAAATATGGAATTTTTTCTAGGAAATCATTGAATACTATAGAGAATGCGAAAGGAGATTGTACATGAATTTGCAGCAGTAGCAGTGGTTGTAGTGAATAGATTCCTAAGGCAGTTTTACAGTGGGTAAGTTTTCATAATTTTCGATTTTTTTTATAATTTTGCAAGAGATGTACCACACAAGATGATGAATGACGGAGGTATCCATTATATTTATTGTACGCGTGTTTAGTATACTGTAATATACAATTTTACAAGTCAATGCCATCATTATATGCAAACGATTAATTGAAATCAGATTGTTGAATTGAATTAATGTATATATGAGAG